TCAGACTGCTATCCACCTCCTCCATCATTACCTTCTAATCTTGCTTCACGTCTCCCAATTAACAATGCTACATCATCTTTAATTTCTCCCAGTTCTGCAGCCTTTGACAACGATCTTGATCCTTGGTCTCCTTAAACCACGCTCCAAATTACATATTGGAATCTTCAATGTCAGCAACCTCCGTCAAATTGGTCAACAGGCTTCGTTGGCAAAGACTCTAGCAACTCGGGGCATGGATGTGTGCTGTGATTGTGAGACACGCATACAGACACCAAGTGCGGTTACTCACCTGACCTCTCCCGGCCAATCTGGTGAGTCCGAGTTTCTGGAGATTCGTTAGCTAGCTCTCGTGGTCTTGCAGGTGTAGGCATAGCACTAAGCGCTAGGGCAGAAAACACTACTAGACTGGATAGTCGCCTCTGCCCTGTCCGGCTGAACGGCTCAGTGCGAACTAAAACGAATAGCGAGACTCGCCGTATCTCTTTGTATTCTCTGCTTACGCACTCACTGACTGTAGTTTGGATGAAGTGAAGGACGAGTTCCACCGTAAACTATCTAGCCTCCCTTCGGTGGCCAAACGTTCGGACGTGGTGGTTGTTGCAGGTGACTTCAATGCACAGGTGGGTAGACTGAATGAAGCAGAAAGGCACTTAGGTGGCACTTTCGGAATCCTGGCTGAACGTACAGATAACAGTGATCGCCTATTAAAACTATGCTCAGATAACCGCCTATTTTTAGCCAGCACCAATTTCAGACATAAAAAGAGACACTGTCTGACGTGGCGTCCACTAAACTCAACTCAGTGATGGACACAGATAGACCACATTGCTATTAGTCATCGCTGGAGAGGATCGGTGGAAGACTGCCGCTCCTTCTGGAGTACGTGTTTGGATAGCCACCCCGCGTTAGTCCGAGCGCTTATATGCCTGCGTCTCAATGGACCTAGGGAATATTTGGCAACAAAACCACTACGAGTGTTGCTGGACAGCGAAAACACCAAAGCCGGTTTCAGTGAGAAGTTGGCTAGGTAGTTATCGGAACAAAAGACTATCACTCATCCAGTAAAGGCTTGGTGCCATCTTCAGTCTGCTGTAAAAGCAGCGCTGGAGACCATAGCCGACTCCGAAATAGTGGCTAAAAGAGCCAGTGGATATCAGCAGCTTCTTCCGAACTAATGGATGCACGTGAACGCATCCCTGCAGGCCCCGAGTACAATGAAAAGCGAGCGCAACTTAAAAGTAGACTGGGAAAAAGTCTACGCAACGACCGCGAACAGTGGTGGGGAATGAAGGCTAAAGAGATGGAAAAGGCAGTGGCGATTGGTAACAGTAGACAGTTACTTAGATTTATTAAGGAGACTGGGGGGAAAAGGTCAACTGTGGTTAGTGAGACCATAGCGGAGAAGGACGGGTCTGCGATTCACTCACAGGGAGACGACTGGAACGATGGACAGAACACTTCGAGGAACAGTTTAACTGGCCTCCAGCCACCATTACGTTGCCCGCTATCCAGTCGGATCCTGAATGGAACATTGAGAAAGGCCCCCAACACTTGCAGAAGTCGAGAGGGCGGTAGGTAACCTGAAACGAGGAAGGGCAGCAGGACCAGACGGACTACCTGCTGAGGCATACAAGGATGGTGGTAAGGTGCTCTTTTTAGTCAGGTTAACGGAAGTGTTAACCAGTATATGACAATCAAATACGATCCCCTCCGACTGGTCTAAATCACTGATTATCCCAGTCTTCAAGAAAGGCGAGAAGTCCTCTTGTGATAACTATAGAGGAATTAGCCTGACGAACATAGTGTTCAAGATGCTAGGTTCTACTATTCTTCGACGCCTGAGTGGAGCTCGGGAATAGCAAGCCCGAGAAAACCAAGCAGGCTTTAGACCCGGCCGTGGGTGTATCGACCAAATATTCACACTGTACCAGGTTCTGGAACATAGGCACGCTTACCGACGCCCGACAATAGCTGTATTACTCGACCTGAAGGCGACTTTTGACTCCGTTGATCGAGAAGTCTTATGGCAATGTCTCTCACTGAAAGGCGTGCCGAGTAAGTACATCATCTTGTTGAAGGCTGTCTACTCGAACACTTGTGGGTGTGTTAGAGCCTATGGTGAGTTGTCCAGGGAGCTATGCTCATCGAGTGGTGTCCGTCAAGGGTGCCCACTGTCTCCATTCTTATTCAATTTTATCATAGATATTCTCATGGAGGTCTCTCTCTCGTCACTTGACTACACAGACGTTGACCTAATCACAGGAGAATTTTCGTTAGACCTAGAATATGCAGATGACATAGTCCTGTTAGGTGAAGACGCTGACAAATGCAGAGTCTTCTGAACAGTTTGAGTGGCAATTTGAGAATATTTGGGATGCGGTTCTTACCACCCAAATGCGAATTGTTGCTTCAGGATTGGTCTTCAACGGTTGCACGGCTAACAATAGAGAGTGTAGCGGTTGGGTGTGTCTACCACTTCACTTATCTGGGGAGTAAGATCAGCCGTGGTACATTGGTCAGTGGCCGATGGAATCTCTGCATGGATACAAAAGGTTTGGCTGGCTTTCGCCAACTTACGCCACCTATGGCGCTGTCGTGATATCCGTTTGTCTATTAAGGGTCGCGTGTACTGCACAGTAGTCCGGTCTGTTCTCCTGTATGACTGTGAAACAGGGCCACTGAAAGTGGAAGGCATGAGAAGGCTTCAGGTGTTTGACCGCCGTTGCCTTTGAAGTATAGGCCGTATTCCATAGTGTCACCATGTAAGTGACGCAGACGTCGGGAGTAGAGTTTTGGGGAGAAGAGGTAAGTCGGTTGACGAGGTTGTGAACCTTCATAGATTGAGATGGTTGTGACACGTGTTACTTTTGCCCTAGTCGCCGATTGCTTCGTCATACAATGTTGGTTGAAGTAGGCCCGAGGTGGCCAGACTAAAACATGGCACCACTGTATGAAGTCTCTGACTGTTGGTTTGAGCCATGTAGGGCGATGGAGACTAGGTGGTTGGGGTCCGTGGGACAAGAGGAACCAGTGGTTGGAGACTCTAGGGGATATGGCTCAGAATCGATGTCATTGGCGCAGATGTATACACACATTATCCTCATCTTAACAACGCTATACCGAATATCACCACTTTCTCATTCTTCGTTTATCTCTTTTCGTACTTTATATTTCTTTTGACTGCATTCTCTTATATTCATCTTGCGCCTTACTGCCTTTTTACTTGATGTACTGATATGAGCTGTGGCAACTCGGACAGTTACGCAGTAATGCCTGGTCCTAGGTTGGTCTGGATGGATGGATGGTGAGGGACATATATCAAACACAAAATCAGCGTAGAACCTCTTATATAAGTGCACCAGTCCAAGTTGCAACACTTCACAGTTGTATACAAAAACGGGTGGATAGATAAAGATTGATATTAAGGTAGAAAAAGCTGTGTGAGAGTATAAACAATTTGAAGATAGAGGTTATTGCAAATATTCAAGCTTTAGAAGATGTCACGAAGTGAATTCATCTGCGTCCTTGTGACCAATTTTCAGCGTGTCACCATGTGTCCTCAACCACTGATTCCTGTGGTCTCTGGGACCTCAGTCAAGGAGTCTGCATTTCCTCACACGGCTCAGGTCACCAGTCGGGGACTTCATGGACTGCTCCCACGTCTTGGTCTGACCACCCTGAACGTGTGTTACGCATACCTAGTCACCATCTGCTACGCCATGCAATGTTGACTGAATCAGGTTTAGATTGGAAAACGGATAGAGGTGACCGGACGAAAACATGACATCTGTGCATGGAATTCTTGACTATTGGTCTGAACCGTGTGAGTGAATGGAGACTTCTTGGTTGAGGCCAGCCTGGTCGACACACAAAATCAACATGAAACCTCGCGCGGGAGTGCCCCGGTTCATGGCTCGATGCTTCTGAGGAGTCTCATGCTAGAATGAAGCAGCGATCCACTTCTCCCAGGGTTTCTGTGTCAGGCCGTGATGGATTCCTCCTAGGAAGCTGAACTTGGTAATTGTTTGTTTTACGCTATTCGTGCTTTTTACTTATACTTTTCATCACGAGTTTAGTTTGCTTCGGTAGTATTTACTTCAAAAATAAATGAAATATTTTCAAGTCGCTGAAGTGTTTATCTAGGATATTTTCCTACCGTGAGCTTTATTGTCTTGCTAGCAGGGTTGTTATATTCTTGAAAGCTTGGAGGACACTAAGCAATCTTCAACCTTATTTTTTGCGCTGAAGACCTCTATTATCTCATAACCTTATTTTCAAACAATGACAGGTAACCGGGTAAAATTAAGGTGTATATTAAAGTGAATAAAACAATTCATCTGTAAATATGACAAAGATGGAGTGACAATAAATTGAAATACTGAGTATAAAGTTTGTCTCAGTAAATTATGTCTCTCGCAAGGCTTGATGAGTATATTAAAGTCTTCCTTTTAAATATTATTCTGTCTTGTGCATAAGTGAGATACTTTCTGGATGTCTAAACCAAAGCAGATAGTTGTTTTAAGCGACCACCTCCTGAGCCTCTGACTTAGTCTAATTCAGGAGAGGACAGATGGAGCAAAGTCAAAGGTTGCATTCCCATGATTACCGGTGGTTAAAGTCTAGTCGTACACTACTCATTCTCTTCGTATTCTGGGAGTCGTGTGACTTTTTGTTTAGAATCAGGTTAGCTAGTTCTTTTAATTGCTCACTTAGAATCCTCTAGTCTATTGGCAATCATAAACGATTTGCTTTCACCCATTAACTTTCGTAGAAACTGCTGAATAATGATAGTGAAGGAAACTGCTGTGGTAAAAACTGAACGCATAGCCGTGTGAAAACATTTTAGAGAAAGAGCAAACGTTATTCACGTTTGGCCATAACAAGCCTTCTGGGACATATGGGTTCAAAACCGACTTCTTACTGTGTTTAAGGAACATGTCTTTTTCCATTTAAAGTATCTGTTCGTAACAACTCTGAAAATTTTCACATTTATTTATTAGGTTCGGCTAGCAAACTTGATGAGGGTTTTGGGTTCAGATGCTGTGCAAGACCCAAGTAAGGTGGAGGCATATGTACGAGCACAAATGGAATCTCGTAAGCGAGCACATGAAGCTGCGAATGCTGCTCGGAAACTAACGAAAGAGCAAGCTCGTTACAAACGTATTAAGAAAATACGAGAAGATACAAGCCATGCAGTTCACGTAGCCGTTTATAGGTAAGTTTTGTTGGTTTTGTTCACAGTGCTAATCATTAACATTTAATGTAAAACCCATCTTACTATAGAAGACACTTACGCCTAATGTGTATGATAAATGTCCAAAGGTTGTATTGTTAGCCATTTAAGATACATAATGTTGTGCAGAAAATTCCTTAGTTCAATATGACTAAGCGTCTAGCATAACGTGACAACTCCTTTTGATTAAACTGCTATTTTCATTGATAACTTTTAAGTGTAAATCTCGTGTTTTATTTCTCAGTTAACGCTGGATGCTACAGCTATTAGCCTTATGTATTTTCGTGGGAATGCGTATTATTACATCAATTCCCGTGAAACCAAAGTAGGTGTAGTGGATTGCCTAAACTTGAGCCTTCGTAAATCTTCAGCTAAATCTACAGTTTAGCCATTCCATATTAGATTTGTTTATTTGATATATAGCGCACAGTGATACAGTATTATTATTATTATATACTAACAAAATTGAAAGAACAATAGAACATGTCAGCAAACTATGTCTGAAAGAAGAAATTCACAGGATTATTAAGAAATTAAGTACCATTCGGAATAAAATTGAACAACTTAAATGTAAAATTATGAAGACAGTAAACGGCAGAGACTATGGATTTATAATAGAAACATCAGACAAAGCAAGATTAGCTACTTTCAAGAAATCCAGAAACAATCAAATCAAAAAGTTCAACAAACTAATGCAAATCAAGTAAATAATACTGTATCACTGTGCGCTATATATCAAATAAACAAATCTAATATGGAATTACATTCTACCACAGTGCCAAAGTTTTACGCTTATACTATAGTGTAGCCAATTTAAACCAAGAACTTTCTTTCTTTGTAATCGATGTTCATTAAAGATCCCTACGTCATGTCTGTGTTCAGAAATCTGGGCATGGTGGGTGCTATTCGATCTGAAGTGAATACATGCAGACTGCAGAAAGTGAATAACTATGAGTTAAGTAGCTAGCTATGTACTTTCTCTTATATCAATAAAAATGTCTCCACATATTCAAAAGATTAATTCAAGTTGACATTCCATATCGATTTACCTGAGTTTCCCTTACTTGGTACCAAGGCATGTCCTGACTTGAGTGGTTGTGAATACGTTTCTAGTTAACACCTGTGTGAAGTAGTAGAATTAGGGTGGGAAACGTACCTGGTCCAAAACATTTAAATCATTCCAGTTGATCTTCAGAAAGTATAAAAGTGACTTGGTGGACAAATTTCCTACGGACTATTGTTGATTGCAATCAAATTACAATATTTCATCGTGTAAGCAGGAGTGAGTAAAAGCTAGTATCAAGTGATAATCAGAAAAGAGCTACTTAGTTTTTAGAATGACAGTGCACTAGTCTACTAAGCATATTTTGCAAGAAGCACAGCAAGAGCGGGTCGAAAAGAAAGCGAAATTCCCCAAAACAACTGGAGCAACAGTAATGAATGAGTAACTAAAAATAGAGATAAAATTGTGCGCTTTCTTTTGTAGAATCCGACAGGTTGATCGACATGGAATCATTCAAGTTCTACATCGTCTGTGTTCGTTTCTTTATGCGGAAAATCTACGACAAAGCTCTACAAAGCTCTTGTAAACTGTCTGAGACGTAATCGGTTGCTTCAGTGTCCTGGGTTACTCTTACTCCAAACTATTTTTACTTCAGTAGCCATTGCACATTGGGGTAAGCGATGATAGCATGCTTAACACAACTTCAATCCACTCGCAAAATGCACCTCTTTTACTAGGACTTCTCACTCGGTGGTCTGCCAAAATGTAAGCAACGCCAAGAGGTGTCTGATGATTAAGTTTTCTAATTTCATTTTTTCTTACCTCATTGATTATTTTTACGCTACAACAAAGATTGTGTAGCTGAGCCTCGAGAATATCTTGTTGGCAGTGTCTGATGAAAGTAAAAGAATGACGGTTTAGTTGTTTTTGTGGAGATTCTTGCTGATATGACACTTCAAGTAATTAAAATGGGATAAATTTTCGCAGCACATGACATTGTTAGTCACTGCAACCGTTCAGTAGGCATCGTTTATATTCAATACTATGCTGATTCATGATTTTGAGCAGCAGATATTTTTCGATGTAATTCAACATAATTAACCTTAATTTGGTTTTGATTGTTTTTCCCTAGAGTAAAGGACTTTTCTAATCCATCTCATCGGTTCAAAGTGGAAACAAATGCCAACCAGCTGCTCATGTCAGGAATGGTTGCGTTGAATAACGATTGCAACGTAGTGGTTGTGGAAGGTGGACCTAAACAACAACGCAAATTTCAACGTCTTATGCTTCATCGAATCAAATGGCGTGAAGGCAAACGGGGAACAGCCAGTAGTGTGCCAAGTTCTTTCGGTCGTGAAGATCATGCTACTACCTCTGAGCTGGATAGTGACCCGGGTTGTCGTTTAATTTGGAAGGTATGCGAACAGTTTCTGAAAGTTTCGGTATCTTTTCATTTTCTGTTTTTTCAGCTGTTTGCCATATCACAAACGTTTATTGACTATAAGACGATTTTCATTCAGGACTTGCGTCAACTTAAGAATCATTCAGTAACAAAGAGTAAGGGATAGTTGTCCAGTCCTAGATCCGAACGTGTTTCTCGTCGTATATTTTCGTGAAAATCCGTGCATATTGCAGAAATATAGTGCAAGTAACTTGGTACTCGACCTAGTTCCATGCATTCTAGTCTTCTTTCGTCCTAATAATGCGACATCAGTAGTTCGAACTTGTTTACTTGTGGCTATTCATTTTGGTTTGTACTAATCAGCCACTGCTTCATTTTTAAAGAAAACGTTCTAATTTCGACATTCACTTTTAAGTTGAGTGAGAAAAGAGCTAACGTATTGGGAATAGATGACTGATAGTGGATTTAGAAAATTTATTTACGTAATCTATTCATTGGCGGATTGTCATTTTTATAGATTTTACTATCCAGCATTGCGTAAATAGTCTAGACAGATGTTATGTATCAACTCTGTTTCGACTTTTTCGGTCTCAGCTTTCATCTTGTCGTGATTGGATCTGTCTTAATTGTGCATGAGTCATATTTACTAGCATGTTTATTCTACCATGTCACGTGGTAATGTCTTCATATTTTCGGTTTAAGGCAAAGAAATATCTATCCTAAAAGTTGGACACAATTGTTTAGTATGATGTGGTTCCAATCCTAGTGGTAACGTTCTAAGAGTATATAATGATGCTTGCTGTACGATTTGGCATAGAGTTCGAAACTGTAACGTTCCAATATAAAATCGATGGCGGGGTCTTAGGAGACTAGGAATGATGTTTCGATGGCTTTGATCGTTGTCAATGGTCGCAGAATGAGGGGTTGAAGAAGTTGTGACAGGCTTAATATTAGTATCAGGAAGTAAAGGCAAAGGAGGAGACGGAGTTGAGGAGTATAGGTTGTTTTGATTAGGTCTTGAATACTGTTGGGAGCTTGCGGGTGGTTCACACTTCTCAGCTACCCACACTGCGGACGGCTTTTAGAAGTATATCCTATTTAACGAAACCGGACCAAACTTTCGGTTAGTGACAACGTTTGAACAGTTTGAAGTAGGTTTCTCTTAAGTTATGGGACCATACCAAGCAATAAGACCATCGAGGTCACTTCATTTTCTTCCTCAGGCTCATGAAGGAAATAGAGACTCACTATGTGAGCGGATCTTAAGTATTATTAGCCTATACATTTTCTTCTAGCAACTCTGGGGTCTGTCATGCTCATTACTTATTCTCCTCCACGTTTCCCCCCATATTCTAACTCATCAAGTTTCAAAAGGCCATGACTGACGTAAGGGGAAAAAGTGGATATTGACCACCTAACATTGGGAGTTTTCAGGAATAGAAGTTACAAGTTATCAGTTGGGTTGGTAACGTCAACTTTTTCCCCTCAATGGTCTTCGCCTTTAATCGTCGCAGTTTGTGGGGTGGGGTGGGGTGGGGTGGGGTGGGGCAACAGGAATTCTCCCTTGAGACTCAGTAGACGTAAGTTGACCATTATTGTTCAAGAATCCTAGTACCTTTAGTTATTCAATGTCTACTTTTTTTAGGACCGTGGAAGACTGGTCGGTCTCATTGCGGTGGGAAGTGTAAACTGACTGGATATACACTTTACATGATCACAAAACAACCTTACTCGTCTGATTATTCTGATCGTATTCATCAACCTAAAGAAAGTTACTTCTGTCGATGAGTTTCTTGGTAGTACTTGTTTAAAAGGGTTGTCGAACAAGGTTGTTAACTCTAACTCACTAGTACAAGGGTTTGTAGTGACTTTTCATTTAAATTTAAACACAACCAGTGGTGTGCATCAAATATATGGGCTTCCACTGCTTTTGTTTCACTTAGGTTATAGTTAGAAGTATATTTATTTAGGAAAAACTCGCCTACATGTTATTGTTCATCTTGTCTTTTTAGATTCGTGTTAAATGTTCTAAATATATCTTGATAAGCTGCGCATGGTTTTCAGCTGAACTAAAGTGTGGCAGTTGGTTGAGTTGTTGTAGATCCCACATACTTGCCGATAAAATTTCCATGTTAGGTTGAAAGAAGTTTGTTCTGGGCAACCTTCTTAACTGTTTGAGACTAAGCTGCTCTGTGGTTTTGGCATTATTTTACTCCACATGTCCACAAAGAAATATCATTACGTGGATAATCACATGTATCATTCACCTGGATACTCGTCGACTAGACAGTATGTTTTCAAAATGTCATTTCATTTACTTGTTCCGTATTCATGAAGGATTATGAATACTAGCATTCATTTGATTGTCGACCAAAGGTTATATTGTACTGTTTACAACCCAATTCGGTGGTTATCGTGGTTTGCACTGTGTTTGATTGTTTTGTTTGCTTTTAAAACTCTGTTGATTTCGCCTATCTGTATTTTTCAATGAAATTATTTACATGGTATGCTTATACTTCATTTTGTGTAACTTTACAGGGTACAGTCAAGCAACGTGCATTCGACAAAATACAGTTCAAAGCATGTCCTACAGAACTATACGCACGTGAACAGTTTCGTAAGCGTGATGTGGAACATTACTGGGATCTTGCATATACTGGGGCTGTGTTAGAATCTCTTGATGGCTAATACTTTTAATTTCAAGTTTTTACAGTATTGTATAATAACTGTGTCAAAAATAATTTGTTCGCTAAGTGGTGTTTCAGATGTAAATAAAAGTGTACATCTTTCTAGAGTTTTATTGAGTAGTGATTGTGCATAACAATGTATAAAGCACTTGATTTTCTTATAGGTGCTGAGATGCTCTTGAAACGAGTAAGGCGTTTAATGTTACATTTGAAAATTGACTAGTTTGTCTTTCGATTCAGCTTGTATTGTTTTTCATTCTGTTGTTTTTGGTTCGTTTAGTGCATTACAATTTTGTTATTCCCGTTGGTTGCTAAGTGTAAAATTTCACTCTTCACTTTTAGCTCCCTTAGGAATACTGACATGTTTAAGTAATAGGTTATGAATCCCTACCGATTAAGTACTAGCTACTCGGTTGCTCAAATTTAAGTAGCTAGAGTGCTATTTGAGCCTGCAATTCATAGATTACAAGTTGTGTCTAAGCTAATCAGCTACAGTTGCGCAAACTCACGTAAAATAAACCATGCTTATACGTCTTTATTTTACTAAAATGTTGATGTAGAATGTGGGCACCTGTAGTGGTTTCAGCCTTTTGGTGCCTAATACCTAATCAGTTTCATATTTGCTAGTCTTCATTGCTGATTGAATCCTATAGACAATTTGTTGTAGTGACAAACTTTTTAACGCTGAACAGTCTATATGAATCTTTTGTTGATCTTGACTACTGTCATCGTGAAACCAAGTCAAATAAAGTGGTGTTAATGATTGGGATATGGAGTCAGAATAAACCTGGATGCCTTTCACATCACCATTGATCAATTAAGCGATAACTAAATCCTTCAATCAACTCTTTTATTGTAAGTTTCTACAGAGGTGCAATTCAAGACTACCAGTCGGAGGCATTCGACAGTGTGATACGATGTAGTGGGAGGGTAGAATCATTGTTGAAATGGAAGTTTTGGACTGAGGGTTCACATTATTTCTCAAAGGTAAGCCGAATAAACCAAGATTAAATGCGCTTGTGGATTCGTTGATGAAACATGTGTAAACTTGATTATCAAACATATATACATTGAGTGATAACTGCTACCATGACAAGGTGGTCGGGCTTGTATGCCACAATGACTCAACAAGCTACACTGGCTGGAAAGCTTTTTCTCTCGAGGTCCTAGCATGCTAAAAAAGTCTGTTAGGTGGTAGTTAGACGAAAAGCAGTTAACGTTGTAATGTAAATAGCTACACTATAGTGGGAGTCCTAGGGCGAAGTTGTACTGCTGGCTCGACGTGATGTGACAGCAGTAAGATGTATCCCTTAGATGACCGGCAGTGGTTCGCCGAAGCTACCTCCCCTATGAGGAGCAAGGGCTACAAAGCTTGACCCGCTCCACTGTCTTCTGGTAGTATGAGTTTTCCTATCCAAAGTTCGAACGACCAGTTCTCATACCGACAGTCTTGGAAAGCCTATACGTGACAAGTCACAAGCAGATACCTCTTGGGCTCTTCTGTTACACATCTTTTTCAGGTACTTTAAGAGGAAATGGCCCCCCAGGGTGTCGGCAGCAGCTAAGTGTGAACCACCCGCAAGCTCCCAACAGTATTCAAGACCTAATCAAAACAACCTATACTCCTCAACTCCGTCTCCTCCTTTGCCTTTACTTCCTGATACTAATATTAAGCCTGTCACAACTTCTTCAACCCCTCATTCTGCGACCATTGACAACGATCAAAGCCATCGAAACATCATTCCTAGTCTCCTAAGACCCCGCCATCGATTTTATATTGGAACGTTACAGTTTCGAACTCTATGCTAAATCATACAGTGAGCACCACTCCAGAAATCTAGGTTCTCGAGCCATTAGTGTGTGCAGTACTTCTGAAACATACATGCAGGACCTAAGTGTGGTTATTCATCACTTGACGTCACCTGACCACTGCGACGAACCTTCAAAGTTCACCTTATGTGTATTCACTGTCTAGCTCTCATGGGCTCTCTCGCTGTCTGACTGAATGGGTCTGTAAAACTCAGGATAAGTCATGAGACTAGCCGGTGCCTATTCGTAATCTCTGCCTTTGTGCCATCCAACTGCGGTTTGGATGATGCAAAGGATGAATTCTATGAGAAGCAGTCAGTTTTGCTATAGAAAACAAATCGTTCAGTCATAATAGTAGGTGACTTTAACGCTCAAGTAGAAAGCTGGGCTAATTGGAGAATCATCTTTGAGGTATCTACGAATTCTTATACTAACAAATAGACGAGTGCGATCGTCTGTTACAATTTCATTCTGACAATCACTTGTTTCTGGCCAGCATTAACTTTAGGCATAAGGAGAGACACTGTCTAACGTGGCCCCCACTGACATACACCCAACGATGGACACAAATCTTAGCGCTTGCTATAAGCCATCGGTGGAGAGTTACCGTTCTTTGTAGGGTACCTATTTGAACTCCGTTCACGCACCAGCACGTTTGCGTCTTGCTGGTCGCAGGACACAGGTGGCAGTGAAGACTTCTCGTGCTTGACTAGGAGATGAGGACGTGAATTACGTATTTAGGGAGGAGATAGGTAAGGCTTTATCTGTACGTGACAGAAATGCCCATTCTACTGAAGCCTGGCGTGATATTTAGTCTGCTGTAAAAACCGATGAAGACAGTTGGTAACCTACACCCAGTTGTTAGAAAAAGCTAGTGGGTTTTCACAACTTCATCGGAAGTGATCCCAGCTGGTCCATAGTGAGGAGCGAAAGCAGCTTAAGCGTAAATTGACCAAGAGTCTTCGCAATGATCGTGAGCAGTGATGGGGGGGGGGGTGAAAGGGATAGAAATAGGGAAGACATCAGCGTTAAATAATACCACGCAACCATTTAGGTCTATTAAGGATATCGGCGTGAAGACGACTATAGTGAATGAAAACCACCAAAAAGATGGAACTCTGATATCCTTCCAGGGAGGCGGGTGGAACGTTTAGCGAACACTTCAACTCCCCCACAGCAATGCTTCAGTTATTCAACCCGAACTTAAATGGCACGTAAGTGTCGGTCCACCAACTCTTCGTCGAGCAGCACCTGATATTTTGGCACGGGAAGTTTCGAAGGATAGAGATAGAAAACTGCCAGTTGAAGTGACGGAGGTACCAGGTAGTGTATGTGAACCGGAAGTAGTGTTGGCAGACTGGTGTACTTCTTGATCATCCCAGTCTATAATAAGGGATAGGAGTCTTCCTGTGACAACCACAGGGAAATTAGTCTGACTAATGTGTACAAGATCCTAGGCTCCATAGTTATCCGACGCCTAGCTGGAGCTCGAGAAAATCAGGCACGTTTCAGATGAGGGTACATCGATCAGATTTTCGTCCTTTGACAGGTCTTGGAACACAGACATACTGGTAGGCAGCGCTTGTCATATTTCGGCGAGAAGGCGTCATTTGGGTCTATCGGCCGCCGGATGTTGTGGTAGTGTTTGGCTATGAAAGGAATATCAAGAAAGCATATAACGCTTATCAAAGCTGTATACTCAAACTCACGCAGCCGTGTAAAGGCTTATAGAGAGTTTTCATCTACATTAGCAACAACCAGTGATATCCTTCAGAAATGCCAGCTGTCATCGTTCCTGTTAAACCTCTTTATAGGTGTATTAATGAATGTAACCTTAGGTCACTCTATGTTCACAGGGATTGATCTATCCCCTGGAGGGTATTTGGTTGCCTTTGAGTACTTTGTTTCTTGCTTCCTCATCAGCTCCTTACAACCCAAAACAATTTTGACATCAATCTGTACGAAAATTATTACATACTCGAATCAGTTTAACTTGGATTACACAGACGAGATTGTCCTGTTTGCTGAAGACGCTAACTGCTAGCATGGTGTTCTGAGCTTGTTGGACAGAAATCTGAATGTGTTTGACATCCGCTTCACACCTTGGAAATGTAAGATGATCCAGCTGCTCCCAGCTTATCGATAGAGAGTGAAGTGTTTGAGTGTATCGACCACTTCCCTTCCTTAGGAAGTTGCATCAACTGGAATGAAATACTTAGTGACGAAATCTCAGCTCAGATACAGAAGGCCCGTTTGGCATCTAACTTACGTCATCTGTGGCGTCGACTGGCGAGATATCTGACTACCTGTTGAAGGACGCGTATACTCCTCTGCAGTCCTTTCTGTCTTGCTATAAAGCTGTGAGACGTGACCGTTGAAAGTAGAAGACATGAAGCGGTTACAAGGTTTCGATCACAGGTGTCTTCTTAGCGTTGCTTGCGTTTGATCGAATTACCGTGCGAGGAATGTTGAGGTCAGGCGAACGGTAGTAGGCAAGATAAGCAAGTCGATTGGTCATGGCTCAAGCATGTGTTGCGCATGCCGAACCACTGCCTACCTCGGCATACCATGCTAGGGGAAGCTGGATAATGTTGGAGGAGGGTCAGAGTGGCCAGACCAGAGGATGACACCATCCCATGAAGTTCATCGCTCTTAGTCTGATCCATATGGAAGATATAAACCACCTGGTCTCCGAGACGAAAGGAACCAGTGGTTGAGAATACTTGATGACATGGCTCAAGATCGGTCACAGTGGCGCATATGTATTCACTCCCTGATATCTTCTAAAGCTTGAATATTTTCACTAACTTTAAATTTTAGATTCCCTCTTCACCCATACACCTTTGTCTACTTTGATATCAGTTTTTTGCTATCCACTTGTTATTTGCATGCTGCCATGAAGTGTGTAGCAGCTTAAGCGATGAACTAGTGTACGATGTTCTACTTTGATTTGTCTGTCTGTTTGTCAATGGGTGCATAACTTCCTACGAAAATGTACATTACCAGTTAGTTTAGACTGTTCACAACCAAGTTCATGAAGATGATCTTCCTTTGTGTATTCAACATATAGGAGTCTCCATCAAAATCAATTATGAAATTATCTTAATAGATGTTTGGGCCAACAACTATATTGTATGACTGGCAAAAAGTAATGTGTTTATTCAATAATTTGCAAGTTTGAAACTGAAAGCAGTTTATTACGCATTTCAGACTCAGTGACGAGGTTTACGTGTAGATGAATTGAGTTTTCGTATCACAATAGATTGTGTGAACAATATCTGAACATGTCGTGGCTTAGATGACTAAATGTATGAGAGGTAGTCTTAGATATTTCTCCAGTAATATCATAACTCAGTGCTGCTTGAATATTTTCAACTGGTGAATTATATCTACAAGTACCACCGAAATCAAGTTTCTTCATTTACGTTCTCTCAGAAGGAAATAAGTGTTTCAGTGTATAGACTATAATTTGAACATTGAGTGATTATTCGATGCATCACTCCACCGTGGTTGATGATCGAAGGGGAACATGATTAAAACGCTTGGTATATCTTCTTGGAAAAAATTCGTTGGTTCATATTTTATGTGCTGAGTGTTTTGTGCGTGAACGTTTGTTTAAATTCAATAACCTTGACCCTATAAAATTTCTGATTCCCACCGATGTGAATCTGTACAAGAAGACCCAAAACACACCAAAGAATGATTCGGAAACTTCTGAGTCAAATGAACTTGAGAAGTCAAATACACTAAATGAAGTGCATTCGAATGAAACTGAAATGGCTTCGTCGAAAAATACCGCCGGCGAAAATTCTGTAGCTGCCAATCAGCATAACGACACTTTCAGTACTTTGCCGGTTAAACGTGCTGTAATCCCTGCCTTCAAGAAGGTTAGACAGACAGTCACAGTAGCGAAATTGAAAAGCTGCTGGAATTCATCATCCATTTCTCCGTCGTCGTGTGATAAATCCAATTTATCTACTGCGAAGAGTGATCAGCCATCGAAAATCAAGTTGGAGGTAACATTACTTTTGAGCGTGAACTTATATTGTTATCTCAAATAACTTTATTGCTCTAAGAAGGGAATTCGACTGATAAGTTGGGTACACATATTCAATATGAAAGATTATCTTGTCAAGCAGTTGAAAGTACTAAATGAACGTGTGACTACATTCGCAAGAGTTCGCCAGTAGCTGTTAAGAACCAATTGGAAGAGAATGTTATGAATGTGAATGGTTATTGGACTTTTACTGGAAGTCCAAGGACTCACTTTTGATAATTCTGAAATTCATTCTAAATTATTAATTTAGTTCATATAGCTGCTTAAAGATTAACTGACGTTTATTTTATATACATGTATGACATTGTTCTATGTATTCGTGCATCTTGTTGCCTGGGTACTGCTTTAATTTTCCATCGTGTATTTAATTTGTCTATGATTTCCCTGTCGGAGGAAGTCAAAATTCGATTAACACAAAAATAACGATTGTCTACGTGGCTGATAAAATCTTGTTGGTGTGTAGCTATTTTTTCTTAGGAGGAAGAATTCATAGGATAACTGACTATTCTGGATGAATCATTTTGTTAATCAACAGACTGTACCATCTTCACTGCTACTGTAAACATGAGATATGTACTGTTTTTTTTGTTTTGAGGCAGTCAGTTACATTTAAGGAATGTAGTTACTAACAGGGATGTATGAAGCATCTTCAGCTGCCTGCCATTACGGAATCATTATCATGAGGGTCAGAGTATGGAATTAAATTGAACAGATAGAGATAAAAAAACTATTGTGTAAGAGTTGTATAGAGTTGTAGCTCATTGGTCTAGGCAGTTGATTTCCAACCGATGGATCTCGGGTTTAAACACAGCTCCACTTACCGAGGTCCTGGCAGCCAGGTTGTAACATTAGATTTCATACAATAGGTGTGGCGCATTGCCTACTCCACGAATGTTCACAAGAATACTAAATGGATTTCGGTTTCTTTTTCGGTAGACTTGTATGGAGAAATTCAAGCTGTTGGCATGCAGTGTTTGGAGCGATGCAATCGACTAACAGAATGGATACTAGTTCAAATTGCTGTATCAGGTAGCTAGACTGACCTGACTTTACACCTTTATGGATTGGTTACCGTGTGGTTTCCCTTGATACGCATTCTGTCGTTTATTTTCCTACTAATTATTTTGTTTTTGAATAGTTCTAGTTTCTCCAACTACTGTTCTCAATATCTTTACTTCTTGACCTCCTCCTCATAGTGTTGATAGGAAACGTGGCATATCGTAGAGATTCTCACTTATGTTGGATTCTGCGTTGTATACAACTAGCTGACTTGATTTCAGTTCATCCAGAAATGTTTATTAGTATTGTTTTGAATAATGCTAGTTTAAAATGTATCAAAGTAAATGGAAATTAATGACCAATAGATTGAACCTCGAAGTTTATACAGCGTTTAATATTTCCTTTAAAGTGAGTTGGTAAACCTGAACAGCTATGGAGTGGACTCATCCTTGTAATAAAGTCTCGATCCAAATTTGTGTGTTCACTAATATGCAAGTATCTGTTGTTTAAGAGTAATCTTGACGACTATACTCTGTTTAAATGACATACGTTTTTAGTCATTGAATATTCCAAAGGAAAAATCGATGAACCTGGATGATTTCATAACCACCATAATGCATGAAATGGAAAGTGTGAAAGTCGAGGAGTTATACGATAAATATTTATCAGCTCCACTCAATGAAAGAATAAGTTGTGATGCACATATACCTCAAAATCGGGTCGATTCGCAAATATTCAGGATGACATCTTCAACTTCAATAAAGTCTATTCAAAAGAAAGTATCACCTAGTAATAAAGAATCATGTGTACGTTGTTTGTATTTCTCTTCACTTTGCTGTAGTGGATTCTAATATTTCTTGGCATTGTATGTTTACTTTTATTTGATTATTTTAATGCACATACGCTATCGACAATAACAGGGATAAAGGCGAATAGTTGCTTGAAGTATGTAAATTTTGACACATATTTAATCTCTATAAAGCTAACGGTTTCGACTATTTGCTAAAAAATGAATTGTAGTATACGAAAAAGGTTTCGATAAATGGATTGACTTCATGATTAAGTAATTTGTTGATAAAAGTTGATATGATGGAGAATATTTGTAACCCAGTATAATAGTTTTTTGATGTTACGTTTTCTTAGCTGGAGGGTTAGATCGATCAGTTTACATTATCGTTCTATATAGCGTCATCAGAACAATCTTCAAAAAGAGTTGGGCTATCAAACATCTCCCATTCGTGACTTGGTATCTTATTCTGTTGTCGAAGAATGTGGTTTCTGAAATTATGTTGGAAATTAAATTGCCGTGGGATCACAAAATCCTCTCCCTGTGCAGACACTTATCAATATTTTAGGACAAGCAGCTTGTCGGACATTTGACCATGCTTCAAAAATGAAATGGGGATGTGTATATGATAGATTTACAGTGTTGAATTCAGAGCATATCGATAGATTTATAAACATAAATTCATTTGTAGATGCAGTCCACTTTACTTGTTCGAGAAAGCGATGACCAAGAACTATGTTAAATCGCAGAATAAAATGGAGAAAAGATGAGTGTTTAGACACTACTGCAAACAGAAAATTTATATCTTCGAATCACTACTCGGGCTCAGAGTCATATCGTTTGGAATAGGCTTGGTGAGATCTTTAAACAATCAAGCAAAATTTCTAAGCAGCAAGATAAAACCTACTACAGGAGATAGGATCTGTAAAAGAACCTTTTATTACTCGACATTTATCCTCGTAAATTAATCTAGAAATGTATAAGAAATCGTAGGGAAATGGTTATCGATGCATAATAATAATAATAATAATAATAATAATAATAATAATAATAATAATAATAATAATAATGATAATAGATGCAGAATTAAGAGGCTTGGAACTACTTGTTGCCTTTATTATTTTTTGCATTGTATTCTTTTGCTGTGTATGGTCCGTGCTGTCTTTTGAGGGTTTTAGAATTTCATAGGAGCACTTTTTTGTCTTCAATCTCGTAATGGGATGTTTTTATGAGAATCAAATTATCTCTGTCCATGTAACTCATTGTTTGTTTTTATAACCTTCGTCATTGTCTTTAATTTTTCATTTCCAGTAGTTGTGCCACTGAGTTGACTGAGTCTTCTGTAATGTAAGTAAAGTGCTTTGATTTTCATGATATGTATCAAGAAAGATTGTACTAAAAAGCATGAGAAGATTCAGGGATTCCTGGCAATTACTTTTAACTGACTCACACACAATTCGGTAATTAGTTTCATTAAGATATTCAGCTTGTGCATTTTCAAAAGGTAACAAAATCGTGGCAGTAAGGGTGCTGTAAACCTCATCTATTATCTCATCAGTTTCATCACTTTTCTTCGTATGAGTTTTTATAAATTCGCTGTTAGCTGTAATGCTTATTAATTGACTTATCAAGCTTCTTGTGTTATATAGATTCATCTTGTAGTGGGATTTTTTCGCCTTTTACTTAGTCTATGAAGAATATCATCCCGTCAGAAAAACGAACTCCACAATTTTAATTCTCTAAATTGTTTTTTACTCACCACAGCGAAGTTCATAATCCTTCCTTGTGACTACATTTCAACGGTTTCCTAATTGAAACTGAAATCCTCATTTCTCAAATTATAACCTCGAAGAATACCTATACTATTGAAACGTTGACAAACTTACTGATAAATAATTTACACTATAATTTGTTATTATTTATTCAGGTAAACTTAGACAAATTAATTGATGATGTTATCAATAAGTCTATCTCTCTACCAACTGGCCAGCTTTACAGTGAATACCTTGAGGCTCCGACAAAAGATGAAATTTACAATGAGATCGTTCATCTAACAGATGACCTTGTAAACTTGGATCAGTTAGAAGAAGTAAATAACAACAATGGAGTTTTGTCACAAAACGAACAAACAAGAGTGCAAGGAGTATTGAGTGACTTTAACAATAATGTCGATGACTGCAGTGAAAAAAAACAAGAGACAGGTGTCATGGATAGTGAAAAAGGATTAGCTCTTCATGGTTAGTGCAATAAACGACTTACTAATATATATATATATATATATATATATATATATATATATATATATATATATATATATATATATATATATAAAGATATCACTTATTTTGCGATGTCATTTGGAGATTTATTGATTTCAGGTTGACATCCAGCGTGGACTTACATCATTTGGAGAATCGTCAAAAACCTAAGAGCACTAGAAAGTTGTTTTTTGCTAGTATAGAAGTCCTTAGCAGTGCGCACCCATGACACCATCAGGGTTTGAACCCGGTACCTCAAGGTTTTGCGTCGAGCACGTTGCTACTAAGCCGCTGGCTTGGTTTTTAGTGACCGGTTTTGAAAGTAATTTACGAATTTTTGTGATAAACTTAATTGTAGTATCAGTTTATTCATGAAGAGTAAATACCATGAAGTACCACTTGACAACAGACAAATAATAGCATGAATCATTTGAGTTTGGAAAACACCAACCAATAAATTTTATTTCAACAGCTTGAAGTTAGCCAATTTACCTTGAAACCTAAATCTCCTAACTTCAATCTTGTGTTTGTTGGAGAATGATGGTTGGTATTCGATTTGAATAAAACAGCCCATCAGTGACTATTAGATATTATTAGTTCTTAATGTCGGTTCTTAATGAAAAACAACTTCAAATGAACCATTTACCCTTGAACCGTATACATACAAGTCATCATTTAACAGTCAGCTAAGTATAGTATTTTATTGTTTTCTATTAAAATTACAGGTACATGGGTTGAATGTGTACTATGTCTAAAATGGAGGCTTTTACAAGAAATTCTAGATCCTAGTCTTGTTATTGAATCTTGGCACTGTGGACTTCAAGATAAATATAAAATTACGAGTGGACCACAAGCTGAAGTTATTCCATATGCACTACATCCTTGTGATGAACCTCAGCAAGAACTGGAAAGTGGAGAAAATCCTAATTCATATGTTTACACTAAGTTTACAGCTGGTTCACTAGTATGGGCCAAACTGGATGGTAAATGTTATGCATTATTATTGATAAAATTGAGTTTTCTCCGTACGTAAAATATGCAGATTTCACCTGACTATGCATCATTTTTACGTCCATCCCTTCTGATGTCAGTAATCAGTCAGCTAGCACCAAAGTGGGATACGGCACTACCACGTAGTGCTCCAAGTTGCCATACATCATATCAGCAGATCAAGCAACGAAGCACTTAGATAAGAGATGCATAAGTAAAGAAGAAAGCAGTCAAAAGTGGCGGAAAGCAGTAAGAAGAGAGGAAGGGGGAATAGAAAACTGCCGAATTCGGTATGACGATTAGGATGAAGGTAATTTTTAAGTGTGTCTGCGCCACTGAAAATGATTCTGAGCCATGTCACCCAGAGTTTACAACCATTATTTTCCGTTGTCTGCATTTTCTCACATGGCTCAAAGATTTTATGCACTGATGTCATGTTTTCGTCTGGTTGGTCACCTCTATCCGTTTTCCAATCTAAACCTGATTCAGTCAACATTGCATGGCGTAGCAGATGGTGACTAGGCATGCGTAACACATGTTCAGGGTGGTCAGACCAAGACGTGGGAGCAGTCCATGAAGTCCCCGACTGGTGACCTGAGCCATGTGAGGAAATGCAGACTCCTTGACTGAGGTCCCAGAGACCACAGGAATCAGTGGTTGAGGATACATGGTGACACGCTGAAAATTGGTCACAAGGACGCAGATGTATTCACTTCGTGACATCTTCTAAAGCTTGAATATTTGCAATAACCTCTATCTTCAAATTGTTTATTCTCTCACATAGGTTTTTCTACCTTAATATCAATCTTTATCTATCCACCCGTTTTTTGTATACAACTGTGAAGTGTTGCAACTTGGACTGGTGCACTTATATAAGAGGTTCAACGCTGATTTTGTGTTTGATGTATGTTCCTGGCACTTCAGTGGATGACTGTTTAAGATTTCATCAACTGACTTTCTTCTCTTCCATAAAACTCCACATCTGGCTTTTTCATTACTGACGTGTTGACATCATAACACGTGGCCTATACAATGAAGGTGACGGTGGTTGAACACCTGAAGCCTTCTCATATTCTTTGCCTTTAATAACCATGTTTCACATTCATATTTTAGGAAAGAGTGAACTTCAGTGCAGTACATTCGGCAGTCATTAGGCATTTGATGAAGTAAGTCGGCAAAATACCGCTCTAGTCTTTTGTATCCTTGTAGAGATTTCTTCCATCACTAATTGGATATTGAAGGTATAGATTATTTGTCTAGACATTTGACGCATGGATATTGCATTACTTATTTGAGCTGTAATCCATGTGCGATTCATTGAACGTTTAAGTTATATCAGTAGTCTCCATCGACCGCATGTTGCTCGATGACTGGTATTGCGATTCTAGTTGAGACTGCCGAAATGCGGTATTTATTCATCATATATTTCTGTGAGTACTATATGTGGCATGAGCGGATGGATTATTATGCATTCATCAAGGGTATACAATAAATTTCTTAGAAATAATGGTTTGAAAAATAATCTATAGACTAAAAATATTTTGTAGCCATTATTCTTATTGTGAAAATCTATGTCTGTCAACGATAACTACAACTACAAAATATAGAAAGTTGAACAGAAAATGCTATTCCGTACATACTTCGAATCTACAAACTACATGAGTACATCTCAAATGAGATGATTCTAAAACTAAATTGATTGTCCAATATTCAGATTATTTCGATATAGTTGATGAAGTCTGTTGGCCACTGTAATTTTCTTAAAGTTTTTCAGTTCACTCTGCAGGTATTTTACTCAGTTTTACTAGACATTCTTGTTTTGCACAGGTTACAGTTTATAAATTTATTTGATTGGTTTTCAAAGGAATGTTGATATTATAAAGATAAGATAATATGAAAATCTTGTATAGATTTACATTGGTTCAAATTTTAAAACTTGTCTACACCAAAGAAGGAAAATATCAATACCAATAACAAGTAAAGGATGTAAGTAAGCAATAAGTGCATTAATGAACGAGAACCAACCACGTACAAAGAAGTGAACTGTTCCAAATTTAAGGAAAGGTTAAGAGATAATGTTCATGCGCCATTATAATCAACTTGAAGTAATTTCCCTTTGATTTACATCAAAAGAATAACTTTGTAGTAAGAAATTACAACCTTATAGTTTGTAAATTTTTTTTATGCACTTGATCACTAACTAGAAATATCAATTTGATTCAACTTATTGTTTTCTAAATCTGTTCCTATCATATGCGTGGTTTTTCGTAGTGTATTTTCATAACTAAGCGTCTTTGAGTTTATTTAGTTTTTCAAAAATGTATTTCAGTAATATAAGTTTAGATTTTAAAGTAAAACAAAATTGACTGGTATTTAATCTATGAACTGTTAACCCACTGGGTTGTTCAAGAAGTGAGAATGTTATTCTAATGGTGGTGATGATGGACACAGAATAATCGAAAGGCTAATGTACTTGTTACATTATGTGAAACACGTTTTACAGATTACACTTGGGGGTTTAGCGTATTCATTGCTTTTGATGTTCTGTTTTCCATTGTTTATTTTTCTGTGAAGGTTATCCTGATTGGCCAGCTATGATAGACTGTGATGCAACAGGTCGATTTGCTGAATTTGATCAAGTAACTGGTGAAGTAACTCGTTACTTTGTGGTTTTCTTGGATCCAAACTTAATTACTCGGCAATCTATAAGAGTTAATCGGATTAGAAAATATTCATATGATGAAAAACAAAAGATTTCGAAGGTGAGCTATGAACATATGATCTATACAATATAAGATACAATTTGAAAATATTCATATACTGTTTACATACCTAAATCACTTTGGAAGCAAATCATTTAGATTTTATAAGTGTAAGTGTATTTAACTGTCACATACAGCAGCGTTTATGTGTAAAGTATGCATCTCAGTAGATATGTATACATTCAAAAATGCTAATACAGTCATGCATTAGCTTTTGTGAACTATGGAAGTAAGGATAAGATTCAGTCTGATTTCATCTCAAACGTATTTAACCTTGTAGGTAGGTTATGAATATATGGTCAAAAGTTTGATTGACTCTAACTGTTAGTTCGTCTGTCTGATGTTAGTGTAAGAGGATGATGATCAAAATTGAAAAAAAAACTTCGATTACAGCAGAATTCAAACTGTTGAATGAGTTTTAACTGATATAATCTCAAGAAAATAACGAACATTTTCTGAGGATGAAACTAGATCACATAGTTACAGAAAAGTTAAGTTCATAAGCAACAGTATTAAATACTGATTTTCATTTCAGCCGATTTTTGTTCAAACTAATGGCAATCTTCCTCATTTATACAAATTGTAATCAAGACTTGATCGAATAGTATCGTGGATACCCGGACACCGAGTGAAAAATTGACATAAAATATAAGTTATGTTTGTGTATAAATCTCGGTGTATTTTCAATATCAAAATCTCCAACGTTTCGTATAGAAGTCTGGTCCATGCTTCTTCAGAGAAATAATTATAATAAAAAAAGCCAAAGATATGTTAATGAGTTCAAAAACGTGTACTTAATCTCCTATGTCCAGTCCTGTTTTTATAATCTTTCCTTTCTAAAAAATGGTTACTAATCGTTCAATGGGAACATTGCTTGTTTTTCTCTATGCTATATGCGTGTTATTATTCATATGCTTATTCATTATAAAAACGATATATCCCTTTCATTGTATTTGATACTGTGATTTGAGGGTATTTAGTTTTGAGAATCTATTACATACATTTAGAAATAAGATGAATGACTTTACTAAATTCTAGAAAAGAAAAGTACTCAGAGATTCGTATTCTCAAAGCATATCTCAAGTGATAATTCTGATTAGATCAAAACATAATTTTTATGGTGTTCACATTTATGAATGATTATTCAGAGCTTTTTTTTAGAAACGTTGCATTACTTTTTATACTTATATTTATCGTTTACTTGTTTCAGAAATCTCGATTTCATGCGGCATTGAATAGATCTATTGAAGAGATTGAAAAAGCTTCACTTATGTCTTTGGAGGTAAATTTTTGAAGTGTGAGCCTTATGAGATTGCATTGATAATAGAATTTAGTTTGAGACTGACACTTGATAAATTAATACATATATATAAGCTATTCAGCGTTATGCTGGTAAAAAAAAAACATGCGCACAATAGTCTATTCGATTCATCTCTTCAATCTATCATGCTTTAAATCTAAGTATATCACCAAGGTTCACCTAACAGGTAGCAGAAACTGAATCGTGTACTACTGCAGTCTATGAAATCCTTATGGTGAGAGTTCGTCTGTATTATGATGTCATAGATTCCATGTAGACTGATTTCTTTTTAGGCTTCAATGTGGAAAACTAAAATTTCAGAATAGGGTGTAAATCAACAATTGTGTCGATGGTATACTTTTCTTTTATTGTCCTCTACAGTAGACAATAGAAACCACTTTAAATATATGAGATTCTGTCGGGTTACAGATATCAAGCAAAATAAAATATAATGTAGGATTTCAGGATGATGGAGAATGTTAATAGCTCAGGATGACGATTTTGGTACCGTTGTATTCCCTGAGATGGATGTCTTAATCGTAAAGCTTTCATTGTCATTCTAGATAACGTCATCAACAAAAACTTCATCAAAGAGTGAGCAATGGAGTTTTCTCTACATCTGTCTTAGTAGTCTGTCTTGATGAAGTTGAGTGTGATTGATTGTTTATGCCAAAGTCTTGTCATTATCTCCTTACATATTTCGATTGCCTGATCTACTGACGGGAACTTTGACCTTCTTGTTGTTTGATAGATTGGGTCGATGTCAATACATTTGTTGACCACTGACTGACCTGAATACCACGCTTCTAAAACCTTCCTGTAGGGTTTGTCTTTGAGTTGGAAATGTACTGTTAGACAAAAATCAATTACTGCTCTGAAACTTGATTATTGTAGTTGTGTATGTTGTGAGAGGTGTGTATCATTAGCAAGGAAAAGAGTCATTGTGCCTTCAGATAATTTTGGTTCATGTGCAGTGTATAGAGCTTTATCGCCGAAAGATACAATCAGTTCATAGTTATTAATATAAATATTCTTGATCTCCAAAAAATGTTTTGAAGAGTTCGTAGAGTGGTGCCAAAAATATGCCAAATATTTCAGTCTTATGAATACTTTTTTTGACAGATTGTATGTTGGAGTCCCTGGAAGTGAAACATTTGGTCGTAGATGCATGTTTCGTTCGGTTGTTGATAGTCTGTTGGTATTTCCCAATCCGATGATGCGCATCGTTGGACACCAACTGTATTATGCATATTTCACTTCTTTCCACTATTTTCGAGCAGATTGGACAGTCAATAGGTAGTTCGTATCTAACGCTACTTGGCAGAATATGCTAATGTACACACGAAAAAAAGAAATTTGTTATTTTGGGGAGGCCTACAATTTGGCGAATTTCTTCCATTTCCCAACAGTGGGAAGCATTTAACGCTCATAGGATTTTAAAATAATGGAGAATATTTGTACCTCAGGAGTATGGTTCTGGTGGTTTTGTGTTCTCTTAACTGTGTAGCTCAGAGAACTAATTTTTAATGCAATAAACTTATTGATAGCTTATTGATTGTCGATTGAGAACGCCTTAATTCTTAATTGAGTCTTAGTTCACAGTATGAATATTGCTTACTAAGTGAGTGAGCATCGACCACACCTTTTATTGATCAACTCTTCACTCAGTGTTATCATAAAACTCAAATCTTTTCTGAAAGGAAAATAAACAAATAGTTCTCTAGTCAAGGTTTCTTTTTCTTGAGAAGTAGGTTATGCTTATAATTTTATTGATATATTTTTCATATTAAAAGTTGTTTTGATGCGAACAAGAGTAGATAAACATAGTTGAAGATTTTGCTTCAAGTAAAATTTGAAGAAAACCTTGTTTACCCGAGCAATCCATTTGGAAGATCTGTGGAGGATTCACTTCAAAGTAGTTCCCATTGCCGGTAGACATTAGCTAGAGAACTACTGAAAACCAGGAAGCATTGAACAGCTGTTTCATCACTGTTAGGGACACCTCATTGGTGCTCACTTATGACTTCATACTAGGTCAGAACTAGGATAGTTTGGTCTCGTAATGAGTAGGTTACCTGCTGTCAAACCATCTTTATCTGAATAGGCAATACATACTGTTTATGTCCAAACGATAACTTCTCTAATATTAAAAAAGTATACATGTGAAATGTTTCATGTAGACTAAACTAATTCCATTAAGTAGTTGAACATTTTATTTTTAGGAACGTATTTACACTTATGGATATCCATATACAGAAAAAAGAAATAGAAGAGTCATCAAGGTGAGAACTGTCCGAATTTCGTTTAATTTTGCATGTAACTTTATCTCAGGAATTGACGTTGGACGTTATGTTGCTTTCAGAATACTCAGTAGTAAACTGAAAGCATTTTGATTAATGACATCCAGTTATGGGTAATATACATTTACAAAAGGTAGCAAGAAAAGTAAGAACCTATATCATCTGGTATTTAGTTATCATTTCGTCTAGAAACTACTTGATTTTGAACACAACCCGGAAATGAATTTTATCTGCATTGTTATGATCATTGTTATTTAACTTTCTTCTGCATCTGTCACTGCTTCGACATATTTCCGGAAAGCTTTATTATTATTATTGTTATGAAGCACTGGAAGTACTTCAAAGAGTGTCAATCGAGAATGGTTATCTTTCAAGATTCATCGGGATGGAAATGAGGCCTAAGAGTTTCAAAGAAGAAACTCTTACGGTTCCAAAGGAGACACTGTTTATGAATATCGAATTCAAGGGAGATACATTGGCAGAGACACTAAAAAATCGACTGTGCAAAGCACTGAAGAAGACCTGTTCTTCCTAGTTTTTTATTGTTTACTCCAGTCAACAATTTATTCAAAGGTGTGTAGAAGATACACCAATTCACCTACTCTTGTGAAGCTGGATACATAGGCCGCCTAAAACGTGTTCTATCCAAACGCCTCTCCGAATACTATCCTGCATGGCTACCTAAAGGACAGTATAGAGCCATCAATAGCTTAATTCTTGAGCATTTAGTTAACTCTAGTCACTTTGATCCTCGAGAGTCTTCTTTCAAAGTCATCTATAAAGTGAAGGCAAACATTTCGAAGGGTGTGCGTAGTAGCCACCTCAACAAAACAGGCTTTGGCAATCCAACACTACAAGCCTGATTTTTTTGTTAGAGTCACATTCAGTCTCTAATTTTGCCTTGATCTTAAGCTACCTAAGACAGTTTATTCATTTCTTTACTTATTTATTATATTCCTATCACCTTGTGCCTTTATTGAACGTTCTTGATGAATTTATATTGACCAGTTACCTATTGACAGATATATATTTTGTTGTAACTAAGACGTAACTACGACGTACAGCTTTTGAAAATGTTTCGTCGAAAAGAAAATTTTCTTTATTGAATTGTCTTGTATTAATTTTTCGGTAAATGTATAGCTACATAGAAGTAATCAGAACTGAATCTTTTTCCGGTATGGTAATGAAGGTGTATCCCAATGAAAACATAAGTATTTTGCTTGGTCTCATATTGAATACTATGCCTCTGCTTAGCCCACCTTTGGAATAATCAGTCAGTATCAATTTGACCAGTACTGGGAAATTTTCATGTTGAGCTAAATTACCTCGATTAATCCTGTTGTTAATCAATCTGAATTTTACAGTCCATTTCTGATGTCATCAGTATATCCGCTAAATCACATAATGACTAACTTTTCTTTATCTAAGGAGAAATTATGACTGAGTAGTCGCGTTTACCGATTAATACACAAGACTCGGCCTTTAAACAGTTCTTAGTCTCAGGTGAATGATTAGAGAAGGCAACAAGTTAGGCAGAAGTATTTTTTTGGCTCATCATCTGTTTCTGTCTAATGTCGTAATGGGTACTTTCGGTAGTGTAAATAATTAATGCGTATCTATCTTTCCATCATCACACGCCAGTTGCTCATGGGACTCATCTCTCCCCTATCGTAATTGAGATAAATTATAAATTTAGTAGCGACCGATTGATTGCATTGATTTTTTTCTCATTGATTATAATATGCGATGATTATAGTTTGAGTTCATCAAGAAAATCTTGATTTTGTCGTTTTGTTTTACTCATCTGACAATATGCAAACTGTCTGAATAGTTTGGTTTTCCGAGTTTAACCTTCTTCAGTATGCTACTGATAAGATTAGTAACTTAACTGATAAAACCACTGTATTTTTTATCATGAAATTATATCCACTGATATTTAAATGATCTCGTCATTTAGTTGTGCATTTTGTGAATACCTTATGAATTTAGTTAACTATTCATGATAACTGAGGAAAAGTTTGATTTGTTGCTTCTTTCGTTAAGGAGAAATGTCAGAGAAAGGTAAATGGACGAAAAGTTTCTAGCAAAAATCTCGTGAACACAGCAGAATGTAATACGGATCGCATAAAGAGTGACATAGACTCAAAACAGGTATGTATTTCTGCTATACATAGCATGCACTTCTTTTATTCATACGTTTTCTTAGATGGATGATATTGTAAGATCCAGTCTAACTCCTATGAATGATAATAGAGGAATATCATTGAGAAATGGTAAGGTTGCTTTTTTTTAATATTATCGGGATAATTCACTAGATTTTATCGCTGATGAAAGTAAACAAACATTGAATAATAGTCTAGACAAAGGGATTTGCGAAAGTCATCCACTCTCATTAACACTAGAAAATGGTATTGACAAATGTGAGTTGTTTAACAGCAAATTACTAAGAGATACTGAAAAAAGTGATTTTAAAATGAGTAAGTTTATCTTAAAATCTGTGCATAAAGTCAAAAATATCATAACAATGCTACTGAGAATAATTTGTGTAATCTATCTAAGTTTACTTTCGGTTTTGTTCATACATCAGTTTATATGATGGGTTGATGATTTAAGTCAATTCAGTGAAGAAAAGCTTCCTTTCGATAAATTATTTTTAAAAACTGTACATCGTAATCATAGTTACAAAAAAACATGTATCCGGCAATAGGTAATTGGTCAATATAAATTCATCAAAAACGGTCAAAGTCACAAGGTGATAACAAGTAGAAAGTCAAATTTAGGTCATCAAAAATTGCTTATAGGATTATAGTAAATAAACACAGGAATGAATAAACTGTCTTATAGAGGTAACGACCAAGGCAGAATTAGAGATTGATTGTAACTTTCTTGAACACAAAGATCAAGCTCATAAAGTTGGACTGCCAAAGTCTCTGCTGTGCTGAAGTGGTGAATATGCACTCGTTTTGAAATGTTTGCCATTGATGTATATATATATATATATATATATATATATATATATATATATATATATATATATATAGTAACTATGATTATGATGCACAGCTATTAAAGATGATTCATCGAAAGGAAATTTTTCTTCGGTGAATTTTTTAAAATTAATTTTCACTACCTAATTAAACTATTTTGATTGTTGGTTTAAGTCAAAACAAAATTCTTGATCAGAGTTCGAACCGGAGACCTATAGCCTACTGTACAGTAACATAAAGAGAAGTCGTCAGTCCATGACTGTTTGAGATGGTTTTCTTTGTCAAGCAAATTCGGATCAAATATTTAGCTCTACAAGTCAGCTTAGTGTCCCATGAAAAATATCGAATTTTCTTCAAAACAGTTCACATTTTCAGTTCAAATATTCTATTTGTTTTTCATGGAGTTCTTTCCTTTCACAAATTTAAATCCATCAAAAATAATAGTTTTAGCAGAATAGCATGGATCCATTTTATTCCATGGTTTCTCATTAGCTGCTTACAACCTAGAACAATTTTAACATCAATTTATACAAAATGTCTGCATAATTGAATCAGCTTGTCAGGAAATTGTCGGTTTGCACTAAATGTATCATCGATATGAAATGGCGATTGACAGGTGGAAAAGTCTTCAACGAATCTATTGGTCGTCACCTTACTGATAGTGGACATGAATTCGATATTTAGAAGTCGTCCAAAATAAATAATAATAAGATGAATTCGAATTTGATGCATTTCGCTGAAGCGTTAACCACTAAATGATTAAAACTAGACGTGTGTTCAAAAAGAAATAGTTATCAGTCTATATCTACCATGGTAAAGGCTTTTATTTTGTTGACAATCATGTTTTTTACACATCATTATCGATTCATACAAGTTGTTTGCTATTTTGCATTTCACACCCTTGATCTAGTTTTTTGAATCCTGCTCAGATTAGCTACTAGTTAACATTAATCTTGTGACCTTTCACACATTTTGTGTAAGCTTTGTTTATACGTTAAATACACTCCCCCCCTCTTTTATCCACTTACCGCTCTAAAATATTCTCCTAAACTCTGGATATTTATTCACTCAATTCATGTGTTTTCAATTTCTTTATATCGATGATATCTTTAGTGCAAACCGACAATTTCCTGACAAGCTGATTCAAATATGCAGACATTTTGTATAAATTGATGTTAAAATTGTTCTAGGTTGTAAGCAGCTAATGAGAAACGATGGAATAAAATGGATCCATGCTACTCTACAAAAGCTGTTGTTCTTGCTCTATTCAAAAATATTCTGTTTGCATTGCAAAGGACAATTTTAGCTGACTGTAAATATCCCATTTTGTAATGCGAGAGAAAACCAAAGTCAAATGTATATCAACTAGAAATTAATAATATGCTGAGTGAATCACTAAGCTACTTCATGGAGGCATGCTTCCGTTGATGTGTACTAGATGCATAATGAGTGAATGTGGTTATGAAAGATACTACCAAATAGTATGCTTAGACATTAGATATGTGTGAAAATGTGATAAGGTACTCAACTTACTATAAAATGACCAAGAAATAAGTTCTCATACAGGTAAGTTCCAAGTGTTTATACCGAGCCTTTGAAAATATTTATGCATAGAAAGTAGTTTAGAAATTTAGTTTAGGAGCAGTAAGTACAAATGTTAATTTACTTATCAATTAAAGTAAATTGGTAGGTCTAGGTTCCCGTGCTATTTTTAACGTTGTAAATTTGAGTTCTTTTCCAGTTTTGATACAGATGCCGACTGAAGAGATGATTATTCCCATCTGAGTTTTATGTCGAGAATATTTATCTAGTGATCAAAACGTCAACTGAGGTTTCGGATTGACATGTTTTTTTCTTAACACCATAGTCATTATATTTGGTTAAATGTACTATAGAGAAGCGTGATTATTTTTCATGAAGGTAACTGTCAAATTTCCATTTTCAGATTCAACCATAGAAGATAATCATTTGGAAGAGCAAATAACAATTATACCCGAACAGTGAACTATAATCTTTTACAACAAGTTACCGACTAAAATTTATACATCAAATTTCATAGTTGAATTTTTACATAATAAAAAAATTAATGTTGTCCTAATGCTTTCACTTCTGTTGTTACCGTTAATTTTAGAATTTTCAGAGAAATGTTTGGTCATTCTTTGGTAGTTTGTATGTATCTGTTTTAGTTTGAATTTGATACTGTTGAATTTGTCATTATTACACATCATAAGAAAACCGTTGTACTTTGTTATCCAAATTATTGTAACAGTTTTTTGACTACTTATATGACCTGATGTAATATTGATACTAACCTGACGTAATGTAGAGCAATAAACTCACCTTACGATAAGAATATATGGAAATTTTGACATTATGGAGAATATTTGAAGCTCAAGAAGATGATTTTGCTACTGTTTTGTTCTCTGAGCTGGATAGTTGAATCGCAGAACTTTCATTTTCATTCTTAACAACATTAGCACAACCTTCATCAAAGAGTGAGCTATGGGGTCTCTGTTACAAGTGGCCTGGCAGGTTGTCCTGATGAACTTGGGTGTGATTGGTTGTTTCTGATAAAATCTTATCTCTTTATATATTTCGGTTACTTGACCTGCTGGCGTGAACTTTGACCTTCTTATTGTTTCTTGTGTTGTTTATTCGTTGTTAGATTGGGTCTTTGCCAATATATATGTTGAATACTGACTGATGGGAATAGCAAGCTTCAACTGGAAAAGTGTGGAAATTATGAATAGAGGAAATAAAAAGAATGTCAGTAAAGTTTTAGAAGCGTGGTATTCAGGTCAGTCAGTAATCAACAAATATATTGACATCGACCCAATCTATCAAACAACAAGAAGGTCAAAGTTCCCGTCAGTAGATCAGGCAATCGAAATATGTAAGGAGATAATGACAAGACTTTGGCATAAACAATCAATCACACTCAACTTCATCAAGACAGACTACTAAGACAGATGTAGAGAAAACTCCATTGCTCACTCTTTGATGAAGTTTTTGTTGATGACGTTATCGAGAATGACAACTTACTGGTTAGACCAAAGTTAAAGTATTTTAACTCTCGAAGTAAAAGCTTGTTCATGAACTAAATCATTGGATGCTGATAAGCCGAAGTTAATACTGTTAAGAATTAATATGTATGCTTCAAATTTAAAGTCTTTCCATTCAATCTGTTTCTGGAAAATCTCGTGTATACTGAAACGTAATCAAATGTAGATGTACTGTGCAAGTAGTATATCTCGTTACACAGAATTGTGTCGTATAGAAAATTATATGTTCCCTTGAACTAGAGGAATAACTATTCAGTAACCTCAGACTCAGGAATTTATCCAAATCTGTACTGGATGTTTGTGTACCGTTTGAATTACTTATTTTTTTTATTCAAGAAGCTGAAATAGTAGACTAAATGGATGAATACAATCTGTCGAAACTTGCTGTGGTTGGAAAAGAAATCTTGAAGTGGTATCATAAAGCTGAAGCTTTTGTCGTAAATTGATTTAGTCCAAAGCATATTTAGCTTTATTTTACTCACATGAATTGCATCTTTAAGATGACTAGTCATAACTGTAGACTATACAGATGATAAATGGGCTGCATAAATCCACATTTATTTTAAATATCCAGTGATATGGTTGGGCCCACTTTTTCTCTAATAGTTGGACAAGGACTTTTCAGTAAATGCCTGTTGGAGTTCTACGGAATGGCAATTTCGTCAAGCTTTACCGACTGCGATATTACGAATAGCAATAGTTGCTACCACAGCGTAAAAATAACACTCTTTATTTAATGTGCTGTGTTCAAGTAAAACTGTTAGATATATTTGATCCATTTCTGTCAAATGACTAGAGCCGTTCACATTAATTTTTCTTCTTGTAACAAAAGAACTAGTCAGAATGTGTCACCTTTTGAATAGTTTACTCTATTAAATCTCATCATCCGTTTTGTTGGTCTTTGAAAAATTTCTAGGAAAGGGACAGTTGAGAAAACAATAGATGCCGAATTATAATAGATATCTTTTGACCATCCCATCAAGCTGTTAAGTCAAAGATGCTGCCAGAAATTTCTCACTGTTAGTACATCAGCTATTATGAATCACATCAAGAATGGAGTGCACCGTTCTGTTTCTTGCAAATAGTTTTAAGTGTAACATCGAACCCGTGTAACTCAATATCTGTATTTGTTACATCAAGTAGTCATACGGTTCTTAGATGTAAGTTCTCGGAAAATGTAGATATCCTGTTGAACTCAGTTAACTCAGGGGCTTATCTCGATTGTCGTCAAACTGACTATTTTTCAATGCCTCTAAAGGCATTACCATTTTCACCTGGCGATATCCATTATGTTACATCTTCAACTCTAATTTGTGCCAGTAACTGTTTGAGCCTGTTGAACTTGCATGCATAGCTTTTTTAAGCCACCAGAGGAACTGATATTTCTCACTGGTACATTTTGATTTATCACCATTCTATGTGTGTCATCTAGTTAGATTTCATAACTGTTATTGCTATTGGTTTCCTTTTAACTGTTCAGCACAAAATTATTGTAGCGGGAACTGATACATTATTATGTCATATTATGTCGTAACTTTGATAAGACTCATATAAAACTTTCTCACTTATGGGCTTTCTTGAAAGTATCATGCTATTCGTAGCAAAATGCTGCATGATATAATTTAATCTTAGGTCAGTAGTCCATGCGATTATTACTAAGTGATATGTTCAAGTGATTTTCACTGTCATTTTATATGACATATTTACTGGTGCTCTTAGATTACTTAAAACCATAGAGTAATCTTTTATAGAACCGTCTTTAATGAAAACAAGAGGAGCAGTCACTTTACTTTATCAGTTTTGTCAATAATTTAGATTAAAACTGAGGGTGTTACAACCATCATATCACCCGTGAACTGTCATGCAGCGATTCAGTAGTTCTTAAACAAAACATTGACCACTTTACCCTGAGTATGGATGATTTTTGAGTAGAAATACATTAAGTTTGATTCCTTGACGAGTCTATTATAAATAAATCATTTATTGAAAACTCAGTAATGCTATTTTATTTTATATGAAATGCTATTTGTTATTTGTTGCTATTCATGATTCACGTTATGAATATCTTTTTGTGCAGGAGTATAAAATTCCAGATTTTGAGGAATTTGTCAATGAAGTGATTGGTAGGATTTCAAACATTCCCTTGGAAAAATTGTATGAAAACTACTTTGAGAAATCAACACAGAGAAAATGTTACCCAGTATTAGGTGGTGTCAGAAATTCGCCTCAACAAGAATTACTATCAAGTATCATAGCTGATTGTGGCCTACCAAGGACTAATTCTGCGAAGAAAATCCCAAAAAGAGAAAAGAAAAACACTAGTGGGAATGGCTTTTCGAAAACTGGGAGTGAACTCCAAGTACAGGAAGCAGACGGTGTACAGTATCAAGACTTACCAGGCATGCCTGTTTAGTGACAAATGAGGACAGTTTTTAGTTTGCCGCTTACTGTCATTTTCAGCATACCTTGTAGGAACATACTAAAGGTTACAAGTTACAATGAAATTTACTTAAGTCAATTTTTTGAATAGTTCTCTCTTAGCTCTACAAATTGGTTAAAGATGACAAATATTATTGTCATGTTCGAGGAGTTTTATTGACAGAAAGCTGTTATTGGCAGATCTATTTTAAAGAGTTGTTCAGTCAGCATGCACATGACACAGTTAGTAGGGGTGGGTGGATTACTTCAAGTAAATGAAATAGGAAAGGAGTTATCGATAAACAGAAAAATTGATTTCAAGAACTGAAATAAACATTTTCTCCTTAACTTCTGTTAGATCAAAAGTTATTTCAATTCATCTGATGATTCTTGCACTAGTCGATTTGGCTTTTCATGAATTTGGTCTATAGAAACATAATTAATTATGCTGATTACAAAACTGTCCTTCGCAAATTTGCCAAAGTGATTTGATGCCAGATTAATACCGGTCAAAAATATTCCTCATCAAACTACGAGTTGTAATAATGATGTGATTTATCCCCATGGCCTCATCAGCACTATAATTTTTGACTAAACGACAGTTAGAAAATCGGCAGTAAGCGTCATAGTGAGGGAAAACGCAACGTGAGATGAAGTTATGGGCGGAAACTTAGGTCATTTACAGGTATGAAGAAGAAGGATACTTTAAGACAGCTTAGTCCTGAAAATTTGGACTCCAACTTTAGAGAAAGCATTTTGCAACCTCTAATATCCTTGGAATTACACGCAGAACTACAATGATTTAGGCACATAAACAAGGTTATATATGATGCATATCAAGCCATGATTTCAGATTATTAGGTTATATTAGTGTTTCATGTACTCAATGATCAGAAGTTTGCAGTAAGAGTTCTTCTTGGTGTTTTCAAAGAACTCTATTGGATAAAGAAGGGAGGTGTTCCCCAACCACTTAGACTAAAATTGCGATCATGGAAAATCGTTCTTCTTGAGATGTGGATCTGAACAAATAAGGCGTTATATTATTACTTATCAGGCACGCTTTACGTCAGCATAGTAAAGGGTAATGGACAACAGAGTACCAGTACCAGTACTTAGGAAAAGTAGAAGACACAAATCAAAAGTAGTAAAGGAGGTTAATAAACAGTGAGATTTTTATCAAGACCTGCTACAAATGCATGTTTCCTGCATTCTTTTCGAAAGTCTCTAACCGTCAATTTTAGATATTTCGTAAAGTCCATTTGAAAATATGTACTATATACATGGCTCGAACAAAAAGTCGTAAACTTTAGGGATTGGTACTGTTTTAATTTGATCACTGTGTTTCAACTCAGTTCTACTTTAAAACTGGGTATTGATACAGGCAACAGTTCTGCATGCATTAGATTATGACTCAAGCATCAGTTGGTCGAGATATATAATTTAATCAACCGATTTACCTCCTTTTTCTAATATTTTACATCTGTCTATTCGACTGCTCACACTGATTCAGCCATGTGTGACTGATGCTTAGATGGTAATGACAGTCAAGTACTCAAAGTTTTTGTAAATCATTCACATTCAGTTATGTTCTGCAGATGTTTCCTTGAATACAGTAATCTGCTTCGTAGTAATTGGTACTAAATCATTTTTCGAACTGGCCATAGTTATTGACTTTCATTCATATTAATATACATCTTCCCTGCCAAAAGCAGATAGAAAAATGTAAGAACAGTTGTGTTAAGTAACTCTTGTGATAATTTATCCACATAGTGTTAGGTATTTCGAGCCATGCTGCAAAGCATTGAAGAACAAAACGAAGTCCCCTGCAGTTTCATATCACTTAGACAAGTAGTTATGTGCAAAACTAGCAGAATTGAGTCCGCACTCAGGAATACATTAGCAAAAACTTGGTGTTCTATTCGTAAACCTTTTTATCACTGATGGTAACCTATGCTATATAGCCTTAAGAGCCTAATGATATATATATATATATATATATATATATATATATATATATATATATATATATATATATATACTGTACAAGGCAAATACCCTTAGTTTTTCTCGTAAATAAAATATGAAACTTGTAAGATATGAAGAAGCTTAAACAACATACACACTACGTTTTTACTTTTTCACATGACTGTCTGTTTATTAATAGTTTCCTTTAGAGTATTTTTTTTGGTCGAGTTTGCAGGGTAATATGGTTATATTTTTGTCTGAATTTTTTTCCGTAGGAACCTGGGTTGAATGTAGCTTTTGCTCCAAGTGGCGTTACCTACCGAATGTTCATGATCCTTCTCAGTTAGAATCCTCATGGTATTGTGCTTTAAATCCCAAATACTCTAGAATAACACCTCATGATTCTTATTCAAATAAATATATTCATAATCCATGCGAAGAACCTGAGGATTTTAGTGCTGTTAGACAGGAAGATGATTTCATTTTTGGACATTTTTCAGTGGGATCTGTGGTTTGGGCTAAGATTCAAGGTAAGTTTCCTGAAATTTCCATCTACTAGAAGGATGTTCTTGCTCAGAATGTTAACTTATGAGTGATAATAAGAGTATCTTGTATTCTCCACTTAACTGACAGTAATGATGTATTAAAAAAAATGATAGGGAAGTATTCATGGAATTTTAGAGAATATGCGCATCTGTAATATTTAACTTAAGCTTTTTTCTCCTAAGATTTATTCTAATCTGTCACTTTATCCTATCTTCGTAAAGAATTTAATTGGAATGCTATAATGTAACTCAACCCGGTACATATGCTTGTGCACAAAGTTACCAACCACACTTTTTGTTTAAGTAACTATGTTACTACCCGATTGCTTAGGTCGAAGGAGGTGAGTGAAATGCTAAGTTAAGCTTACTTCTATTGATGGTCGATATACGATTCGCTGTTGAATAACTTTCTTATTTTGTCTGCTGAACATGATGCGTTATCACAAGGTGAACTTATGGTGAATAATATATGAGCTATTTTACAAAGTATACCTAACATTATCAGTCTAGTACTATGGTTCATTGTATATTTTAAAAGAGAATGAATTTCTTTGCTGTAATAAAGCCATTGGAGGAATTTATGCGTGAATATCGTTTCAGATGAAATTTAAGGTAAAAAGTAGTAGATCTGTATTAAGAGTTTTGGAATTCTACGTATATTAAATCCATGATTAATCAGATAAGCATCTGCACATAATAATCGGTAAATGGACAGTAACCACTGTCACATTTACTGGTTTATGTTACTAATCGAATTCTCTTTTTCAAGTATTGTAATGCAACTGTTAAGCTGATAATTCTGTGTGCACTGTGTTTAGTCTTCAATGTCTAGGGTTATTTACAACCAGTACTGATAAAAGTGGCCAAGACAGTAATCAACATTGAAGTCGCAGGCCATTAAATCTGAAGTTTTCGAATTTCGATCTACTTTGTCATGTGATCAGAATAACCATGTGGACAGATTGACTGTCCAATGGGTTAATGTGTTTAATATATTTTATGTATACGATTAATTTTTAATATGTAAGTAAAAATTGGGCAAAGGAGTTGACTGTATCACGCATGAAATCAGTATTATTTATTGAAGAAAGTTTTGGGCACAATTTATTTTTCTAGCAGTTACAAACTAGTCTTTGTTTTATGATATCTTTGTGACTTATAAAACAATCGCTATTCTTGTACAGTTCCAGTGTGTTCGGAAATTCAGTGTGGTTATTTTTTATTAACTTTCACTAATCCGCTCCAACACTTCAAGTAGCAAGTTATTAATGCTTGTTGGAACTCATGAGTGGGTGTATGTATTCCTCAAGGTACGCTTAGTTGTATGTATTATTTCCAACGTTAATAATGATAGATGTAGTCTTTTATTTCGGAAGTACCATGCATCTTCATAAAGCTCTGGTGGATGGCAGCTCTGATTCACTGTTCTATCAAGGGTGGATGCGACCAATTTATGACAAAATGTATTTCTTACAACAAATTATTTTAGATTTTACATTTTTCACTTGTAACAAAGAAATCATAGTGATGAGAGCATAAGCCCGTTACAGATACTGAGATGTATGTATGACGTCAATTTAAGAATAAAAATGTAGCAAGCAAGTTTACCAAGATTTCCAGCATACAACTGGAGTAATCTTTCCTGAGTAATCCTTCGAACTTCAGCGATGAAACAAAAAACTATGACTAATCACCAGTTTGCTGTTTAGATTTTAGATTAAGAATAACTTCCCTCACCACTTTATGAATAAACGTCTTTGTACTTATTTGATTTTAAACTTGACAACGTTGTTTTCAAATTGTCTTTAAGCTGTATATTGAATTACGATTCACTGCAGTTTTTTTGCTTTTTTTAGTCAAGCCTAGTATTCACACGATTTTAATTCCATGTTGAAGGTAACTCAGATGAATGGAATCTGTGTGTGAGATTCCATAGTTGTGTCTCTTTAAAATTAAATATTAAGGCCGTATAAATAATGTTAAAAGGCTGGGTTGGAAACGTTTGGTATGTATGCCACTGATTGGTGTGAGTATTTGGTTAGCAAACACCAGTGATCGGTGTAAGTCTACTTCGCTTACTAATGCCAATAGTTGATTAAGGGAATACAAACCTTTATTTTTGAATCATTTTTTACTTACCTCTTCCTTTTTCATTGTGTCGATCTTATGGAATCCTTCTCGTATGTATCTGCAGATAAAAACTGAAGTAATTTATCATGTACACAGGTTACTTAGGTTACACATAAATTTATAAATCCAATTGATTCATCCTCACACGGTAGTGAGATCAGGTTTTACTTTTTAACTTGGGGTTTTTAAGTAGTTCTATTCAGTTCAAAACTATCTGTTCCAGAGTATGTTGTAGTGGAATATTGAATGTTATTAGTATTTCGTTGGATATTTCCAAACTTGTTTCCGTTGTAGCTTTTTGTTTCTTGCAATTATTCAAGCTACTTATGAGTAGTTGACAAGTGTTTTGAAAAAAACTGCAAGAAAAGTATATATATATTTTACAGGTTATCCATACTGGCCAGCCATGGTTTATTACAGTAGTCAAGGGAAATATGCTGAATTCGATTCGAACAGCAAAGAGGTGACTCACTACAATGTAGTCTTCTTAGATCCAAGCTGTTCAACAATGAGCCGAGTGACATCAAGTAGAGTTCATAAGTTTACCACATTTGACGAAATGGATCTTAATAAAGTAGTAAGTTAATAGTTCTCTTCTTTCTGCTAATGCTTGTTGAGTAGGTTTTGTCAAGACCTGCATCAATTATTTTGTATCAGATTTGTTTTGTGACAAAATTGAGAAATCGATAGTGTGATGCATGTTTTGTTTGCTTTTATTATTAGTCCCCATCTTTTTCTTCAATTTCACAATGATTGGAATGTTTTTTAATACACAGGCGTCCATCATGCGATTCCAGTTTTCCTGACTAAGCATTTTGAGTCAATGCTTTGGCAACCTGTAAAATGCTACTTCAAAGAGTTTAGATGCATCAATACATTGGATTCGACCAACTTTTTGTTATACTAAGGCAGTTTGGCGACAATCTTCAGGCTGATAGTGATGTATCCAAATTACTTTAGCATGGTTCCCAGCGCTCTGACTGAATGAATCACATTAAAATAAATGGGGCAAAATAGCATGTCTTCCTACTTTTGATTCAAGTGATTGGAATAAAGATGGTAAGCGGTTTGGAAGTGTTATATACTGCGTTCCCCTAGCTGTACAGAAAGCTTTTTGTTCAGTTTCTTCCAAGTACATATCAGTTGCTTATTTTAACAACAGAAGGCGAAGTAGTTGGGTTTGTTTTTCCCTAGAGATATTTGCCATCGGAGACCTGGGGATGGGGTAACTTTGGTTTAAATTCACCAAACTCACTCCGTACTTGCGAAACTGCAACATCTTTGTCTCTGTCGAAATGTTCCAACGTGTCGTACTGCATACAAATGATCGAATTCCAGGCAAGAAACGTTAGCTGTTTAGCAGCTAACCTTTGTTTTTTGATATCAAATCACAGGCTATGCCTTATGTCCGATGCTGGCTGGATTATTAGTAGATGGTAACAGAGAAAAACCTCTATAAGATAGAATTTAAATCTATCAACTGACTAATTCTTGATTCAAATTGTGTAATAAATTGTAGGGATCTGATAAGTGTTGGAAACTATTACTTGAAGGCTTTAATTAACGTAGTCCAATAATTGATCACAGCGGTGATTCAGTGTTTAAATTCCTCTCAATTTACAACATCTTACTGCTCCAAATCTTTTCTGTACTTGTCCACTCACTGACCTCTGCTTTTACTTTCAATAATGTTTTGAGTTTTGTTAATTTTCCGCTCATATAGTGTTCAGAAGCGTTACAAGTGAGTTGATATATTTTGACTCAGAATTTTACGTTGTTCGATCTAGTTGTCTATCTGCATTCAGCAATATTTTTAAGCATTTTCAGTGAAAAAGATAATTAGCATACATTTTGGGCTATATTTGTAAATTTCAGATAGTTTTAACACATTATTTTTTTTAACAATCCCAGCCTAAACGATTCTGGAGGAGACTACGAGCAGCTGGACAAGAGGCTGAAGATGCTCTGCTGCTTAGCGTAAAGGCGAGTAATGAGGTCTTTGAGTTCACTCAATTTGTTTTCATGATATTTTGTCAATAATGTTTGAGACTACCTCCATGAAAAGACTAGTATTGAAATATTTATTATGCTTTTTATTCAGTTTATAGCAGCAACTCATGAATAGACCACCTTACACATAAATAGTGTCCCAAACCTTATAAAAGTAATTTGAAGCATATATGACCCACGAAAACCTTTTCCTTCGAATGTTAATTAAATTACCGTTATTTGGTTGTTGATGAAATAGACTCTCGTCGTTGATCGTTTGAGCCGGTAAAGAATCATCGGCTACTTACCACTTGGAGATAATACTGAATTCTAAAATATAATTCGGTTTTCGAACTATATCTGTTCAAATCACTGGTATCCTTTGCTCATCTATGTCGAGAATCGGTGGTTATCTAAAGTACGGATGTTGATGCCAGATTCAAATTAAACCACATAAAGTCGTTTCACAACGTTTCTTCTATAATTTTATTCAAAAAACCGAAATATATAACTGGATTTTTATAAGTTACTTCTTAGTTTTCAAGGCTTATTAATCCTCATGATCATTGTGGTGTAGATTTTCATTAAAAACCTTTTGAAAGTCATTTCCTATAATAAAGTAGCTGTTGGAATCCTCGAGTTCAGAGAAAACGTGTAATAGTATAGGTGATGCTGTATGATCGTTTCTAGTAAAAGTAATAATAATATGTTTGTTCTATTCCAAACCATAATTATGTTTATTGTACAGATTTCTCAGTATGTGATATTCCATAAGTTTACCCGTTGTACAACATTTTGCACATTATATTAACAATGGTGCTGTTTAACAATACGTAATAAAGAATAACAGGATTGGTGAAATGCTTAGTGATCTCAGTGACATGATAACTGTTCGCTATTACAAACTTGATTGAACGGGCTATGTCTGTCATGATTTGCGTCACACAATACAGAAGCTAAACAAGGTATGGTCGAATTTTTGAATGTAGTTGTGCGTGCATTGAGTCTAATATATTTGCTTCTTGTCTTCCCAGAGAACAGACATAGAGAGATGTGCAGATGCAGAGAATGCTTATCATCAGATAAAATATTTTTAGCCTATCCATGATCACATTTATCACCACAATTAGTAGTGTACCACTTGCTCTACTAACAGTCTTCAAAATCCTACTCAATACAGCGCTGTCTTTTTTTCCGTAGTCCACTACTCTTATCACAGTAGAAATGAGCTATTCTGAGTTGTGAATTCCTTCTTGAAACAAATGTGAATATAATTATCAATTGACAATATGCATTATGTAGTGACTGTGCCTAGATAAAATTTCTGATGACTTATTATTTACATAATGTATTTCTGCATCAAATTATGGAATACTTACTAAGCACTACTAGTCAACTAAACTTGTGATGCGATTTACTTTGATACGCTGCTTAGTTAAGCAAAAGACTGCATCGATTTGATAACTTTTTGCTAACAGTACAAAAATCTTCTATTGGTTTAAAAAATTTCTTCTTGTTTTAGGATAGGATAGCAGCATATGGGTATGCTCATCAATCTGAAGATATTGCAGTCAAGATAAGACCTAAAGAAATCAAATCCAAAGTATGCTGGTGTATTCCTTGTAAAAATGGAGAGTTCTATGCTTTCATGTGTTTTCCGAACTAAAATGGTGAAGTTTATTGTTCTTGTAGATAATATTGTCAGTAGGTTTCAAAAGTTGGGCTGCAAAATGGTACACAGCATGCATTTTTATGTAATCAATTTATAGGTTGCTAGGACTTTGAAGCCTACAGACTATTGCTTTGAAAATGAGTTGTTTATTTATTATTATTGCCTCAGATTCTGTCATGAAAGTGCATTGAGTCAAAATATATAAGAAGGATTTCCACCGAAATGATTCAAAGATGTTTCATAGGTCCCTGGCTGCAACCATGTAGCAACAACAACAATGTACGATGATTCGCTTTCATTTTTTGTTTGCGTAGGTAAAAGGCTGTTGAATGAGGTGATAAACAGAATGCACCTGGTAAAGTAGATTATTATTACTTGTCTCTTGAGTTCCTAGTGGAATATAGGGCTTCAGTAGCACGTCTCCATTTCAGTCTCTTCTCTGCGGTCTTTTGAACCTGGCTCCACCATTGCCCATAAGCTCTCATTCCCTCCTCACACCATCTCCTACATGTCACCGTCGCCTCGGACGCTCAACTCGTCGTTTCCCATCGGGATTCCACTCGAGGGACTGGCCTGGCACGTGATGTCCCCAATCGGTCTTCTCAGTGCATGCGCAATCCATCTCCATTTCCTTCTGCATATTTGTTCAGCGATAGCTTCTTGGTTGGTTTGTCGCCATGCCAGAGTTTCTTGTTGCTTATTCTTTCTGGTTATCTGATCCTCAGTAACGAGCCAGCGTAGGCAGTTGTTGGTGGATGTCAGTAGTTTGTTGGAAATGCCTTTCGGAACGCACCAGGTCTCTGAACCATATAGAAGCACTGACTTGACTAACATTAGTGTTGAAAATCCGGATCTTGTTCACGCTTTATGCTGAGTGCAGAAGATCTACACACTAGTTTCAGGTTAATGAACTCCTCTCTTGCTTGTCCGATCCTGGCTGGCTTTGACATCCTCGTCTGTGCCTGTGCCGCCTGTAGTTGAAACAGTCCTGCCTAGATAGGTGAAAGAGACTACTTCCTTTAAGTTTCTCCCGTCCATGGTGATTGGAGCTTGTTGTTGGCGGTGGTGGTGTTGGTTGAGCGTCATCACAACATCTGTCTTCTCTACGTTCACCTGAAGGAAGTCCAATTTTCGCTGCCCTGCCTCTTCTGTCAACTTGTTAGTTTTTGCCTGTAGATCTTCAAGTATGTGTGACATTGGACACAAGTCAACAGCAAAATCCAAATTTTCTAGGCTCTTTTCATCGGTCAAACAGCGTATGCCCATCTTCTCGCTCCTCACGGTTTGCTGCGTGATCCAGTAGACCACAATTAGGAAGATGATCAGTGACAGTAGGCGGAAACCTTGTCTTACTCCTGTCTTCACTTCCAAGGCGTCACTGAGCTTTCCACCATGGATCACTTGGCATGTGGCATCTTCATATAGCTGTCTTATGAGGTTGATAAAGCTTTGTGGTACTAAAACTGTAGTGTTGGAGCAGCTACCGGCCAAATTACTTCTCGGTCCACATTGTCAAAGGCCTTATCAAATTCAATGAAGTTGAGGTAGGGAGTTACCTGCCATTCAATTCTCTGTTCTATTATGATGTGTAGCGTAGCGTTGCAATTTGGTCCGCACGTGATTTGTACTTCCTGAAGCCAGCCAGCCCGTTCCGGTCGTAATTTTGAATCCAGAACATCTTTTAGTCTCTCCAGGATGATGCGGCAAAATATTTGCTTGGGTTGGACAGGGGTGGAGCATGATTCCGCACCAGTCCTTGCAAATTTTTAGGTCTCTTGCTTTTTGGGGTTTTGACACGGTGGCCCTTCTTCCAATCACTGGGCAGGTACCTTTCCTTCCTTCCTTGCAAACCTTCTGTAGTAATGATGTGAGGATGTCCGCTGTTGTCCCTGCGTCTGTTTTCAGTGCTTCTGGCGGAGTTCCATTTGGTCCTGCCGCTTTCCCGGATTTCAGCGTCTTTATGGCGTTCAGGACTTCTGCCTTTGTCGGAGGGCTTGTGTTCACTGGTAATTCTGTGGATGCTGGTAGTATTTCTGGACGAGTTGCAAATGGTGGTTGTGGTCGATTCGAGAGTTTTTTGAAGTGGTCAGCCCGTCGTTTTCTTTGTTTCTCCTCTCTCTTTGGTAACTAGGTTTGCATCACTATCTTTCATTGGTTTCATCTGCGTTGATCTCTCCTCAGATAATAACCTGGTTATTTGATATAGTGTTGTCAGGTCTCTCCTACCTGCAGCACTGTTCTGCTTCAGTTGTAAGGGTGTCGTAGTGGTGTCTTTTGTGTTTGCGCGCACTCTTCCTCACTTGTTTGTCAAGCGTTTTATAGGTTGTATTCACTTCCTCTTTTCGCTGTTCATCCTTACACTGGTTTATCTTCTGCTTCACCATCTTCCTCTCCTCTTCGCTATCAGTTTCCATGTGTCCATCAAGATACATTCCTTGTCTTGTTTCTTCCTCCTTGCTATTACGGTTATGCAGGTTTCCTTCCACGTCCCTTCCAAAGAGTTGCAGTGTTCTTCCACGGAGGTTTCTTCAAAGATCTTGCTTGGTGTCTCCCATTTTGCTGTGTTAACTGAAGTGAAGATGTCATTTGTGGTTTCACCCTTCAGTTCAGTTTCTGTTCTAGGTGTTGAACTTGAACTGTAATCTGTCGCCAACTTTTGCGAAGGGTTTCAACTTGATTTTTAAGGTAGGTTTCTTGGACTAGATAGTGAGTGGTGTGAACCTACATCTGCTCCCTTTCTTCATCTGATCTGATTTTGTGTCCAGGGGGCTGGCTGCGTCTCCACTTTCTTGAGATTGAGATGAAGTCCATGTGATTTTTAGTGTGTCTGGTGTCTGGGGAAATCATATCCATGTCGCTGCCTTGTGAATATCCATGTGTGTGTTTGTACACACTGCCTGCAATCACCAAATCGTTGAATGCGCAGAATTCTTCATTCTCGTTCATTTCACAGAGTAATTCTCGACCCATGATGGATGAGTTCTCTTCCTGTGTTGTCTGCTCCCAGTTTGGCATTCATGTTACCTCACCCATTAGAATGGATTTTGATGTCACTAACTAGAGTGGGGTCTTGTCGAGTACTGATTGCAGTTGTCTGTAGAATTCCTCCTTCTCTTGATCTACATTATTTGTAGCTGCGTGGGATTGTACGATTGTGACTTTCCTTCCTTTTGAGTTGAACCTTTCTGTCATGATCCTGGAGGAAACTGGTTCCCACTGCATGAGAGCCTTTGATGTTCTTGGGGAAATCATGATACTCACTCCCTCCGTGTGTTCGTGCTTGTCGTCTGGATGACCGGAGTAGATTATTGAATCTCCAGTTGACAGTTTGGAGAGTCCACTTCCATTCCATCTGCTTTCGCAGATTCCTAGCACTTCAGTGCTATACCTTCTCATCTCTTTTACAATCTGGGTAGCCTTACTAGGTTCAAACATTGTTCGAACATTCCATGTCCCCATTCTTTTTCGAGAGAGAGAAGACACATTTACCGACTGGCTTCCAGAAGTCTTTCACTAACCGGAGCCATTTTGCTCCTCCGATTCCAGCGAGGAATAATTTTATATATTTTATGTTTTCTTTGTGCTTTGAAATTTCTTTAGCGGTTGGATTGGTTTTCCGGGGTAGGGTTGCTAGCCCTATGCCCAACCTTCCTTCTTTATCCGGGCTTAGGACCGGCTAGTAAACTAGTGAACTAGTTACCTAGGCGAGGTTCAAAATGTTTTTTTTTGTTTCCTTCTGGATGACCATTCCATGAGATAAATGATTTTCACTGTTTTGGCATTTTATTCCTGGATATATAGAAAATTAAACAAGGTTAGTTTTTACTGATGTTTGAATATTTAGCTCTGATGGCTTTATCAAAGTAATGGTAATTCACCATATCAAAGCTGATATTTGATGAATATGATTAATGTTCTTTTGGATGAATGGATCTGCATTGTCATGTAGTTGGGAAGATAACGAAAATATGCATACAATGTAACGTGTGATAATTGTATGAATTACGGGATTTCAGTTTATATACGTACGTGTTAATACTACACATGTGTTCATCATGCCAGTTTTCAAGTTGGGCTGAACCCAAACCAAGCTTTATTGGGCAATTTTGATTGCATTTTATGTGAAGAGACTCAACTACAAGACTCTACTTCTAGCACATAAAATCTTTCTTAACAATTCAAGCAGTAATGAAGTTAGCACCATGACGTATAAAACTATGGCTGAATTGTTGGTAGGCCTTATTTGAGATTTGCTGGATTTCTTGAGTCAAATATTATTCTTCCATGTTTGTGTTTTCAAACCTTGATTTCACAGAAAGTTTGCTACATGCATACTGAGCACTAGTTTCAGCATTCGGTTATGAATTCTTCGCCTAAACTTTACATGTACTCGTTATCTTTTTAAACTACCTGGTAACCATGAATCGAACTTGTAGAAGGGACCTTCATCAAGTTATCTTGTATACGCTTTTGTGTTACAAATTACAGTTTAACATTACTTTGGTAAAGTCATCAGCTCTAAATATCAAAGTATCAGTCAAAGCCACTTTGTTACGTTTTTATTTTATTGGGAAACGAAAACATCGAAATGATGAATATCCCTTATTCAATCGTTATTTTAGACTATCGATTCCTGATGTTATGGTTTACTTGGGGGTTAGCGGTAGAATCTAGAACGCGCCTCTCGTCCTATTTGGGTCTTGTAAGCTGGATGTTCTTTAGCTTGGGACATATGCCTATAAAAATGAGTTTCTAAAATTAGAAAAAGTCGATTTCAAAAAATTATGGGTCTTGCATTTTTGCCTTGAAATAGTCCTCAAAATATGCTGTTGTTCGAAGACCTAAATTATGTGGAGAAAAACTCTCATATCACCCATAACATTTTCTTATTTTCAACAGGAGGAAAAAAAATTTATCATCACTACTGTTATCATTAAAAAGGTGAAATGATAACTTAGTAGCCAAAGATTGGAGAATATTGTCAGTGAATGATATTCAATGAGTTGTGGAAATTTTTGTTTGTTGCTATGTTCTTTCAAAAAAAGTGTTCTAAAGTGTGCAGTGCATTAAACATACCCATAAAAGTATTATATATGGTTGTGATTAAACAGCTTCGAGGATAAAACCACTTAAAATAGTCTATTCACCAAACCACTTGTTTTCCCGTAATATTTTTTGTTTGCAATTAGTTTCATTAGGAATTTCATTCCAGCAAAATGCTGGTTATAAAACCTAGATTCTTAGAGATGTTTCCAGCCAATTTGATTTCATTTGGTTGTCATGTTACAGCTGTTGAGCCTGAAAAGGTGCATGGATGAGGATCAACGGAACTGTTCCTTTTGGTGCTATGCCATCATTCAAGTCTATCCTCCTTCAAGCGGACGCTGTAACATCCTTTTACGAAACAGTTCAACTAATCAGTGACATTTTCACCGCAGATTGATCAATTAGTATTGATAAGAGTTAGCTAATATCTACTAACTTCGCTTTATCCATCCATTTAGAATTAGCCACCTATCGTTGCTAAAGGTAGCATGTATATTAATTTCTATTTCGACAACTTCCGCACCTAACTGTATATGGACCTTGGAGGGATGCCCCAGATGAAGCTACCAAGAGCCAACTACTCTATTTGGAATTTTTACGGGTCAGTGTAGTCCTTATAGTCATTTTTATGGCACACTGGAAATGCTCCTTCCTTCATCAAGATGGGTAACATTTGTCATATCTCGATGACTGTTTACGTAGGTCCTCTTCACAAGAAGCTGTAGCAGCCTCCTTTTTGATCCGAGCTTGAAAAAATTGCCAATTTTAGTCTTCCCATGAATTTTAGACTTAGATATATGCCTGGTGGAGTCAGCCTATGGTCAGCCTAAGAAAGAGCAGAAACCTCCCACCGATGACCCCTAAGTGATATCTGATGGCTCTATATCGTCTATTTGTATCTACTTTTCAGTCTGCATCGGTAGAAACCAAGTTAGACAATGCTTCTCTTAATGTTCGAAATTCGTGTTAGATAGAAATAGGTGATGTCTGGGTATATTTGTGGCTGACAACCAGTATTGTCGGTTCCTTAGGTTGAAATTCTGAAATTACCATCAGAGTACTCTCCTCTGCGGATTAACCTTTTCTGATTGTGCATTGAACTTCCTGCTGTGAAAACCATATGTGTAGGTTTTGTGTTGGAAGTTCTGATGTATAGTTAGAAGCGTAGTGTCTGGAGACATTATGTGAAATTGAATCGCCCTACTGAGCTCTGTAGCTAGTAGAAGTGGAAGATAATATCGAACAATGAACAGGGAAATGTGTCGGAAGCTTACCAGATTGAGAAGAAGATAAGATGCTATTTCAAGGGACTTCGGTACTAATAGAGACCTGAAGGTGGTTAACACTCCTAGTTGCGTAAAGCATAGGAACTCACTTCTTGAGGTATTTAAAAAAGCAGTTGGATAAATAAAGTGTTCTTATCTATCTTTAAAATTTTTGTTTCTACAATCTTTGCTTAATAGTGATGTATAATTAATTGGAACTCAGAAATAGCAAACCAAAAACGGACACTTCTCTCACTTTAACCAGATCTATGCCATTTTTCCGACTCATACTACAAACACAATTGCTAGCATGATTAAATAACCACTTTAATCTGGAAAGTGACATCGACTTTATCGAACAAGAATTTTTAAGTTGGGAACTGATTCTGGATTTATTACACGACAAGAGTAATGGAGGACTGGATGACTTTTACAAGAAAAATAGAGCTACAAAAATCTCCATTAGTAATCTGTCATAGACTGAAATTTGAAAGGATTTTTCATCAAAGATCTCAGTAAGCACCTGGAGGTGCAAAAAAGAGTACTCAGTGAACTTACCAGCGACGCGTCCAAAACATAAAGAAATTGTTCACATGCATTAAAAGAGTTTATAATAGGCTTCAAAACTGTGATTACCTGACATGGATTATTGCTCATCCTACTTGTGGTGACATCACACCCATTCCAGCTGCATTCCCTACAATCGCCACGAACGAATAAATCTTATTGTTTGTAAAGTATTTTGTTATTTCAGCGTTGTCATGTCATCTATTTCTTAAGGTAATTATAATGACTTTTTTACTGATGATCTGCTGGTGTGATACCATGAGATATTGTTGAGTGAAGCAGTGCTGTGTTGTATTGTGCAAGCTGTCGCTGTTGACCGAATTATTCATTTCTGACACCACTTTCACATTTAATCCTAAAACAGAAGCTATCCACTTCAGCAGTATAAATAAATGTGAAGATTCTTGACACTAAATAATTGCGTGAAGCGTTGTACTCGAGAAATTACTTTGATTTCTATAATTGCATGTTTTATTGGTTTCAACAACTTGTGAAAATGTAATGCACCTTGGCTTAAAAATTAAATGTTACACCTTTTTCGAATATTGATAGGACAACTCGCAAGTGGGAATTAGTTTACCAACTCATCAAAGTATGTTAGAATGCTGCTGTCCAAATGGTGTGAAGCAGAAAAGAGTTTATAGACGAAAATCATCCAAAATATCTTCAAGCTCAACTGTCGAGAACTCAAATCAAGGAACTGAATACAGTTTGAACACCAACTGCAATAGTTTACCAAATGGTGTTGAATGTAGTTCTAAAGTGAGTAGTCGAATATATATTTTAACAAGCAGCAAATACCTCATTTCTGATGCTCATTTCTGTGCCTGTTTTGTTTTCATGTCCTGTTCAAACGCATAGCAACTTGATCGAATTTAGATTTATGCTAGGTTATGTTTTGAGTGGAGGTATGATGCAAACTGTAAAATGCTTTTGAATGAATCTCTTCCAGACTAGGTAGTGGTAAGCATCATAGTATTTTTAAAAATATAAAACCAACTATTTCGCTGAAGATATTTTGAATGAATATTACTCATTGTTTTCCGTTAAATGGGGGCTCACTAGTTTTCAGAGTTGATTGTTAATCTGAATTTAACCTACTTCTACTTCTGAGTGTCTGTGCTTTGTGGGAATATGTCCATGTGCCTGGATTGTTTGAGATGAATCTGCGACGATCCACTAACTCTATTCTGCTTGGGTATCTACTTGAACATTGAGTTATCAAACCTTTCTATCCTCCACAATGCATCAAGTATGCTCTATTTTTACGTATTTTATTTGTCCAAAAGTAACCCTAAATCGTATCAAGTACTCATGCCAACTCTATAGAAATTTATCAACCCAGCTCAGTGAATTTGACAAGTATTATTAAGAAAAGATATGATGGTGGCTTGCAGAACGCTTTAAAGCGAAGAAGACTACGTGAAACGACACTAGACGAAATTGTCAGCTCGAGCTGCGGATCCCTACTGGGTAAGGTAGACTATTTACAATGCCTCCTGTCTTCCAATGTTTATCATAACGCTGGTGTGGTAACATTACAAGGAACTTGGTGGTACAAATTACTTGATGAAATGAAAGTTTAGTTTCTTGAAATGGTTCCAAAATGTTTTGCCAGGATCGGTGTAATTCTACGAAAAATTTCGTTGGAGGTGTATCTACTTTTATCAACACTCAGTGGTGTTCATGAAATTATATATGTTTTGCCTATTCTAATGATGACAGTATAGAAGGTATTACTGTAATGCGTAGTCCCAGACATTTAGATAAATTTAAATTCATTCACATCAAAAATGTTCACATGACTTCTGGTTGCAGCTATTCTGAATAATCTAGATTCGTTGACAAATTCACAAAATTTGCTGCTTTCATAATGTGCTGTTCATTGTCTATTGTCTGCTGTGATTGAAACTTCTGTAACTGCAGGTTCCTGTGTTCTCTTGGTCACAGTAACCTCGTGAGTTTTCCAACTCGTTTTGATGCCGCATTAGATTCGATCTTCGTTAATGGACCTGGTGTATATGAAATTCGGAAACGTACACCACCGTTGAGCTCAGATCACTGTATTGTACGCGTTCTGCCAAAAAATATACGGCAAACTGCAGCAAGATACTTTTACACATCAATCTAAAAATACTATACACAAGAGCTTTACATATGACAATATGCATAAATTCAGATGCACGCTACAGAACACAGGATGGGAAATATTTGAAAATGATGCTCTGGACGACACAATTGATGCTGTTACATGGTATCTTGAATTTTGCCTTGATATTTGTTGCCGAGGTCAAATAATGTTTCTAAGGCTTGATAGATTTTCTTTACTGTGATTAAAAAAGCAGTGAATAAAAAAAGAAAAAGTGTACAAACCGAAGGCTTATGCTGATGTTAAACGACTTAACTGCCTGATTAACTCTGAAATGAAAGGTGTGAATTTTATGTATAACCAAAAGATTATGTTGTGTAAAAACACTTGTAGTAAGTGGAGACTTGTTAGTGATCTTCCTGGCAAGAGGAAACTCGATAATGAAGCCTGCGAAAAAGTCTGTACAATAAACGAGTTATTCGTACGTCAAACTGCAAATGTTGCTTATCTAGTCCTTCACACATAGCAGAAAGTAGTCTTCCTAAATTTAGTGAAACATATGAGTTCAAGTGCTTAAAAACATCAAAACCTTCGCGAGACCTCAGACCAGATGACATAGCAGGTATTCTTCATACAGAATATGTTGATATTCTGTCATCTACTGATAGACCTTTTTAATGAATCTTTTACCAAAAGTGACGTACCAACCGCCTGGAAGGGAATTCAAATAGTTTCGGTACCTAAGTCCTATATCTTCTGGAGCAACCGTGAAATTCCAACTAATCACATCAACCTCACTATTCCCAAAAACAATAGAAAAACTGTTGCTTCGTGTGCTTAAATCTCATTTCAAGGCTTTTGGCAATCCAAATCGACTTGGCTACAAACCGAGAAGGAGTACTTCAGATGCTTTAGTTGTTTTACTTCACAATGTCATTGTCATTTTGGACAGAGGTGCTAAGTATGTTAAATCTACCTTCTTAGATAATCGTTCTGCATTTGATTCTGTTCCTAGACCCTTTTATTGAACAAGCTTGCCGGAACTCATATTGAGTCCTGAATTGTAAACTGGCTTGATTTTTCCTTTTCTAAAAGAAGGCAATACACTGCATACAGAGGGAAGTGCTCTATTTCGCTACTCGGCAAAGTAGATGTGTCTCAAAGTGTTGTTATTTCTCTTTTTTTTCTCTTTCTTTTTGCATGACTTACCAACCTCAACTTAAGCTAAGTATGAAGATGACCCAACAGTATCCATGCTGATCATCTCCCCTTCAGATTGTTCTGATATCGATCCTAGTTGCATACTTTTCATCGACTCGAATGATTAAAATCTTATTGCTTGTAAAGTATTTTGTTATTTCAGCGTTGTCATGTCATCTATTTCTTAAGGTAATTATAATGACTTTTTTACTGATGATCTGCTGGTGTGATACCATGAGATATTGTTGAGTGAAGCAGTGCTGTGTTGTATTGTGCAAGCTGTCGCTGTTGACCGAATTATTCATTTCTGACACCACTTTCACATTTAATCCTAAAACAGAAGCTATCCACTTCAGCAGTATAAATAAATGTGAAGATTCTTGACACTAAATAATTGCGTGAAGCGTTGTACTCGAGAAATTACTTTGATTTCTATAATTGCATGTTTTATTGGTTTCAACAACTTGTGAAAATGTAATGCACCTTGGCTTAAAAATTAAATGTTACACCTTTTTCGAATATTGATAGGACAACTCGCAAGTGGGAATTAGTTTACCAACTCATCAAAGTATGTTAGAATGCTGCTGTCCAAATGGTGTGAAGCAGAAAAGAGTTTATAGACGAAAATCATCCAAAATATCTTCAAGCTCAACTGTCGAGAACTCAAATCAAGGAACTGAATACAGTTTGAACACCAACTGCAATAGTTTACCAAATGGTGTTGAATGTAGTTCTAAAGTGAGTAGTCGAATATATATTTTAACAAGCAGCAAATACCTCATTTCTGATGCTCATTTCTGTGCCTGTTTTGTTTTCATGTCCTGTTCAAACGCATAGCAACTTGATCGAATTTAGATTTATGCTAGGTTATGTTTTGAGTGGAGGTATGATGCAAACTGTAAAATGCTTTTGAATGAATCTCTTCCAGACTAGGTAGTGGTAAGCATCATAGTATTTTTAAAAATATAAAACCAACTATTTCGCTGAAGATATTTTGAATGAATATTACTCATTGTTTTCCGTTAAATGGGGGCTCACTAGTTTTCAGAGTTGATTGTTAATCTGAATTTAACCTACTTCTACTTCTGAGTGTCTGTGCTTTGTGGGAATATGTCCATGTGCCTGGATTGTTTGAGATGAATCTGCGACGATCCACTAACTCTATTCTGCTTGGGTATCTACTTGAACATTGAGTTATCAAACCTTTCTATCCTCCACAATGCATCAAGTATGCTCTATTTTTACGTATTTTATTTGTCCAAAAGTAACCCTAAATCGTATCAAGTACTCATGCCAACTCTATAGAAATTTATCAACCCAGCTCAGTGAATTTGACAAGTATTATTAAGAAAAGATATGATGGTGGCTTGCAGAACGCTTTAAAGCGAAGAAGACTACGTGAAACGACACTAGACGAAATTGTCAGCTCGAGCTGCGGATCCCTACTGGGTAAGGTAGACTATTTACAATGCCTCCTGTCTTCCAATGTTTATCATAACGCTGGTGTGGTAACATTACAAGGAACTTGGTGGTACAAATTACTTGATGAAATGAAAGTTTAGTTTCTTGAAATGGTTCCAAAATGTTTTGCCAGGATCGGTGTAATTCTACGAAAAATTTCGTTGGAGGTGTATCTACTTTTATCAACACTCAGTGGTGTTCATGAAATTATATATGTTTTGCCTATTCTAATGATGACAGTATAGAAGGTATTACTGTAATGCGTAGTCCCAGACATTTAGATAAATTTAAATTCATTCACATCAAAAATGTTCACATGACTTCTGGTTGCAGCTATTCTGAATAATCTAGATTCGTTGACAAATTCACAAAATTTGCTGCTTTCATAATGTGCTGTTCATTGTCTATTGTCTGCTGTGATTGAAACTTCTGTAACTGCAGGTTCCTGTGTTCTCTTGGTCACAGTAACCTCGTGAGTTTTCCAACTCGTTTTGATGCCGCATTAGATTCGATCTTCGTTAATGGACCTGGTGTATATGAAATTCGGAAACGTACACCACCGTTGAGCTCAGATCACTGTATTGTACGCGTTCTGCCAAAAAATATACGGCAAACTGCAGCAAGATACTTTTACACATCAATCTAAAAATACTATACACAAGAGCTTTACATATGACAATATGCATAAATTCAGATGCACGCTACAGAACACAGGATGGGAAATATTTGAAAATGATGCTCTGGACGACACAATTGATGCTGTTACATGGTATCTTGAATTTTGCCTTGATATTTGTTGCCGAGGTCAAATAATGTTTCTAAGGCTTGATAGATTTTCTTTACTGTGATTAAAAAAGCAGTGAATAAAAAAAGAAAAAGTGTACAAACCGAAGGCTTATGCTGATGTTAAACGACTTAACTGCCTGATTAACTCTGAAATGAAAGGTGTGAATTTTATGTATAACCAAAAGATTATGTTGTGTAAAAACACTTGTAGTAAGTGGAGACTTGTTAGTGATCTTCCTGGCAAGAGGAAACTCGATAATGAAGCCTGCGAAAAAGTCTGTACAATAAACGAGTTATTCGTACGTCAAACTGCAAATGTTGCTTATCTAGTCCTTCACACATAGCAGAAAGTAGTCTTCCTAAATTTAGTGAAACATATGAGTTCAAGTGCTTAAAAACATCAAAACCTTCGCGAGACCTCAGACCAGATGACATAGCAGGTATTCTTCATACAGAATATGTTGATATTCTGTCATCTACTGATAGACCTTTTTAATGAATCTTTTACCAAAAGTGACGTACCAACCGCCTGGAAGGGAATTCAAATAGTTTCGGTACCTAAGTCCTATATCTTCTGGAGCAACCGTGAAATTCCAACTAATCACATCAACCTCACTATTCCCAAAAACAATAGAAAAACTGTTGCTTCGTGTGCTTAAATCTCATTTCAAGGCTTTTGGCAATCCAAATCGACTTGGCTACAAACCGAGAAGGAGTACTTCAGATGCTTTAGTTGTTTTACTTCACAATGTCATTGTCATTTTGGACAGAGGTGCTAAGTATGTTAAATCTACCTTCTTAGATAATCGTTCTGCATTTGATTCTGTTCCTAGACCCTTTTATTGAACAAGCTTGCCGGAACTCATATTGAGTCCTGAATTGTAAACTGGCTTGATTTTTCCTTTTCTAAAAGAAGGCAATACACTGCATACAGAGGGAAGTGCTCTATTTCGCTACTCGGCAAAGTAGATGTGTCTCAAAGTGTTGTTATTTCTCTTTTTTTTCTCTTTCTTTTTGCATGACTTACCAACCTCAACTTAAGCTAAGTATGAAGATGACCCAACAGTATCCATGCTGATCATCTCCCCTTCAGATTGTTCTGATATCGATCCTAGTTGCATACTTTTCATCGACTCGAATGATTAAAATCTTATTGCTTGTAAAGTATTTTGTTATTTCAGCGTTGTCATGTCATCTATTTCTTAAGGTAATTATAATGACTTTTTTACTGATGATCTGCTGGTGTGATACCATGAGATATTGTTGAGTGAAGCAGTGCTGTGTTGTATTGTGCAAGCTGTCGCTGTTGACCGAATTATTCATTTCTGACACCACTTTCACATTTAATCCTAAAACAGAAGCTATCCACTTCAGCAGTATAAATAAATGTGAAGATTCTTGACACTAAATAATTGCGTGAAGCGTTGTACTCGAGAAATTACTTTGATTTCTATAATTGCATGTTTTATTGGTTTCAACAACTTGTGAAAATGTAATGCACCTTGGCTTAAAAATTAAATGTTACACCTTTTTCGAATATTGATAGGACAACTCGCAAGTGGGAATTAGTTTACCAACTCATCAAAGTATGTTAGAATGCTGCTGTCCAAATGGTGTGAAGCAGAAAAGAGTTTATAGACGAAAATCATCCAAAATATCTTCAAGCTCAACTGTCGAGAACTCAAATCAAGGAACTGAATACAGTTTGAACACCAACTGCAATAGTTTACCAAATGGTGTTGAATGTAGTTCTAAAGTGAGTAGTCGAATATATATTTTAACAAGCAGCAAATACCTCATTTCTGATGCTCATTTCTGTGCCTGTTTTGTTTTCATGTCCTGTTCAAACGCATAGCAACTTGATCGAATTTAGATTTATGCTAGGTTATGTTTTGAGTGGAGGTATGATGCAAACTGTAAAATGCTTTTGAATGAATCTCTTCCAGACTAGGTAGTGGTAAGCATCATAGTATTTTTAAAAATATAAAACCAACTATTTCGCTGAAGATATTTTGAATGAATATTACTCATTGTTTTCCGTTAAATGGGGGCTCACTAGTTTTCAGAGTTGATTGTTAATCTGAATTTAACCTACTTCTACTTCTGAGTGTCTGTGCTTTGTGGGAATATGTCCATGTGCCTGGATTGTTTGAGATGAATCTGCGACGATCCACTAACTCTATTCTGCTTGGGTATCTACTTGAACATTGAGTTATCAAACCTTTCTATCCTCCACAATGCATCAAGTATGCTCTATTTTTACGTATTTTATTTGTCCAAAAGTAACCCTAAATCGTATCAAGTACTCATGCCAACTCTATAGAAATTTATCAACCCAGCTCAGTGAATTTGACAAGTATTATTAAGAAAAGATATGATGGTGGCTTGCAGAACGCTTTAAAGCGAAGAAGACTACGTGAAACGACACTAGACGAAATTGTCAGCTCGAGCTGCGGATCCCTACTGGGTAAGGTAGACTATTTACAATGCCTCCTGTCTTCCAATGTTTATCATAACGCTGGTGTGGTAACATTACAAGGAACTTGGTGGTACAAATTACTTGATGAAATGAAAGTTTAGTTTCTTGAAATGGTTCCAAAATGTTTTGCCAGGATCGGTGTAATTCTACGAAAAATTTCGTTGGAGGTGTATCTACTTTTATCAACACTCAGTGGTGTTCATGAAATTATATATGTTTTGCCTATTCTAATGATGACAGTATAGAAGGTATTACTGTAATGCGTAGTCCCAGACATTTAGATAAATTTAAATTCATTCACATCAAAAATGTTCACATGACTTCTGGTTGCAGCTATTCTGAATAATCTAGATTCGTTGACAAATTCACAAAATTTGCTGCTTTCATAATGTGCTGTTCATTGTCTATTGTCTGCTGTGATTGAAACTTCTGTAACTGCAGGTTCCTGTGTTCTCTTGGTCACAGTAACCTCGTGAGTTTTCCAACTCGTTTTGATGCCGCATTAGATTCGATCTTCGTTAATGGACCTGGTGTATATGAAATTCGGAAACGTACACCACCGTTGAGCTCAGATCACTGTATTGTACGCGTTCTGCCAAAAAATATACGGCAAACTGCAGCAAGATACTTTTACACATCAATCTAAAAATACTATACACAAGAGCTTTACATATGACAATATGCATAAATTCAGATGCACGCTACAGAACACAGGATGGGAAATATTTGAAAATGATGCTCTGGACGACACAATTGATGCTGTTACATGGTATCTTGAATTTTGCCTTGATATTTGTTGCCGAGGTCAAATAATGTTTCTAAGGCTTGATAGATTTTCTTTACTGTGATTAAAAAAGCAGTGAATAAAAAAAGAAAAAGTGTACAAACCGAAGGCTTATGCTGATGTTAAACGACTTAACTGCCTGATTAACTCTGAAATGAAAGGTGTGAATTTTATGTATAACCAAAAGATTATGTTGTGTAAAAACACTTGTAGTAAGTGGAGACTTGTTAGTGATCTTCCTGGCAAGAGGAAACTCGATAATGAAGCCTGCGAAAAAGTCTGTACAATAAACGAGTTATTCGTACGTCAAACTGCAAATGTTGCTTATCTAGTCCTTCACACATAGCAGAAAGTAGTCTTCCTAAATTTAGTGAAACATATGAGTTCAAGTGCTTAAAAACATCAAAACCTTCGCGAGACCTCAGACCAGATGACATAGCAGGTATTCTTCATACAGAATATGTTGATATTCTGTCATCTACTGATAGACCTTTTTAATGAATCTTTTACCAAAAGTGACGTACCAACCGCCTGGAAGGGAATTCAAATAGTTTCGGTACCTAAGTCCTATATCTTCTGGAGCAACCGTGAAATTCCAACTAATCACATCAACCTCACTATTCCCAAAAACAATAGAAAAACTGTTGCTTCGTGTGCTTAAATCTCATTTCAAGGCTTTTGGCAATCCAAATCGACTTGGCTACAAACCGAGAAGGAGTACTTCAGATGCTTTAGTTGTTTTACTTCACAATGTCATTGTCATTTTGGACAGAGGTGCTAAGTATGTTAAATCTACCTTCTTAGATAATCGTTCTGCATTTGATTCTGTTCCTAGACCCTTTTATTGAACAAGCTTGCCGGAACTCATATTGAGTCCTGAATTGTAAACTGGCTTGATTTTTCCTTTTCTAAAAGAAGGCAATACACTGCATACAGAGGGAAGTGCTCTATTTCGCTACTCGGCAAAGTAGATGTGTCTCAAAGTGTTGTTATTTCTCTTTTTTTTCTCTTTCTTTTTGCATGACTTACCAACCTCAACTTAAGCTAAGTATGAAGATGACCCAACAGTATCCATGCTGATCATCTCCCCTTCAGATTGTTCTGATATCGATCCTAGTTGCATACTTTTCATCGACTCGAATGATTAAAATCTTATTGCTTGTAAAGTATTTTGTTATTTCAGCGTTGTCATGTCATCTATTTCTTAAGGTAATTATAATGACTTTTTTACTGATGATCTGCTGGTGTGATACCATGAGATATTGTTGAGTGAAGCAGTGCTGTGTTGTATTGTGCAAGCTGTCGCTGTTGACCGAATTATTCATTTCTGACACCACTTTCACATTTAATCCTAAAACAGAAGCTATCCACTTCAGCAGTATAAATAAATGTGAAGATTCTTGACACTAAATAATTGCGTGAAGCGTTGTACTCGAGAAATTACTTTGATTTCTATAATTGCATGTTTTATTGGTTTCAACAACTTGTGAAAATGTAATGCACCTTGGCTTAAAAATTAAATGTTACACCTTTTTCGAATATTGATAGGACAACTCGCAAGTGGGAATTAGTTTACCAACTCATCAAAGTATGTTAGAATGCTGCTGTCCAAATGGTGTGAAGCAGAAAAGAGTTTATAGACGAAAATCATCCAAAATATCTTCAAGCTCAACTGTCGAGAACTCAAATCAAGGAACTGAATACAGTTTGAACACCAACTGCAATAGTTTACCAAATGGTGTTGAATGTAGTTCTAAAGTGAGTAGTCGAATATATATTTTAACAAGCAGCAAATACCTCATTTCTGATGCTCATTTCTGTGCCTGTTTTGTTTTCATGTCCTGTTCAAACGCATAGCAACTTGATCGAATTTAAGGTTATGCTGTTATGTGTTTTGTATCTAGCTTTGTTGGGACATAGGAAACGGTGTTTTGGTGTCTTTTTCGGATGAGGTTAATTTTGAATGTTGTTTTCTGTTTGCTTTTGGTTTGTATTAGATGTGTTGGTTTGTTTTTCGGAACCTCTTTAGTTTAGTATTTGCCTTGTTATTAGCTGGTCTTAATCCGATATGTTGGGAATGGTTGTTGTTTGCTTACCATACTACTCCTTCAACGCAATCTATCCGCTGGAAAACCTTCAAAGCAGAGACAAAATCTGAAAAATGAAAGGATGCTTATTCGCGGTTGGAATTGGAGAGACGAAATTACGTCCGTTGGTGAAAGCCTTCGGGAAGCCAATTGGCGAATGTTTCTTCCTTCGATGAAAGCCAGAATGAGAATGGGATATGGAATGTCCGATCTATGTTTGGACCATGCGAAGTTATCCACGGTGGATAGCTCAGTGACGCCTTGGAAGTGAAGAGATGATTAAGATATGGCTGTCTGCTATCGCCCATGTTATTGCTGATTGTTGTGGACTGGATCATGCAACAAACTGTGAGGAGGAGAAGAGGGGTATACGCTGTTTGACCGATGAAAAGAGCCTAGAAAATTTGGATTTTGCTGTTGACTTGTGTCCAATGTCACACATACTTGAAGATCTACAGGCAAAAACTAACAAGTTGACAGAAGAGGCAGGGCAGCGAAAATTGGACTTCCTTCAGGTGAACGTAGAGAAGACAGATGTTGTGATGACGCTCAACCAACACCACCACCGCCAACAATAAGCTCCAATCACCATGGACGGGAGAAACTTAAAGGAAGTAGTCTCTTTCACCTATCTAGGCAGGACTGTTTCAACTACAGGCGGCACAGGCACAGACGAGGATGTCAAAGCCAGCCAGGATCGGACAAGCAAGAGAGGAGTTCATTAACCTGAAACTAGTGTGTAGATCTTCTGCACTCAGCATAAAGCGTGAACAAGATCCGGATTTTCAACACTAATGTTAGTCAAGTCAGTGCTTCTATATGGTTCAGAGACCTGGTGCGTTCCGAAAGGCATTTCCAACAAACTACTGACATCCACCAACAACTGCCTACGCTGGCTCGTTACTGAGGATCAGATAACCAGAAAGAATAAGCAACAAGGAACTCTGGCATGGCGACAAACCAACCAAGAAGCTATCGCTGAACAAATATGCAGAAGGAAATGGAGATGGATTGCGCATGCACTGAGAAGACCGATTGGGGACATCACGTGCCAGGCCAGTCCCTCGAGTGGAATCCCGATGGGAAACGACGAGTTGAGCGTCCGAGGCGACGGTGACATGTAGGAGATGGTGTGAGGAGGGAATGAGAGCTTATGGGCAATGGTGGAGCCAGGTTCAAAAGACCGCAGAGAAGAGACTGAAATGGAGACGTGCTACTGAAGCCCTATATTCCACTAGGAACTGAAGAGACAAATAATAATAGTTGATGTGTCGGTGAGTCATTTCGAGGTTTGTGGACGCGTGTGTTAATACTTTCTCTATCTCATGTGATGTGACTCATTTCCTAGTGCATGTATATGCTTGCGGAATCTGATGAATCTACTTTTCTAGATCAGCAATAATTTTTTTACCTGAATATGTTTAACAAGTAGTAATAGTTGTTTGTTGAAAATAATATATGGGTTACTATTTCATAAATATTTTGGGCAACAAATGGGATTATGAATACATAGTATTTCACAAAGATTTGGAATCGCGGCTGCAATTTTCTGGTCATTTTTATGCAGAAATATTGATAATTCAAATAATGTTGGGGATGTTTGATTTATTGATGGGAGAGGTTTGCATTATATGTTTTTTTATATTGAATAATATAAGTGTGATACAATGTAACATGGCTCATTCAGAAATATATGATATCATCGAAGAGAAAGAGTGATAAAGTAAAAGTTACAGAGTTCAGCAGCTTTTGTCTATACAAGCAACATGTATGAACATATTGCTCTTGAATGTTATGAGATATTTACTGTTTTCTTAATGTATGGATTTCAGTGGCGTTGTGTATGTTATGCTGACTACTAATGTGTTAGTTTCAAAGACTGTTCGCTAAATCAGCTATTAAAACTACTTGCAAGAGGCGGACAGGTGCAAAAACAAACCTGTGGACTTTAAAATACCTATATTTGAAAGTTGCAATGTAATCTAGATGTGCTTATATGAGACCACTATGACTATCTTACTGGTTCCCATAATTTCTTGAGTCTAATAATTATCGGTCAGACCAGTAATGAACTACCATGTACCGTTTTTTCTTATACTGAATTCATAGCTTTTAGGGTTAGCTTTGAGAAGCATACTAGGTTAGCTGGATGTGTATTTGAAAGTTTGAATGTCATCCCTATGTTCACCTTGTCTAATTTTACTGTTTATTATTTGACTATCTAAGATAGCCGTAGTTTGGCAGGCTAGTATTTATACTAGGTGATGATTGAAGGTGAGATGAAAATCTGGATCACCCAATATAGTTTTATTGTTCTTATTAAAGTCATTTAACAAAACCACTGAATGTATAGGTGATCTTTATGTTCAATACAGTAAGTATAAATGTTGTTCAGTATCAAAAATGGTGCTTTCAGAACAAAAATAATCTACAAATTTGTGGTACTTTATAAAACCACCAATCTTAGAATGTTATTTTTCGAAATAAACGAATTCTTTTGACCCTATTCATTTTTCAGTCACAGAAAAAATTTCAAACCGCTAACAGTTTTCAATCTCTTCAAACTTCAACTAACGTAAAGCAAAAAAGGGTTTATAGACGTAGATTGTCGAAAATTTCATCACCAACCACTGGAAAGTCAAAGATGGAAGCTGAGTATCCCCTAAAGACTATTTGTAATTACTCTGTGAATACTAGTGGGTACAGTATAGAGGTAAATGATGCAATGTGTATCTTGAGTTAATTTGTTTGAAAGTAGGATGCAATTTAGTAGTGTTTATCTATTTCTATAAGACTGAAACAAATAATCGACAAACATTTTGTCTTTGCATATCCTTACGGTAGTTCTCAACTATAGGTAAAGGTCCCTGCATTTTGTGGTCCCTAAACTCTGCGTTACTTTTAAAATTACCTCGATCATAGGTGGAGCAGAAAAAAGGTTATTGTATTATCATTAAGAGCAGAACTTCTGTAGATATTTTGAGTAGTTTCGTCACGAACTGTTTCAGTGCATTGAACAATTGAGTAGGAAGGCGTGTTTTCAAGAATTTTCAGGCTTAACTTCCCTTTTTTATGAATTTGAAAATAGTAAGAAACGCCTCTCTATTCACTCGTACTAATTACTTAATGGAATGATTAGGATGCAGGGTGGAATATCCAGAGGAATTTTGCTCCCATTATTCTTCTTGCTCTTTCTAAGTTAATTAAGATAAATTCATATATGCAAATATTATTAATTGGATCTGCTTCTTATCATTACTTATTCTTCATTGCTATTAGTAATCAAATTATTCTCAATAATTTGATTATGCAGGAAATCGGTTGATAGATTTTATCTTAGTTATGTCTGTCGAAAGGAATTAATCTACTTCAGTATTGCGTATACACCCTGCTGTATTGTGAAACCAAATAAGTAATCTGTTAAACATTATTACATTATAAAATGAAATGACTCAGTAGGAGAGACGGTGTACGTTTTTGAGAAGCTACTATTAATCCTTACAAATAAAAAGAGAAAATTATTGTCGTATTATTTAAATACAACACTTCTTTCTTATTTCGGTGTCACTGAAAAAATGGAACCATTTTTTACAAATTTCCACTTAGTTGTAACTTTGAGTGCCTTTTTAGTACTTCCATTTGATTCTAATGTATTCTAGTTCTGCTTTTTTAAGAATGAGCGTAAAAATAAGAGTCTGAAATAGAAATTGCCCAGCCAGCTTATTGCAATATGCTGACCTCTTCCTCTCTGAGGTGACCGTCGATTTGATTTAGTATAAAGTCCTAATTGAAAAAAGCAATCGATTTGATCGATTTTTGTCCAAAGATCTTGATTCAAATGCCTGGGAAGTGTTAGAGCTGTGGTTCATTGGTTTAGTGAGATAACTATCAATCAGTGGGTCACGAGAACGAATCCCAATCCATCTACCGATGCTTAGGCAGCCAGGTAGTATCAATAACCGTCACGCAACAGGTGCGGCTCATTGCCCAGTGCACGGGTATACACAAGGTTGATGAGTGCTTTTCAATTTCCCGACTGGAAAAACAGCTGGTTTTATTTTGTCAATAATTTCCAATAAGCCTGATTAGTGCACTTCTGTTGGACCTTTTCTAACTTTCTATGATTATCCGGAAGTGTATGGACGGTTGCATACACTTGACTACACTAAATGCTACTAAATATGTTTTCGATTGGTAGTTGAAATATTCGAGTGACAATTGTTTACCAGATTAGTCTCATGAAATTGAAAAAGAAATGCGGACAGAAAATGCAACTGGCTAGTAAATTTTATCGCATACTAGAATGAGTATTCAGTTATTTTCAAAGCTACACACGAAGTATGCATTATAAAACATTGTTTAAAAAGTAAAAAAAACTGGCACGAAATTGTATCTATTGGTCACTTAATATTCAACAAATTTCATTTTTTGAGCACTGGGCTAAATTACCGATTACTGTATTGGTAAGCTGTAAGGCTTTGGGATACATGACCTATATTTCTTAAACCAAAGCTTATGTAATTTTGCTTTACAGGAATCATTGAGTAGAAACTCGGAGTCTGTAGTGAAAAGTCTTCAAGAAACACTTATCACTCTCGTACCTCCAGCTTCTAATGAAGATGCTAACAATGGTGTGACAAGAGAAAGTCCCGAAAAGCTCCTAGATGAAGTCACCTCCTTCATAAATAACTCGTCAGTAATTCAGAAGAATTCAGTATCAGATGAGTATGAAGATGATAAGGGCATCCATTTCAACGAAAATTTTAATGACAATGACAGTCTAGAGGGGGAACGAGGACAAACTTATGACGCTGAAATCGAGTCTCAAAATTATTCACCAAGCTTTCTGAAACCAGTGTCATATGATTCACTTACCAAAGAATTTATATACTTTACTAATGCTCCTTCTGATTCCCATGACAATGCAACTGATATAGCAGCAGCCGAACCAAACAAGGATATGTGCTCAGTACAAAGTCCCCTAAATAATGATGACAGGATCGCTAAAAACGGTGAAGGAAATTATTTCAAGTTAGTGTTTGCAGACTTATCTTTATATTCTGTCGGCAATTATGTTAGCACTGAAGACATTCCGGACAGTGAATATGAGGACTTTATGAGATTATCTCATCATTTATCATCCTCCATGTGTGTGAATTACCAGTTGATCTATCAAAATATTCCATTTTACTATCAGTATTTTGGAAATAATGAACCTTAACTGTAATAATGAGAAAGCTATTTTCCCCTGGAAAAAAGACGTTTTTTGCATGAAGAAATATCAATAAAATGTTATAAAACTCATAAAATTATTATTTGTGTTAGTTAAAATCTATACAAACTGTAGGTGTTATGATTGAATGGGAAGGATGAAGCATTTTTTAGTGAGAGACAGTTGATTATTTTAGTGTAAGCAGTTTGAACACAGCTGTTGGCTTTCACTTTTCATGTAAATTGTTTCCCACTTTTGAAAACTCATTAGTATTTAATTATAAAAGTTTGAAAAGTGTTACTTTTATACGCAAAATTTTCATTTTAATTATACGGTAAGTTGCAATTCTGCATCTTTATTGATAGTCTCTATACAAAGAATATATCCACTGACTGTACTTGTCAAAATTCCATTTACAATTCAATCTTTCTAATCATGAAGAATTCTAGTAATGAGCAATATTGTAGTACATAGGTGATTCGTTCACCTCTAAGCGATATGGCTGGTAAACAACTCTTAGAAAGCATGCTAATGAATGTATACGTACAGCATACCTTTTTGTAATTTTTAAGTCAAGTTTTCAATGTGTAGAATTTAATTTCTGTCGAGTATATTGTCCAGCATATTTTGAGGTTTATAAAAACTTTTAAGATAACCAGTTGTATATTCAAGTTACCATATTACAAACTTCACTTGTCGCTAAATACATCTGGGTATAGTTTATCATGCATAGCTCATGCATAACTAGCTTAGATCCCCTTGACTAACCTATAAGAATGAAGTCAGTCACTTAACTAATATCCTTCATACTCACTCATTTCACAAAACGTTTTTGTTTCCGCTTCACTATCTCGTAGATTTCTAAATATTAAGTGATTCGTTTTTGTTCATGATATGATGATGATCGGTGAACTCTGCTCGAAAAGTCATCGGTACATAATACTGTTTGACTATAAAGAAGTTATTAAAACTTTTAATTAACTTTTTTACGCATGAAATGGCTCATTCTGTTATACAATATTATTGATTTAGTCATTCTGTTTATTGTGTCCAAAGTTCGAGGGTGTATGACCTTCTAGTTTTTCATGTATACGATTATTATCAACCGAATTCATTCACCGTTGATAAATGTTCAGCAACAGATTACTGAAATTACTGGTTCCTTCTACCCAGGTTGTGGACCTTAGTCGACTAAGATGGCTTGGATAAGCACTACTTATACCGAGTCACCGCCTATTTCGATGTACCTTGCTAGGGGAAGTTGGATTAGGTTGGAAAAGAGTTCACAGCGGGCAGATCGGAACCTGGCACCAGTCTATGAAGTCTCTTACTGTTGGTCTGAGTCGTGTGACTATATGTAGACTACCTCGTTGAGGTCCTCGAGACAATACAGGTCAGTGGTTAAGGACTCTTGGTGATTTAGCTGAAAATCAATCACAAAGGCCCAGATGTATTCAGTCCTTGACATCTACAGCTTGTTTAGTTGCACTAACCATTATATTCAGATTGTTTATTCTATCGCACAACTTAGTCTACTTTGATACCACTCTTTTTCTACCCACCTGTTCTTTGTTACCTGTGATACCTTGAACCGATGCACCTGAGTACGAGGGTTCTACGTTGATTTTGTTAGTCAATTATTCATCTCAGCATTATTTGATGTTCATGTGTTCGAATATTCTCATCGTTAAACGTAATTTTAACCTTCGATTTTATGATTCCTAATTTCATAGTTTCATAATTTGAAATAAAAATACCAAATATTCTTCATATTATACTTTCCTCCTTATGAAATTTAATCTTTTTTTACTATTAGTAATTTTCATACATTCAGATCATGTAATTCTTAAGAAGACAAGTAAATGTTTTACTCAATTTTTGATCAGATTCTGTATCCAGTTGTCATGATGTTTACTGTCAGGGATAAGCAAGCATGAGAGGTAAAGATTAATCCGGAAAATTATTTTGAAGTCAATACATACTCATAACTAAGCGACATTCGTAGTATAAATAGACAAAGTAGGTTGGGGATAGGCTAAAGTGTGTAAATGTTTTAGCATTCAAGGCTGAAAAATGTAACTTGGTAAAATATTTAGCTGGATAATAACCAAAGTGATTAAAAAGTTTTAGATGCAGAAGACTTTTCCATTTTTTTTTACAAACAACTTATATTTTATATCCAAAGGTTGTACATGATGTAAGTCAGAAAAAATAAATAAACAAAACAAATAATTGAATTATGAGTGAGGTGTTTTTTTTCCAGTTTTTAGTAGAAGTTATTAAAATGTTAAACAACAAATGGGATATGAACGTGTACATTCATCTTTTTTTTTCGATTAAATGTTTCACGATATGAAAAGTGGTATATCCGTTGGATAATTTATTCCTTTCATTAATTACTTTTTAAACAATAAGTAATTTGTTTACAATATGTATATCACAGAAATGTATGTTTTGGTTTCAATGGACTTAAAAATTGGGATTCATTTCATGTAGGATTAAAATGTTTTTTCTCAAAATCAAGGTATAGAAAAAAAGAAAATAAAATGCATGACAGAGATATGAAGAAGGTTGTATTTCGTTGATCATTGTCTTCAGGCACGTCTGTATACATGCCATATACTAGTACAACATGAATTTTCATAATGTAGGAAAAATTAGTATTTACTTATTGAAAATATTCACAGAAGTAGTCTAAGTTAATCGTTGCTCTAACTATCTATTTGTTACATCAACTTCATCTTGTTGTATCATCATCACCATCATCATGGTCATCAGCAGTGATGAGAATCGGTTATTTAGATGAGAACAAACGAAATGTGCTGCTTTATTCCTTTTTAAACAACCTGATGTGAGAAATAAGTGAAGAGGATATCAAATGCTATAAATAATGTTTGTATATTTTATGAAATTGCTTGGTGTTCTCTTTTATTACGACTATTTTTGTTCATTACCACTCATTTGTTTATTTAAACTACATATTGGTATTCTGTATATGAAATTTGTTTGTAGTTGGCTTAGATCAGTGCTAATCGAATTGGATACATGTCCTGTTGACGATGGTGATGATGCAACCGATGATAAAGATGTATTGCCCATTGAGTTTGAAGATAAAAACTTAGCGACAGTATTATTACCACCTGATGAATTCATACTCGAACAAGAAGAAGCGATAACAGAGGTAGCAGACGATGTAATTGGTTGTGTCTCGTTGTATTGTTGTTCAGCTGGCAGTGAAACATTTTTTTGCAGATCACCGTTCATATTACCAGTTATCAGATCTAGTGTAAAGGGAAAGAATCGGAAAGGCAAGCATGAGTGGCATGTTAATCGATTCAAAAACAAAATAAATTGGAGTTGAGGTCGAATGCAAAGTGCACTCAGTAAACTTGTGCACATACATGCAATAGTCAATGATCAGAACCTGCTATATGAGAACCAGGGATACTACCTGACTATCCAAAACTCGGTAGATGAAGCGGTGCCCAAACCCATGACCCATTGGTTAAAAGTCTTCTTCGTAGGTCAATGAGCCACAGCTGACGGATATTTTAACATTTAGAAGTAGTATTCATCATGGACTGACATCAGTTGGGGAACCATTGAAAATCTGGGAGCACTGGACAGCTGTTTCGTCCTAGTATGGGACTCCACAGCAGCACGCACCCACGACCCGGCTAGGGATCGGACTCAGGACCTTCGGGTCTCACGGTGAACGCGTTAACCATTGGAAACCAACCCAGTGGCTGAACGGTTAAAGCGTTCGCCGTGAGACCCGAAGGTCCTGAGTCCAATCCCTAGCCGCGTCGTGGGTGCGTACTGCTATGGAGTCCCATACTAGGACGAAACAGCTGTCCAGTGCTCCCAGATTTTCAATGGTTCCCCAACTGATGTCAGTCCATGATGAATACTACTTCTAAATTAAAAATCCCCATTCATCTCAAGGATATTTTTACAAACGATAAATATGTCATCTATATGTCATGTGTAAAATATGTTATCGTCAATCGCTTGATTTGTTTATCATTGGCTTTTGAAAGTCAAGTACAATGTAACTTCTGTGTCCAGTAACAATGAATTATTAGTCCAGTTTCCATGGTTAACTATCTACTTAATTGCCTTATAGCATCGTGTTTTTATCGTATCATTTTTTAACCTTTTGATCGGTATTTATTCACTTATCTATTTCATCTACGATATCCCTCATCATTTTTCCATTTTTCCCCTTGCTTCTATTTATCAAATCGATAATATTTCTATTGTTTCTCATCCGTTTCAGTTTAAATGACCTTATTTCCAGTCAAATGTAAATAAACAATGCACTCCCCTGTTATTTGCAAAGGATAGATTCTGTATTTTCTATCAAACAGATCTCTTTATCATGCTTCATACGTGATACATATCACATATTACCGTTTTATTCCCTAGCGGTTCGTATTACTTAAATGTTTTGAACACTCTTACGAAACTTTATAAGTAGTTTTATGTTTAAAGAAAGTGAAAATGAAACTTGTCAGAGATATAGCAAGTGAAAAGGAGAATAATTGATTAGCATTAAAGGCTTAAACTCACCGCTGACGTGTTGTCTGTCATCTAGACTCAACTGATTTAATGCTTTAACGACAGATTGTGTATCATTCTGTTGTATAAGTTTGCTGCTACCATCATTTTCACAGATGGCATTATTGGTAGTGACGTTACTGTTGCTTGTTGATGGACCAGTTTCATAATCTAGTGTTTCAGAAGTTGACGTGAAAAATATATCACCCTTGAAAAAATATTTTAAAAAAACGAAAACATATTCATGAATCAGTAGAGAAGATGGTAAATTCCTCCTAGTTAGATCAGAAGAAAGGATTAAAGTATATAATAGGAAAAAATGTTACTGTTAAGAGGAACATAAATTGTTAAAACACTCATTCATACTTTTATTGCTTACAAATATTAAAAAAACTCTATGAGAAACAGTGACAATTTAACCCCCAGATGTTTTATTCGTTTAACTGAACTAATTTACATGAAGTGATTTATAACACGAAAGGTTTGTAATTTTAATGACTTTTAACAAGTTGTCGTTTGGACGTAGGTGTTCTGAAGGGCATTTAACTAACAAGGCGTAAGAAAAAAGCTGTTGGAATTGACATTTCTTCATTCTTATCGTTTTGTTTTTTATCAGATAATTAGGTTTATTGTAAGGCCTCAGTTTGCATAAAACATTGTTATTGATCTAGGCATTTTTAACTTGGCATTCTCATATCATTTTTTTACGGTTTATTTTCTGTCTCCATTGTAATGTAATTCACTGACTGGTTAATCTTTAGTCTTACTATACCAATGTCTCAAATTGCGGACAAGATCATATTTCATGTGTATACAATTCACGTGTTTTTGAATTGACTGATTATACTCGGAGGAATAAACTTTCCCATCATCCAGCTTTGTTCTTCTCTCTTTTCGTTCCGGGTTGCAGTCAGTAACTCTTGTGTACTAATTTAGCTATCCACTAAGCCTGCGTATTATATCCATTCGGAATATATAACCGTTGGCGACGGAGGATATAACAAAGTTGCAACTTAACCAGTAGATACAAATTCTAAGAGATTCGAAACAATAAGTCAAGAATATGGGCTGAAGATTTGTTAACTATCTGTTCAAATATTTTTGATTTTCAACGGTTCTTTAAATGTTTTAGGTGTTTCGGAATTATTTTCATGATGTAGTTTAAAAAAATACCAGGATGTAACCGCTTACTTTGATATGTCGGATTTAAAAAATGGAATTTAACATTTATGTAAGCGCGAAAATTTTCTCTTACTTTTCAAGTATAAATTATAGAATTTACAGTTAATTGTGTTCAAAGAAGGTATTCGTATACTTTATCTTTTGGAACATGTGACATTAACTTGACAGTGTGAGCAACAAAAGTGTTTTTTAGTCGTCGGATAGTTCAAGTTCACTAGACTAGCTATTCTTGGAGCTGATTTCATGTAGAAGCGTATTCAATTCATATATCCTCTAGTTAGAATTATCAATACAATGTATCGTAGAAGTGAGTTGATCAAAAAACTGTAAGAGAATTTGCACCAACTCAACTTTTGAAGAGATACATTTCACTTCGTGGCAGTCAAAGTGACTAAGCACTTGTAATTTAATCTACTTACATAGAGGAATTTTTCCGTATTAAAGAATTTCAGGTTATTTGTTTCGTATTCATGAACATTTTTAAAGATCTCAATGCAAACCGATATTTTTTTCATTTGAAATGTTGAAAATTGTGATGATGACAAAGATATTTATTCTTTAAATATAAATTTTAATGAGATTAGCTCATCATTATGCATTAACTGCGCACAAGAAGATAGTTAATGAAGAAATAAGATAAAAAGAAAAATAACTTACTTTAGCAGTAATTAATCGACAATCAGACACAAGCATTGTGTGCACTAAACTTCCATTAATTAGTAAGCGTATTTCAATTGCCGCAGGATTAAATCCAAATATATATGGAAAGCAAACAGCTAGAGTAAAAGCAAGAAAGGTGTTTACTTGATTTTATGGTTTACAGAAAACTTTTATCACAGTATAAATTGAGGTTGACCATGTAACAGGCAATAGTGGCTTGTACTTCTTGTTTCAAAAGGCTTACAAGGATCAACATTGATGTCTATGTTCATTCACTACATAGAAAATTCGTGCAGTATATGGTTTTTCAAGTTTATATAACAACGTCAGGCATTCATGCAGATATACAGGACGAAGTTTTGTTCATATAAATGAAGATCTCATAGTCTGCAAGCAGAATGATTAGTATTATCATCAAAAAAGATAAAAATCATATCAACAAATCCATCAGATTTCTTTTCTTTTACTTATTTAATGTTGATGTAAAGCATCCTTTATTTTTTATCCAGTGATGTCTGGTACTCAAAATTGAAGACAAATTTTCCACCTGATATCAGGTTCTTTAATGGGATTAAGCTTAATCGCAGTATTTGCCAACTCCTTTGGCTGGTTAGACATATCAATTATCGATTAAAACAACGTTTTTATCCGCTAGATTACTTAATTAAGACAGTGAACTTTTAAGTAGTGAACATGAGTTACTGGTGAGTCAATCAATCAGCATCAACGTGACATCTAGCATTGCTGAATAACAGTCTATACTCCTGCATCTCATATCAACACGTAAAAGTGGAAGGCACATGGAAGAAAGATAAATAAATGCAGAAGAATACAGTTAAAAGTGTATGAAAGTTTTGAAAAGAAAGCAAGACGAAATGAAACGATTCTGAAACTTGGTATGACTGTTAAGATGAAGACAGTGTATGGATACGTCTGTGCCACTTGGATCTATTCTGTTTTATATAACGTATATCCCAATCGGTAAGTCTACATTTCCATACACGGCTAAAACTGAGAGTCAGAGATTTCATGAACTGATGCCATGTTTCAATCTCATGGCATTTAACACCTTTCTATTCCGAATCCATTTGACCTAGTATTGTACAATGGGGCGGAAGGTGACTGGGTATTCGTAGTGGATACCAGCTCATTCCATGGGTATCTATCTGAACATCGTTGGTAGTTTCATTCTGATGATTTTTATACCACGAATTTTCACAGTGCGATTAAATTGACAGGGAGCCCCAGTAACAAATTTTCTTTTGTTGGCGTTCATCATAAATGTACATCTTGTAGTGAAAATACTCATTAAGTGTTCTAAAATTACTGATCTACGAACTTAAGTTATTATTGTAAATACAGTCAGATGAATGTAACGGATGTAAAGCAAAATTACTTTATCCAGATTTGAGGATTCATTTTTTGTTTATATGAAGTAAACAATCGTCTTTAATTTTTTAAAATATCTTTATAGTATTTGTTAAGCTAAGTCATCTAAAAGACTGTCTGATTTGAACAGTGTTACAACTGTTTTTGGTAATTTTTATTTCAATTGATTAGCAATCACTCCATCAGCTAACAGTGAAGAAAAAAGTTTATCAACATAACTTTTATCAAACTTACCAACTTGTTGTGGTTCAAAATTCCATGCAAAATCAAAATCGCTAGTTTTCACTTTTTCTTCGTTTGATAAATTTAAATTTGTTGGATTGTATAATGGATCGGGTGAACAACTTCTAGCTAATGGCCCACTAGTTGGACTAGGGGAATCTACTGAAGCGTATCCTTGTGTTTGAGACAATGATGGTGATGATTTAGCTGTATTGGTGTCTATAGACGACTTAATACTCCAATTAAAACTAGAATCAGCAGGGCTATTGATTCTTGGTGCTTGACGACGATTCCCAATTCCAGATGTATTTAAAGAGAGTTTTTGGAAGTGGCACGTTCCTATAAAAATATTTAAAATAGAAGGTTAACAGAATTTGATCAAGGCGTGAAACATCAAATCTTTCAACAATCGGTAATTAATTTCAATTACTTTATTTGTAAACAGGACAATTTTAAATTTTATTATAAACAGTCTGTGGAATGTTACTGACAAAGGGAAAATTGTGATCTACTTGGTCGATTGAAATTTAATAGATGTCCATCAACTAGGTAAATGAGACTGTGCTAGGTTGCACTGGTCATACCATTACCCCTTTACCAAGGCCTTGTAGGAAACTTTTGGTTAGATTTTGTTTTTCGTGATGATAAAAATAAATAGTTGAGTTACGTTAGTGTTACAATTTAATACTCAGTACAGTAGAATACTGTATTCATTTCTTATCATCACCAGATTTGTGAAAATTTCACAAGTTGTCATTTATCTGTCCTCTTTTTTAGCATTATTTTTGTTCAGTTCAATACCATCCTGCTCTCGCTAAATCTTCTTATTCCCTGATAATGTGACATATAGAAACATGAACATTTTCTCACATAATTAAGATTCAATATTGATCTATCTGTCTGTTTATCAGCTGAGGAGCAAGTTATGTAGAATGGCAATGAAAGTGTATCAGTCAAGCTATCTTTGTTCTAAGACTGGAAAAAATTCAAAGGCCAGATAAGATAAGATAACCAGTGAGGCTTCTAAGTCCTATGAAAAACTATCTTTCTATCCGAAATACCAAAAACTGTTTGGTTATTATAGCAGTTGACAGGGTAACCTTTAAATTCGTCTCTAAGATTGTAACACTGGAAAAGGAATTCGCTCTGAAAATTCTAATGTAATTCAATTTGGAGGATGGTGGAAATTGACTGATATGAAGTTAATAATTACCACCGATTAACATCCAAATTGAATCACTCTCCAGTTCTCATCAGTAAGTTGCTTCGAAATGAGATTTCCTGGGGTTTCTAATGCGAAATCGTGTTCGGTGAAGCAAATCAAGTCGAAGATGAGGAGAAATATTCAACGACAACGTTAGATGAGTATCACTTTATATCGCGAACTGACAGAAATATGAAAATGTGAACCACCGAGTTCTGAACCAGTCGCTGAAGGATAACGTGTTCATCAAGAAACATGAAGATCCTGAGTCTGGTCGCTGGCGGGTCATGAATTTGAGCTGCTGGGAAGTCTCATGCTAGGACGAGACGACTCTTAGGTGCTCTCACGTTTCCAATCGTTCTCCAACTGATGTTAGTTTATGATGAATAGCATAAGTAGTCTGTGATCTCACCCAAGTATATTTACGTGCGTATATGGTCAGACAAATGAAAGAATTTCCTTAGCGCTAAGTTTCTGTTTAACCTGTTGATTTCCCCTCTGTGATTTCATATCAAAGCGAAATGTTCCTCACTTTTAGACGACATTCATTATAGTGTATTTCAACGTTTTATGTCTAATAGTAGCTTTTAATTCGTTTTATTATGATAATAAAAAGAGTAATGACGCACAAACCCAGTATCACTACTCGTTACAAAGATTCATCATATTTGCCTGATTATTACTCAGCACATTCATAGTAATATTTTACATAATTTAATCTACTTCTTCATGAGATATCCGATTCCAGGTAATTACTATTGCATATTCTTTATTTCTATAGTCAACAAACAGTTATCCATCAAGAAGTGACATTACCATATCGATTTGATTTCAGTAATATTTATTGAAGAACCATGCCCTATTAGGTAATACACAAGGTTTTGAGAACCAGAGTTAAGTTCTAAACGAAAGGTGAATAGCACACAAACGCATGATGCTTTAATTATCTTTGAATTAATCATTTTCACCAAACTGTTTTTTTCATTGAAGTTACCACTTTAACGACTCGAATAGTCATTTGCTATCTTTATAGATATTTGAGATGAGTTAAGCTAAATAACAATGATTTCGGTTATCTTCAATAAGATTTAACTTTGGTCTTTTCAATAGAGTATTTTGCATAGTTGTAGCTGAAATGAAGAATACTTGATCATTTTCTGCTGGTTTCGATACTCTTTGGGGTTCCGTTTTCATGTGCATTGCCAGTCATCTCAATCAATAAGCTGTTTTCTAGAATACAGACGAATATTCTCCTCCATATCAATTCACAACCTAATGTTCTTCTATCCATTAAATTTTGGTTAACACAAAGAAACGCTCATGATGGATTCCTCTGCTAGCCACAACCAAGCAAATTATCGTAATAGTTATTCAAACAGTATCGAGGCATCCTCATAGGGGCCCATACGCCAACAGAGGTCGAAGAATTCGACCCAGTATAACAACGGAGAATTACAAGTATATCAACAAATAGTAACATGAAGAATATATTCAGAAAACATTTTTCAATTTTGCTTACTTGTAAAGCATAATAACAATTCATGTTCTTCATCAGCCCATAATTCTAATGCAGAAACAACTTGATTTCGACTGCCTTCAGTACGATACAACTGTATTGTCTCTTTATTTTTTGCATCAATTAAAATAAATTGATTTCTATATCCTACACATAATCTTCCACCGGGTATACCCTCAACAAAGCTTAATGTTTGAATTGGATCAATTAAATGAATTTCCTGTAATGAAATAAAGTTATTTTTAAAAGAAATATTTTTTTTATTCGGTGGGGAATATATGAAAAAGGTTGAAGTAGGGATGAAATGTTTCTTATTTCTGTTATTTACCGTGAGATTGAGTAGATATGAAAAAAATAGTGTTGCATAGGGTGAACTGATGTATGTGTTCATCATTTTATCAAAATAATCGTTCTATTCATCCGGTGAACCACAAAACATTTTATTTCCTGATATATAGTAGATTGACCTTTAAGAAAACAAGTCTACAACAATGCATAGCAATAACGCATTCAGCCACGTTGTGCACATTCATGCAGTAGGCAATGAGTCACATCTATTGTTTGAGGGGGAGTGATACACCTTAGCTACTCAAACCACAGTAGGTAGGGTGAGGTTCGAACCCATGACCTACTTGTCAAAAGTCAACTGCCTATACCATTAGGCCACAGCTCTAAAACATAGATGTACTACTTCTCAAGTAGTTAAGCGATGAATTTTTCCATAGTTCCGCTTTTTTACTTAAAATTAAGACATATGCGTTACTGATGAGTCAGGTGCATATATGTTTACTTAGAGACAGCAATACATTATATCAATTGATTATTTTTCATGTTCAAAACATGAAAAAAATTCCCATTGTGCAGATTAAAACAGGGCATAAATACTAACAATATGTATTTTTTAAAAATAGATCTTAAACTAATTTACATAGCATTCTACATATGTTAAAATATTAACCAACATGGGTAATATGTCGGTCAACAATGACAAGATTGCGGATGGTCCAATTTAGATGATAAAAATTGTGGTGCTGTAAGTGATGGTAAGAATAATCATAATGACTATACTATTTCGAAGGGACAATCCTATTCTTTATTATAGTTTACTTGGTTGTGGCTAGCAGAAGAATCTAGGACAAGTTTTTCGTCCTATTTTGGACTAGTTAGCTGGATGTACCTGCACCCCAGTGAGTGACGTTCTTCCCACTGGGACTCGTAGCCCGTGTCCATGGCTTCAAAATGTCAAAGCGTTATCCGTGAGGCCACTGGGGTACGATAGTTACCTCTTATAAATTATAACAATAAATAGCCTGGGAATATCGAGTTGTCCACAAAGAGGTGTCTATATACCAACAAAGCCCGATTAGTTTGACGTAGTATAACAATGGAGAATTATAAGTATTTCGACAAAAGTAACAATCTTAGCTTTTCTGCTGAATAGAAATTTGTGCAACTTTTATCGTTGAGTTGACGAAGGAAGAATTAATGAATGAACTCACCTACACATTTTGTAATTGATCTTTTTATCATTTTTTTCATACACTTACTACAGTCAAATTCAAACTTTGTTTGCACATTGACTTCTTCCTTTAGTATATTACAGTCCAACTGTCTTTTTTCTAGTTTGAACTTAATCCTTTCGGGTGAACTTCGTTCTACATAATCGTGCCATTCTTAGTATCCTTATCAACACGTATACCACCACTACTTTTATTAGTCCAAAATGCATAATCTGCATACGAGTTATCGTTAGATTATTTTGATTGGTTAATATTTTATAAACATATGAGGAGCTACGTAAATTAATCTGAGGTTGAACTAAAATTAATATTCTTTATGTACATATCTTGATTTGTCTTTTACTTGTATTTAAAAGTTCCGAATGTAGTCGTTCATCAAATTTTGTAAAGTAGGTGTATACTACTTATATTCAGGTTGAACATTCAAATAATTCAGTCTAATGATGAGTTCAAGTAATAACTTTTGAGTGATTAGGCGTAAATGCATAAATGAAAGTGACAAGCAATTCAAAGTAAGATTATGTCGAAGAGTGGTGTCAGCTTAAATAACATTGTGAAATAAAACAATATAAGAAAGCCATGTCATTTTAACCGGAGACTTTTCAGTAGTATGGACTCGTAATCATATGTAAGACTGAGCTCGGGATCATTGGAACTCTGAAAGAGTAAATTGTACTCAGTCAGGATTTCATGAATCTCATTTCATAGCTAGCTGTGGCGCAACATCAAGGTCACTTTTACATTCATTCTGGCTTTAAATAGCTGGTAATAATGCATGATTAAAAACATTTTGATCTTAATCGATTCCCCATTTGTTTACTAAATGAATAATGAATAACTCATTTCTCTAAAAATGTGAAGGTTGCTTAATATCCGAAGATCACTTTGGGTTAGTCAACTGAACAGGAAATAAAAGACGGAGTTCGTAAACTAATTATACTTAAAATGTGGTCACTTGTTAAATTCGAACTTAAGTAGTTGGATTCCGCTGGCCCTGATAACAAATTAAACCTTTTATTTTACTTTTGTTTGTCTGAAAAGAACAACTGAAAATGTTTCACACTATCAGAAAAGAATCTAAGGCTACAACCTAAATAGTCAATTCATAAATATTCACTCTAATTTACTTGTTAACCACGAGGTTGGTACATGCCGGTATTTTTAGCCATATTTTGAAGTCTATTTATTCTATTTATATTATACATTGTAATATCGCACAAAAGAGAATTGGTGTTCTATCCCTGGAGCCGACTGTTAGGTAGTCCCGGGAGTAAGTTTCGTCCTTGTCGGGACTCACCGACAAGACGAATCTGCAACCACTAGGAAACTAGCGTTCCGTTGATGGTTCGAAGCTGTTTCATTTAATGTTGGAATTGTTGTAAAAGTGGTAAATATGAATCTCAGATAAATGTCACTGGTCATATTATGTTAATTATTTTAAAAGTCATTTCACTTATGACTTAGTTGATAACATTATTAAATAGCTTGGTTCAAGAGCTTTCGATTATCACCTTATCAACTTATGTATAGCTTATGGTTCAATAATCATTGGATGTTGAGTGAAATCCGTTTTTTCTGTGCTTGAAACCCGGTTGTTTCATTTTTATAAATTATGGTGCGTTGCAGTCAGGTAATTCAGTTGTATATTAAGATGAATCAGATCATCTAAGAGATATGAAAAACAAGCACGAGAATTTGTATGCTGTTGTAAGCGTTTGGGAGGGCTGAATAGCTTGACTCTTTGTGTGAACTAACTGAATATGCGATGTTAAGCAAGTCTGTGTGAGGTCAACCGCGTGCAAGATCAGCGTTAGGATTGGATTACCGGAATCACGTGCTTAAGATAATTGCAACCGACCAAAGTTCTGACAAGTCAAAGACTCTTACACTTGTTTACCGAATAATGGTTGCAGATACACCTTACTGGTAAGTGCCAACGAGTATGGAATTGAGGTTCAAGACATCCTACCGATTAAAACCTAACACAAAAATAAAGTGGACCGCGAAGCTGTGTATCCTAGCTTAGTGGTTACAATGCAGATGTGATCGACATTCTTCTATTAGTGTAGTGCATTAAGGATTAGATAGCTAAATAGGTTGTCACCTGGTGATTAATTTGAGGTTGATAACCATTGGAAACTGACCCAGTGGCTGAATGGTTAAAGCGTTCGCCGTGAGATCCGAAGGTCCTGAGTCCGATCCCTAGCCGAGTCGTGGGTGCATACTGCTGAGGAGTCATATACTAGGACGAAACAGCTGTCCAGTGATTCCAGATTTTCAATGGTTCCCCAACTGATGTCAGTTCATGATGAATACTACTCATACTACACTTGTTTATTGAATATTACACCACGATGCAGTATTGTTTACCGAATGAAGTTTTAAGCATAAATTATTCCTGCTCATCATATCTGTATAAGACACAACTTTCAAAACCTGGTTTTTCAACTTCTGTCCCTTATCATTCTTTAATTTAGATGGTAATAGAATTCTCCATTTAACAGGAACAGGTGTCACTTCATTTCTTTTATATATTTTGAGTGTTGATTCGATGACTTATTTGTCAACGATTCCATCCATATATATATAGGTATTCAGTATTGTTGTTTACTTTCCGCCTATTGTATTAATTCACGGCGTATATTGTAGTTGTTGAGTACTTTATCTAAGCGAATTATTTTCTTGAATTTTTATATTGCTCAGTTTTAGTCATAAAGTATGAACAGTGTATAGTTGAGAAATAAATTAATCTAAATGTCTTATTGAGTGATATCTTAGTTCTGTCAACAAGTTCGGAATCAATATTAATCGTATTTCTGACAGACGTTAGAGTTTTTTTTGCGTATTTGTGTAGACTTGTTGTATCTAAACTAAATCAGCTAAACATGTATCTACAGGTCAATATCACTTAAACATCATTTCATTTTTAAAACTAGTGGGAGATTTTTGCAGCAGTTTATGTGTTAAATTTACTAAAAATAGGTATTTTTACACTTACTCTGATAACCTGAAAATTTTCCACGGGATCTGGCTGAGCCAACTGATTCCACGAAGACAGAGATCTGCCAGTAAATAATTGCCACTGGAAAATTATAATTCTTCGATGTACTGCGATTGCTAATCTCAGTGGATGATTGGGACTTTTACTGACGGTGAATAATTGACTACCTTCATAACAAAAACAAACAGGAGGAATGTGAAAAATATTTCAGTTGATGGCTCTAACCCATGTCTTGTGAAAATAGGTGATTAATTGAGTGTACCATTGAGTAGATGAATTAAATTAGGACTTAAGATGTTTGTAATCTCCAAAAGAAGTGACTCATAAGAATTTCTTATCTATTAACGCGTAATGATTTCTAAAGAATAACTGATGAGATCAACTTCAAATCAGCTTGCTTTGAAGAAGTAAAATGATAAAATTCGTTCATCTAGGCAGTGATAAATTGGACAGATTTTGATTTTGTCCCCAAGTTATTCTTTGATGTTTCTCTTGAAATGATTAATGTATAACCTCAACTGAACCAAATATCCGTTTTTAGGCATACGGTGCATAGTTGTACATATCAATAGATGCATTATTATAACACTTATCAGTAAGTAAAAACCCTATGAGCCATATGTCTATTGGAACATTGTAAAATAATTTTTCAGTAGTTTATCTAGAAGTATAATTTTACTGGTTAGTTGATTTACAGAAAGAAGTTTAATCTTTATATCAGTGAAACTAATAAAAACGCTCACTAGAACAATTTTTTAAAAAGTCTTCATGGCAATGTAACATATGTGAAAGTGCATTGTGTAGTCCAAATTATTCAATCCCTTTTACTTTTTAGATAATTAAAGGAAATAAAGATTTCAAATGTGCTGCATTTTGATGCCACCAGATTTTTTCTGTTATCAGAAGAATTGCGATGCACAAGTTGTAGATATTGAGCAGCTGTATGAATTTCATGCTCTATATTTCCGTTGCTTTGTTTATGTTTGACTGAAACACTATAGGGGAATTATAAAGATTTTATCGAGTGTATTTTTCCAAGAATACGTTACTGTTTCACAGACAAAATAGATAGATAAAAACTACTTGGCCACCCTAAAGACACATTTTGCATCCCAATTCAACGGCTTTCCCCCACGTTTAAGCATCATGGGTAACTAGGTGATGATTGAGAGGCAGACGATTTTTATAATTCCAGATATTTTTCAGATAAAGCTGGAAATTTAAGTCACTAACAACTGCGTTGCAGTATTGTAGAGAACCCACATCGTCATTCACACAACCGTATACTGGTATCTGTTCATTTGTTTGGATACAGCACGCTTTGCATGACCCATAAAACTAAAGCAGACAGTTAGTTAACATCATCGTGAAATCTACATAAAGTTTAAGTTGCCACATCGCGTATCAGCGCATTGAGATACAAAGCAACAAGAAGGATGATGGAGAATTACTGAAGAAAATATGATCATACGGAGAGAAGAAGTGAAGCAATAACTAAATAAGATACGAGGATTGGGTTACAGACAATCTATGGACAAGCCTCTACGCTGACATTTATTCTGAGTTACATTGCTTGGAGTCTCTAACCACCGATTCAGTTGTCACACGGACACCAACGTTTAAGTCTACGTTACCGTAAACGCTTCAAAACAAAAGTAAGAGATTATGTTGGGTGATATCATGTTCTAGTTTGGTCGTTCTTAGCACTTTTCCCTCCAGATTTCATTCCAGCTAATATTGTACGATGAGACAGACAGTGACTAGGCAATTGATAATGTTTCACAACATCAACTGGCTTACTTCTGCCCACAAATCGACGAATGACATGTGCATTACTGACGTAGTTTCACCATGACACGTGGCCTATGCAAAGAAAGAAATAGTGGTCTAACAACCGAAGCCTCCTCATGTCCTTTACCTTTATTGACTATGCTTCAAAGTCATACAGTAGAGCAAAGTGAGTTTCAGTGTAGTAAAATGGTCCGTAATAGGCTATCGGATATCTCGTTTGTACCACGGATGAAGTAGTTTGGTTGATACAGGTATAAATTGTGCCGGGTGAAAAAAGAGGATTAAGGCTTCACTATCCATTCAAAGATTTTGTCAGTCATTTGTCCAACAGGACTGATTTAACTTCCCAGGTTAGTGAAGTGGTTAACTCACCCAACCAATTTATTTCCTACTGTTAGACGCTTCACAGAAGTAGATCAGTCCTTGAGGAACAAATTATACTTGTTTGGCGAGAAATGCATTCTGAGCTTTCTCAGCTTGCCACTAAAGGTGCTTAGAAGACTTCGAATTTTTTAGCCCCTACAGGTGGTAAAACTGTGTCCCGAGTGTTCTATAGGTCAACCAAAAGGTCCTATATGACAACATCGCTCTCTGTAAAGTCTGATGAGGAGAGTGTTATATCAGCTGAAAGTGGAAACCATGGACTTCGGATTAGTGTCACTGGTCATATTATTCTTACTTGTTTAAATGATCATTCTACTAATGACGTAATCGGCGGCATTATTGTATAGGTCGATTCAAAAGCTGTCGACTGGCTCCTCATTCAGAAATCACTGTATGTTGAGTGAAATCCATTATTGTTCATCATCTGATTTTCTGTGCTTGTAATCGGTCTTTCCATTTTTATAAATTAAGGTGCTCTATGGTCTGGAAGTTTAGCTGTATTTACAGATGAGTCAGATCGCCTAAAAAAAGCGGACAATAAGAATCAGACTTTTTGATCTGTTGTAAGCGGCTGGGAGGGCCAAATTGCATGAGTGATTGTGTAAGCCGATTGAATATACGACACTGAGCAAGTTTGTATGAGGTTAATCACGTGAAGAGTTAGCGTTAAGATTAAATTGGCGGAATTCCACAATTAAGACAATTACAACCGAGCAAGTTTATGACAAAGAAGGAGTCCCGTATATGCATGTAAGTGACAAAATTAGATTAAAATGAAGTCAGTATAACCGTCTGATGGGTATCAGTCGATGAACGCTACCACTCAATCTCAATACAGGCTTTAACAGACCCCTTGGTGTCCAAATAAAAATTCTTAAGGAGCGCAATTTGCTCACTCGGCGAATCTTCTTGTAAGAGATACTGACATAGAGCATTTAAATTGATGTTGCCTAACTCCGCCTTCAGGTCAAGAAATAAACCTAGTTTTCTCCCTGGGTTCCGAGATCTAACTCTATATGGTTAGCTCGATACTCTCACTAGCAGGTTTGCAACCTGCCTGGTCTTGTCAGGTAGTATTTTTTGGACTTGAAAACTCAGATACTCAGCGATTGACACCAGTCAAAGGTGATCATAATGGATTCTCATAAATCGGCTTTCAATCCATCCAATTAAACAACTGATATCTGAATATCACTTAACATTCGTATCTAGTAAAATTCCTTAAGGCCCTGAGTTACCCTACGGTACCCATTCAATGTCTTGTTGATAAGTTGGAGGTGGTTTGTAGGAATTTTAAGAGTTTTAATTTACGCTTTTAAATAATCTTCAATAGCAACTAATGTTCATTGGAAGTTAAAATTTCGCACTTGTCTCATATAGTCACTGTGAAGACTCAGGTATTTATCGAGTCACTATTAATCACCGTCTGTCTGCTATTTCTTAACGTATTTGATAAGCTTTGCAAAACAGGTTATGCATTCTTTTTGCCCATATTGATCCGTTTTTCAATCTGCAACAGTTTTCTGTTAAAAGTCATGACTTAAACAGCATAAACGTATGTTTATCTATTAAAATGCTTGAGTTTATTAAATAATGTATGGCAGAAAAAAATCGATTTTATCAGAAAGCCAAAAGGTTACTAGAAATTTATCAATTATTAACATCCTACCTTTTGTTTTTTCTAGACTAAGTTTCTTAGCTTGTGATCGATCCACTGGCTTACCGGAAGTCAATGAATTAAGTTGCATCACAGCCACTTTCGCTTCTCGACCTTGAAAGTAGGGAAATAAAACAATGGGTAATATTCAAATATTTTGCTGAAATAGATTATGGCCGTGTTTAAACACAAAATAGCAACACATGCGTTTTATAAATATTAGTGAGAGATTATCTTTCCCTTAATTTTACTTATAATCAAAATTATGCGTATGTAATAAAAGCTATATGCTAGGAGGATACGCTTAAGGGAGAACTGACGACGCATAACACACTAACTGAAAATGGGCAGATAGATAAATTCATCAAGAAACATTGGACTACAAAGATGGCAAGAAACGATATTCCAGTGGATGGCCGGAAACCATTGTGCGTTCTAGTACAATTTAGAGGTGACGTGCTTAGAGAGATATTATTTTACAAACTACTCAGATCATTTCGGAGAAATTTAATTACCGGTAAATTGCAAATTTTGTTTTCCGCACTCAATGGTGATAATGAAACTGCTCCACTGCCCTAGGGATTTCATTTTACCTACTCCCTAACACCTCTCAGCGTGGTTAAGTAAAGACCACTACCAGTTCCATATTAGCACACTTGACTGAAACGAACCATAAAGTAGATTTGAATACTTATTTACCATTCTCTACCGGCTTCTCATTAGCTTGCCGAAAGGTATCCTGCTCAGGATTTTTCAAACAGCAAAAGCAGTAGCAATCAGGATCAAACAACCTGACTTGTGTGTTCAAAAGAAGCAAGTTTTGCCGCTACGACTATTATGGCTCAATTTGTGACGCACAAATTCATTAGCATCCCACTCAGGCAATTTAACTTTCTAGTTCCATAATGTAAACATCCCTTTACTTAACCTTTTCGTCCCGTAACATGAGTAACATTCTATCCAGCTATTATTCTTCAGATCATCTTTCTTAGTTTATTTTATCCAGTTGTCATAAACACCCTCCCATTGTTTAACTAAACTATCATCTTATAGTATATCAACGCTGTGGTGTCTTCTAAATAATCAATTATTTTGAACCAAGTTCCGGCAATAATTGATTTTATCAATAACGTTCGCACAGGACTTTTCTAAAATGATTTCCTCAACTGTGTAACGTTATTAGCAAACTGATAATTGAAATCTCAATGTTGTTGGTGCATAATTCTTTAGTATGCATATATAACTGTAGGACCTGCTGAAGAAGAAGTTATCAAAAGGAACATTCTTTTCCACTGAAATGGCTTTTGAATAAACTGTTCCCTGATAATTACTAGGATACTCATGGTAGTCATAGGTGAAGCCTACTGGAGTGAAGGGACTCAGAGAATTAGGTGAGAGGTTAGTTTAGTAGTTCAGTAGGTAAATGTACCAGGTTAGTAGTCTAGGAGTTGATGGTTCAGTTTCTCCAGTCATCTTGGCTTTCTGTCAGCATCAGTCATCCCTGGATACATATTTTACATTAACAGTCAAAGTAAATGTCTTTAACCTGCTTAAAGTTTCATATTTAGGTTGAAAATAGGATAAATGGTCACCGAGGGGAAATTCAGTGAGGAGTTTTCTTTACATGAATTTACGGACTAACAAAATATATTTTGATTTTTATACTTTTATTGACGGCAATCAGTCGTTAAGGTTGAGTAGCACTGTCGCACTTTTCCGTACTTTTCTTTGATCAGTTTTAAAAATCATGGGTCTGCAGTAAACGTGGAACAGTTTTGTTACCTGTTTGGAATAGACAAGCATTGTTTACTAATTTGGTTCAAGTTTATAATATTTAATTACATATTCAGGTTGTAGACATTATAACATGACGATACAGAACTCCAGGTTGTGGTCAAAATTTCATCTCAGCGGCTGATGAAAGCCTGATGTCATTACTTTATAGATTGTCCGTCTGTAGTTAAAGAATGAAAATATTTGTTTATCAGTACAAATTGGAAACTAAGCGGGCAATGTCGAAAATAACAGGATTTCCCGATTTTACTAATTTCGGTAGAACTCGTCAGCTGGACATTATATACTTGACTATATATACCATGAGGTAATATAGGAAATATAGACAAACGCTGACACCATAAACTGAAACATCAGCTACCACCTAACAACAAAGAAATAAACACTAGTTACAGACCAGATGGTAAGATAAAATGTTTGAGTGGATGTTGAATTTGAACAGGTTGTAGATAAATTACGTCATTCTGAATAAGTAAATAACAGTTGAATAGTAGTATGATGGTAAGAAATCATCTAGATTTCAGTCGGAAAATAATGACATCAATAATCATAATCACAATAACGATAACGCTGATATTACGATGAAAACCAAATAGACTAAAAACAACCCAGCTTAGAGAACACAATACAAACAAGACCATCCACCTGAGCTACAAATATTCTCCACTATTTCAAGATTGAAGACAGATGTCGTCATTTTGAACAGGAAAATTATTAATCAATGAAGATGGTTGCTATGAATTCATTAAATCCTGCCCTATCCGCATTCATTGCTTGGTTCATAGTTAGATAATTAAATTACCAGCTATGTTTAACACTAGCAACAATTGTTTTTAAGTTACATTAGGACCGGATTGCATAAACACTGAACTTAGTTTTCCTTGTTCCACCATGTTACTAAAACTAATCAGTTCGCTAGTGAGAATATTTACCACCTAATTAAAACATGACTGTCTATCATTCATCTTTGTGAGATGATTGTTACTCTGATACAAAAAGTTTATGACAACTTGAAAGCGAAATCATCAATAATCCGTACATCTTTGATTCCCACTGAAAACTATAACTACAGTTCATGCTATCATGTTCTTTACATAGTCAAAATTGAATTTGTTATGCCAGAGTGATAGTTCAGAGTTCAATGGTGCTTTTGCTTTTGTTTAACCAAAAATGTTTTCTCTACATTTACTGACTAAATATCATGGTTTACCCAGTTCATGTTGATAAATCAACGTAATTATAATACTTCCTTCGCAAAATGTACGACACAGGTTTTATTAATATTAGATGGAGTATTTTTTTTAAAAGAACAACTCAAAGGTGACTAAATTTTATGATTGAAGTGGGAGTAATCTACTTTAGAGTACTGTGACAAGCAAAACAGCACGCAGGAAAATGTTATACATTTTCTGTGAATCATATGACAACTCTAGAAAAATATACTTAAATCTCTTCATATTTTTTCTTTGTTCTCCAGTTTAGTTGTTCATAGTTTGTCTTAGTCAATGTGAGTATATTTTGCTGATGATTAGAAATAACTGTTTATACTGTTACCACAGATTTACATTTTAGCTCTGTCAGAGGAACTGTGTTTTTGATGATATCATCCTTTGTGGTTGCACAGTCGCCTTGAAATATAGTTACTTTGCATAAAAATGTTAGTAATAGCTTTTAGTAATGAAAATAATTTAGGAATGGAAATTACGTAGTATGACAGTATTTGACAAAGTGCGTAAACGTGAATTTAAATCAAGAGGCGAAAAATTTGTAACGAAGTAAGTAGACGGTTATGAGTGGGAAAGAGAATGTGAACTTGTAGTTGAGCAAAACGAAAATCATTTACGTAATAACATTATGAAAAGTAGGGAAACGAACTAAGACAGGTAATAGCAAATTTGCGTCTGGAAACACGATTCTAGTCTCGATTATTGTATTGCTAGAGCTTCAGCAGTGGCAAAGTAAACGTTTTCTGACACTCTTCAGAAGATAACATTTTACTTCCTAGACTAGTGCAACTTCGCCATTCCGTTTCCGCATTCACTTTAAAAATTTAAAACTTTCCAATTCCTAAGCCCATGTCATCTGTTAATTTTCTATTTTGTTATTGCATAAATGGTTTCGTTTTGCTGGGTTATTCACTGACAACTGTCTACTCATCTTGTTACAAATTCTTGCCTTCTCGTTTTCAACGCACAACAATTCATACCGTCAAATAATTTCCTACTTAATTTCATTCTTATGTTATTTTCATGGTCAAAAACTGACTCAGACGGGATTATTTAAATCTTTTAGGGTGCATATTATTGAAGAACCATATCCTTATCAACCACTTTCCAACTGGTGTGTATTCAACGTACGGATACTCTCTCAAAAAGTCTTCCTGCAAGCGAAACAAGACTGGCTAATTGTGATCATACAAGAATTCTACAAAAAGGCATAATGAATAATCTTACTATCTATGTATTCAGTTCAGTTCCTGTTTTTCATATTTCTAATCTGTGCGACTAAAATCTATATATTTTTGAAGTTTACTTGTCTTATACATCATTAACAATAGTTACTATAGTAACTTGCTATCAATTTAACCTTATTGGTTGACGACATCTAAGCTTATTACTGTTTCAGTATATTATTGATTGTCAAGCTATTTGCTACTGTTGACCTGTATCTCTACTGCTGCTACTTCTCCTGCTGTTGTCGTTGTGACTGCTACTAATGATAATGAGAACAACATGTGATGAAAAAATGCAGTGGGGAAGAACATAATAAGATCAATAAATTTTTGTATTCAGTTGAACATAGTTGGATATGGAACAAAATAGGAGAACAAAACGATCGATTAATCAGAACAATTAATTAAGATTTATCTTTCTTCTCTTTTTTCTAGGTGAAAAAAGACATGAAAGTAATATTTCTAGATGGATAACGAATTCGCACTAAACAGAAAGAAAAACGTTGTACAAAACTAACTAATTGAAAACTTAATTAGTTAACTTGAATAGAGGAAGAAGGAAGGTTACTATTTTGACCGTTCGAGATAGTCGTGGTCTGGCAGACTGATATTCATGCTGGATGGTGATTGAAGGTGAAATGTAAATTTGGACGCGGCTGGATTTGAACCAGCGACCACTGAGTTTCTGGCCCGATGCTCTAACAACTAAGCTACGAGGTCAGACTGCTGATCAGATTTTTATTTCACTTCAGTCACCATGGCTTTTGCCCGACTACCATTTGAATTCGTGACGCGTTACTATAGCATGATCGTACCTAAACTCGCTGCCCAATCAGGACTTCGCATCCTAATCCAAATCTGACTGGATTAGAATGAGAGAGGGAGCATCAAATTGATTATCATTTTGAATATCTGAGATAGCCGGTTTTTGCAGACTAGTATTCATATTGAATGATGATTGTGGGAAGAATTAAAAGATATAGAATTCAGCTATGCAATAAAGAGAAGCAGGAAATTACTCATAGCAACTAAAGAAATTTGACTGTCAATGAATAACGAAGGATATAGTTTGTGTTGTTTATTGATACATGTAATATCCTGTTGCTGTACTGGGTTGAAATAGTCGACAACTACTGGCAAATGGGCTCCCCTGCAGGTATATTCAACTGACAAGTCTCAAGTAGGACATAACGCGCGCCCTGGATTTCACTTATGGATGCCAAGTAGGCCGCAATATAGTAAATATCCTGGCAGTATCAAGCCATCCATATAGGAGCCTATCTGCCAAGAGTGATAGAGCATTTCAGCCCAGTATAATTGTGAGAAATTACGAGTATTAATAAATAACAACTGGTATCCCTTACACAAGTGCTGCCTCTTTTCCTCCAGTCGCCTGGTAAGTAACGCCTGAGGCGATGCGGACTGTGTTCGGGTCTGAGTTGGAACAACACCACTGATTGATGTGCAGGTAAATACAGCTGACGAGCCCCAAATGAGAAGAAACGTGCATCCCGGACGCTACTGCTGACCGCTAAGTACACTACGATATATATATATATATATATATATATATATATACTGGGAACACCTTTTTCCCGTAATAATTTAAAATATGTCCATCATATAATGGCTATTTGAGCCGATTTTATCAAGAACCAGTATCAATACTCTTGCTGTCTCTAGTTCAGATCAATTTCTGCTAGGATGAGAAATTCTAGCTGGACAGATTACGATGGATTTACAATGACGTAAAACAGATTCACATGGTAGCCTGCAAAGCCTTTCAGTGAACTAAGTGACGTTAAGACCTGGTTAGTAACTGACTCGTAGCTCAGTAAACCACGAAACCAGCAATTCGGAATCCTTTGGTTATAACCCTACAGTGAGCCAGGTTTTAATTTTACCCTCAGTCATCATCCCATGTGAAATTTAAAACAAGCAGTGAAAGTGAAATAGGCAGGATTGAATGCAATTTGAAACAGTTTGTCACTTTGATAAATATGCATAATGTAATAAAAAGACTCAGGTTTTCCTAGAAGTGTGATATATTTGCGCAATACATTTCGAACAATCTGATGACGCGTGTAGTTGTCAAGGCATTTTATATGAAGAGCGAATTTATGGTGGGGTAAGGTAAATAAAGATAATACAAGATTTCATCATTAAATCTGAAGTGCGCATTGTGGTAATGGGTTCTGCAATAGGGCCTCTCCTAGTTGACTTTTTTATAGCAAGCCTGGAAAACATCAACTTATCATCAACAATCAGTGAACTTCATGAATACAAGATTTGGGGAATATAGAGATAATATGGGGGAAAAATAAAGTTTCTCAACTCCTCTGGCATTAAAATAAGATTATCAAGGTAGGTTTAATCTAAGGACTGATTGTTTTCGAATGCATAAAGAGGGTGTAAACTTTCGCATAGCTAAGGCTTCAAAGAACCTAAGTATACAGTCTTGACTGCTCCTATATGATATTCTAGCAACTGTTTTGGGGGCAATACTGTTACATGTTTCTGTAATGTGTTTATCTATAGAGATGGACGTCTCTTTACCTGTTGTATTTATCGAAGTATTTGAATGTAATTGTTTTCCTAAGCATTTAAAAACATATTCAACCACTTTCGACTTCATAGTTTGATCACTCCTCCCAGTGTATGTATCACCACACACATATGTAAACTGGTATGCACAAAGAGATGTAACGTAATCATCTATATGGTGATGAGATTTATTTTGGGAAATTGGTTTTGTTTTCTGTATAATACTGAGCTGGGCAACAAACAATATCCTTTGAACAACTTAATTAAGCCATCATCTTGAGACCATGCTGTTTGATTTCCCTCTTATGCGGTAATGTGATGTAAACATCCTTGTTTCAGAAAGAATACTGATTAGTTCGCAATGTTTAGAGGTTCTTATTACGATTAATGAACTTCAGAGGATATGAGTTTTTCATGACTGTCAGTGTTAAGAATTTGACTTCTTCCAATGTACCTGTTATTTTGAATAAGCATTAAAGGTTGAGTGGGTTTATAAGTTTGCGTGGAACTCATCAGCTATATGATGCTAGTACTCGGTTATCAGTTAACGCTAGAAAATATGCGATAAGCTTAAGTCCACAGAATCTAATATGCGTTCAAAACCTAAGTACTTAAAAACTAAGTCCTTATGAGGAAAATCAACGCATTTGATTACTTTCCCCGTCAAGCGATAAATCAGAGGTTCCGACACAGTGGCTCAATGGTAACATGCTGCAATGGAACATGAAGGTTCCGGGTTCGATCCCTGGCGGGGTCATGGGTGCGTACTGCTGAGGAGTCCTATACTAGGACAAAACAGTTGTTCATACTTGGTTTCCAATGCTCCTCTAACTGATGTCAGTTCATAATGAATTCCAGCCTAAAATCACCTAATAAATCTACATAAACCTCCGAATTGGAAAGTTTAACGTCGAAATAATTAGCCTAGAGATTAACTGTATGAGGTAAACAATGAATAAAACATGTACTATCTAGCAAAACATTCAGTAAACTTCATGGGAAAAAGAAATTTGACAGAAAACATTCTCTTAGTATACTGCGTAAACCGAAATTAACTGCTTCAATTTATAGTGCAATTTTCTTTCTCATTTTAATGAAACATCTTATACTTCATTTTTGTCCCACTTATTGCAAGGAACCGAAACATATTCGTTATGAAAAATATGTGTTTAAATCAAACGAGTCGTTGCCAGTACACAGCTTATCACCTGACCTAACTTTATTGCTTAAAGCGTCCATCTAAAAAGTACAATCTTACTACTTAATATTTTCATCGCACTCATTCATTCAAGTAACCTTTTGATTAGTATACAAGTGTTCCAATGGAAGAATGAGTAGCATGAATCCTCTGTGAGCAAATAACGAGACAGGCTAAATTTCTTTGAGTATGGTATTATAGTTTGTACACTTATGGGAACATATATGAGTAGTCTATAGTTAGGTGTTTCTAGAAAAATTAATCACAGTCGACATCCAACTGGTCAAAGTTTTGGAAGGGACAACGAAAGAAATCAGCAGAAAATCCTTAAAGTAAACGAAGAAGTAGCTGAAATTGAAGGTGAAATTGAATATCTAGTACAGATACTATTTTGCATAAACCACACTGAATTCAGGGTATAAAAACTTCAATAGTATTCAGTGTAATTTCCTAAGCAACATTTTTGTTGATCCTTATCACTCTTCAATTTTATACCGAGTGCCATATCCGATTTACGTTAAGAGGTTTTGTAGTGATTTTTAGATTATTGTGGATCAGAGAGATACAGGTTAGTTGATGCGTAACAGGGTAGAGGAGGTCTAAAGAAAGATATCTTGAGGCAGTGTTCTTGAGCAGCTTATCAATTAACTGGAAAGACAAATAGAGGTTCGAAAGGAGAACCGGAAGAAAGAATCACTGTAAAGTTGTCAGGCGTTTGTTTTTGGTACTGTTTATAGAGATTCTCCCACGCTGAGCATTACTCACCTTGCATGAAGAGTTTAGAGCACACTTGTTCGTGTTGAAGTTCAGTGACATTGTCACTATAGCCATCACCTAGCCACTACAGATAGTAGATAGATACTAACCAACTGGTTATAATGATCAGGCAGCTAACCGATCCAACGGTGCAGCCAGCTATCCCTCAGGGTCGAATATTAAACTTAAATGACAAGTAAATTACAGAATTTTAAAATCAGTTGCAGCCATCCGCGTAAAAGTTGAGAAGGATATCAAATGTTTCTCTTGAGTAAGAACAGGACTGGACAGCTTACGAAAGTATATAGAGTACCGCCGAAATCGTAATACCTTACATTCAAAGTGATTCATCCAAAAACGTAACTATGTTCGGAATACAAGTTGATCTGTCTGTTGATTTCTGCCACGTGCTCGCTTGATTTAAGGATTTTCGTTGTTTCCGCCAGAACCTCAGCCATTTGAAACATCTAACTACAAACTACTCATATAAGCGTATATCACTGAAAATAACCAAGGCTTTCTAGTGAATGATGCATAACTATGCACTAAAGGAACTAAGATAAAACGCAAACCCATGACAAAATTTAGAACATAATGACTGAGATGTTTTGTAGCTCATTTCAAAGTGCATATATAAATTACTATTAATATTGTTATTGTCATTACAATTACCTTTATCATAACGAATGATCAGTAATTCATATTGTGCAACTTCTAACTGCTTTACTTCGACGTTTTTTTCAATTAACAGGATGGGTGACTCATGATCTACACATTGTAAGGGAATAGAAAAGAAAATTCGTTGACATCCATATACCTTACATTTATCGAAAAGATATAAGTAATATATTTTTCATCTAATTACATTTCTGTAATGCCTTTGGTGTTTTCTGAAAAGGAATTACAACGTTGAAATCTAAAGCCGATAAAATTCAACCATACAAACCAGTTAAATCTTTCTTCATTCTGGTTATTATTTTCGCACACAAAGTTGTCATAATAAATCTTGCCAATATAAGGCTTGATTACCTGTTTTTGTTCATAGAAGTTTAATTCAAATACCAATTTGAAGAAAATGATTGTCTGTTAATAGCTAGTTTGCATTTGTTTTGCACGAGAACAGTATTTAGTTCTGTAAGAGAAAGTCTAACAGTTGAGTGGTTTTTAGTTGATAGTCATCTGGATGCTCTTCATTTGAATGGGTTTGTATGGACTCACTTTACTTATGACTTTCCCATTCTAATGTCTATGTTCATCTGTATTTCATCTTAAATTTGGTGAATTCAAACAATGCACTTTTTACCAGAATTCTTCAGTGACCTTTTTACCTGTATATTTTATCTAAAAAAGATATTTTTCCGACTAAACGTTTGAAAGTCTATACATAAATCCAAATACACTACTAAAGTTAACCATCGTTTCTGAAATGAATTTAGGATTTTTATGCCAGGTATTAGAAACTAAATAGCAGAAGACCCTGTAATCATGATTTTTCTGATGTGATTTGAATCCATGTAAATTCATGGTAAAGCTATAGTTTTAACCACTAGCCTATTTAGAAGATCGCTTACACTCCTTTCAGTCAGATGCAAATTATCCTGATGAAGATCTTGAAACACTACCGTTTTACTTGGTTTTATTTAAGGTAACAATAAAGGTTTTCTGTTGCAGAATGAATGAACGTATAGAGCAGTTGATTTCTATATTAAACATGGTGAGAGGGCACATTGATACATGACCGAGACGTTTAAGAATCTTAACTCACCTTTAAATCCAAAAGTTCCTTGTTCAGTGCTCACAATCAAGTGTTCACCTGATGAAGTTTATAAAAGGGATAAGTATTAATGTTCTAAATTAATATTCGTAAATCACTTTGTGAAAAATTTCAGAAATGATTCATCTGTGTTTTGGTGCATACCACTGATGACTTCATTCGGTATTAGTTTATGTATGAAAACAGTTTAGTGATTGCACACAAGTTTGTGTATTTAACGACATTTCACATTTACTGTGTTAGAACTAATGGTGCTATCTAAATGCATAAACCTCATCAGATGTGATACAGTTCTCACCAGTAGTTAATTCATGGAAATTAATATAGAATGTTCAATGAATCAAGGTACTTTCAGTTAAAATTCTGAAGCTATCTTTAGATGAGTCTAGATGGTCAAATTTTATGCCTAAAACCAATAATCCCAGCAGAATTTACTGTACTTTTAAGGTTCATAAACCAGGTTATCATATTAGACCGATAGTTGACTTCCAAAATACATTTGAACCACCAAAGTACTTAGTATCAACATTATGTCCTGTTAAGGGCTGTTCAAATTCTAGACTAGTAAACTCTGACGAGTTAAAACAAAGGCCCAATGTCTTACATACAGAAGAGGATTAAAAATTGATTCGTTTCTATGTAACAAGTCTTTATACTAAACAGCGATCCATATGACACTGGAGGCAGTCAGAAATCAACAAGGCTGATATTAGGGTGGGATTTAAACCCACAGACTCGCTCAGAAACCACTTTTATCATCTGGCTTAAGGGTATAATAGAATCACTAAGGCAAAATAATCTAATCTATCAAATTCCATGTAATGAATATGAGATCAAGTACATAGGTGAAACTAGTCGGTTGGGGTCAGTTAGAATAGCCAAACATAAGAATTTATCTAAATATAGAATAACAGACCCGAATAAGATCAGTAATTTATAAACAATGTCGGCTACTGCAATGCATGAATGAACACATAACCACACAATAGGATGCGATGAAACCACTAAAGTTCATTATATTTAGGTGGAGACAGAGATTGATTGCTGAATACTTATTATCATTTCACTATCTGAGATAGCCGTAGTTTGGCAGACTAGTATTTATACTGGATGATGAATATTTATTCATCGAATCTATACCCAGCACATGTACTAGAAATGACGCAACACCTACACCAGGAATATGGAAAATTTTACTACCAATAAAAAACAATATGAGGTGACAGGACTATGAGAATCAGATATGGGAAGAAGTGTGATTAGATTGATATGATTACAAAGAGCAGTAATTCATGCTCGAAACGTCATCAAGTAAATAGTACTGTATCGCTGTGCGCTGTATAACAAATGAACAAATCTAATATGTAACTACATTCTACTACAGCCCCCAAGTTTTACACTTATATAAATCACGAAAAGTAGCCTAGAAACTGGTAGAAATTATCCTGCTTTGATTAAAGTATTTTGTAGTCTTATAATTACAGTTTTTTACTGAAGTATTTTCTAGGCAAAAGTACTTCTATAGATCTGTCTAGGTACACAGCACTATTGATGTCGAACTCTAGAATGGAAGTCATCAGTCTACACTTTCCCCAGCTCATTTGACTAGAATAACCAATAGTGGTGGTGTGGACTTGGTTTGTAGTCAGTACGTACTTTTATCTAGTTATTACAAATGATCCAACTCAGAGAACCCAATGCCATCAGAATCACCTTTCTAAGCTACAAATATTCTCCATCATCTAATGATTCCATAGTTAAAATACCACTATGAATCACTGGCCTTTTTTTAAAACCAGGTTTATCGTCGAAGGAATTAAGACAAACGACGGTTTGTTTAGCAAAACTTGGATGTCAGCTTGATGTGATTCATTCCATAAACTGTATTTTTCTAGTATAATCCTAGAGTAGTCATTCATCACCTTATAATTCAGTCAATACTCTTAGTTTAACAATAAAAACTTCAGGGTAAAACTGAAAAACTACAAAATTCGCTTTAAGAAGATATCTTACCCCAAACATCACCGCATATAATTTCCGACTGGGTACATTTGTGTATTAACTTTGGTTGCCATAGCTGAAATCAGATGAATTAAACATTCATTAGTTTATATTCAGGGTATTGTTGTATTGTTCAAAAATGTTTAGTTTTGTTCGGGGAAATGCAAATTTTCAACGAAAAATGAAAAGAAATCTTTGTAGAGTTTGAAAATCAACCAGTACCTTGTAAATCAAGTGTTGGTTTTTCCATCAAATGAGTGAAACTCAATGATTTATCAATCTGAGTGTTTTTCTAGCCTTATGATGTTATAGTATGCCATCTTAAATAAGTTATTCACAGTTATATGCAGACGAATCTCATTTTAATTCAAATTATCTTTATATGAGTAAACACAGAATTCTGGTTAGCCAGGTAATGTATTGAAGCGGGAGGAGTTGTATATCTTCTGTTTACACAACGAACAGTTCAATTTGGAAACAGAATTATATTTTGATCCTAAAGTTTAATAAGGAGAAAACGTGATCACTAATCCTGAGGTCGCTCAATCAAAGCTTAGTGTGACTTTTGTCATCACCTGCTTCACATGTACCTGCCTTATTATAAAATTATTTCAAATAACCAGATTATTATTCTGGCAAAAATTATTTTCAAAGTAATCAGCTCTTTACAAACGATCTTAGTGGAACACTTTTCAATTGCGGGTTTTAACGAAAGGACCTCCTTTAAAGGAGTTTCATGAACTCTGTTTGTTGCACTGGAAAGACAGCGATCACTCACAGGAAACCCTAAAATTTACTCATCATTTTGATGTGCAATGTATTTAGTAGTACGATTTAGAAAAGCAGCTGGTCACTTTTTTGAAATTTCTTATCACATGTTCTTATTGAACTTCCCATCGGTATTAAGCCTACTTCACAAGCTTATCAGCATACTTTTTCGCAAGTTGCTAAATTTTATTAATTCTGGATCAACCAACTAAACTGATTATATTCGTTGACCACTATTGATTTATGCATTTTGTTCAATTATATCATCAGTCTCACTGATCTTGATGACTAATGTTTCAACAGTCTGTTCAATATAACATTATCAGAACTATTCGAATAAGAATTTTTAATGGTTCAATATTAAAAAGCATCATTTCTCTTTTACATTATGAAGTGAAAGAAAACCCGTCCATAACAACAAAAATGATATAATTTTTAGAAATAATTTATGTTTTCATTCTCTTCCTTGAATACTGATTGGATAAATCAGTAAATATTACTGTCCTTAAATTCAGTTCTGTGCATATAGTCTCATTTAATGACAAAAGTGTGTTTATTTAGTAAATAATTATGTGTATGAATGTATGCATGTGTGCACGTGTATATGTTTGTCATTCTGTTCACTGTACTTGTTACTGAGTAGTGAGTGGAGGTGAAACGAAAATCTGATCCATGATGAGATTTGAACCATCGACCTCCGTAGTTTGGATTTTTATTTCACAATCAGTCGTCACCCAGTATCAATACAAGTCTGACAAACTATACCTCTCTCAGGCAACCAAACTGATACTCTATTACTTTCATTTCACAAAAGTGATAACACCATAATGTGCAATCTATCGTATTAAAAATTAGAAACATTTCGATTTTTCGTTCAGTCTACAACCTATATTTTAATATGAGAAGTCGTAAGTAGATGATTCCTGTTTATTGAGGGAAGATTGGTCTGAAAAGCTAAGAAAATTTTAATAGATGTGCAGCGGCAAAAATTTCATAAAGTTTTGTGTATTGAAGGCGGTTTTTAAGATTTATTTTTTATTTGTCAACTATTAGTTTAACGTCATTTATAAAAACAAAACCCAAAGTATAAATCTGTTAAGCCAGAGTCAATTATTTCATTATTTATATTTGAAGTTATCTCCAATTGATAGAAAGCTAAACAATTGTTCGGCTGTACTTAAATTTCATCTACATATATTCGGTACTTTGATACCTCACTATTCAGTATTTTAAGCCATGAAGAAAAGTATAGCGAATATCATAAATACTTGTAAATGATCAAACAAAGATAACTGAATGCAACAATGATGGGAGGGGATGTTTACTACAATCTTTTAGAGGCAATGAGTAAAGATTTTCTGACTGATAAACTGCTTAAAGTAAGTAGTAAAATAGAAGTGCTGAACAGACTAAAAAAACTTACTAATTGTATTAAGTGGATGTAATTAAAATGGCATAAATATTTCAGGTGAGAAATAGTATAATCTGGAAGAAATTCATCTATACAATTAGTTTACAAGTAATGTACATTTTCAGGTGACTTTTTTCTCGCCTATAATGACTTTTCATTTACTTCATCGAAGTAAATAATAAATTATTTATTTATATATAGTTAATTAAAGCCTCACATTCTTTTTCGATTGTCCACTAGTTATTGAACTTGTTGGAGCATCTCCTCTGATTATTGTATTCAACTTTAGCATCTGAAAAGATAATACAAGAAATTATTAAATAATGATACTGATGACAACGGAAATGTAATTAGTTCATTGAATACAGTTAAACCCTCAATCTATCCAGTTTCTAATGATTAAAAGATTTCTCGGACTGCTGAAAAGTAGAAGAAGCTATACATCGTAAACTTTTTTCAGGTTCAGTTTGTCATTAGTTTTTCATAACACACTTATCTTAAACAGCCATAGTGCACAAATCAAACTGAAGTATATTAAAATTGCCTTAGAAGAATACTGTTTGTCGTTGTTTTGAATCTTCTGAAAAGTTATGTAACAAATCTTCAAGCAACTAAAAAATGAAACATTCCTAGAAATTGTACTGTACAAATATAAATTCACTTGTCTTTATTTTGTTGCATTTTTCAAAACTCTTAAGCTTTTCAACTGTATACCCGCTTATACCCATTGTGGTGAGAGTTTTGATACCACCTTTTTCATTACGTGAGTTAGCTTGAGTTGACTATAAGATGTTTTCTATATACACTAATTGGTCACGGAAGAACAACCAGTTTAATATTGTCTAGTCCTGAGTGCTGACCGAATTCTGTCGATCATTTTCGAAATGTGGCCACCAACCTGGGGTGCTCAAGATAGTGGTGCAAACTGACAGATGTTAGTTGGTTGGTGACAGTCGCCAAGACGCCCTAGACCTAGGTTTCATATTTGTGGGCACTCATCAGAAAGGCTTATCTGCCACCTTGACAGAACTGATTTTCCGTCTGAGATTCGAATCCTCACCACTCAGGAGTTCAGTAGCAGCCCACATAACTCGGTGGTAAGATGGTGGGAATGTAAAGTCATATGAGATGTGTATTTGCTTGTCTAATATTCAATTTCTAAGAGCACAATTATTACTTAGCTGCATATTACCCTGGGTATTCAGTAATTCATTCAACTAACAGTTATACGCCAGTAATTTTTCTGCAGCATGACGCATATAATTTACCAAGGAACGCAAATATAGTAACAATCAAGGCTATATGACTTTTTGTATGGTTCTGTTTTGCTATTAATTGAGGTCTAGCTCACATGCTTAGAATTCTAACCATGATAGTCTCAAATTGCTCTTACGAATAAAATATGAGTGTAATTATTAATACGAAACAAAAATTACTTCAGTAATTATTTAGGGTAACAGAGTTTTTGTACAGTAATAACAGAAGTATGAATGATAAGAGTACTAGAAGCAGTGGTGGTTACGATCAAGTGGAAAAATCCTTCGTGAAGTTTTTTTGAAAAACACCATATAGAAGTAATAGGACAAGGTTTGTTACCCTGCAGTGTCATTATGAATTGTTTCACTCAGTTATTACATTGAGGTTAATTATTTATACGGCTACATATTTGCTTATGCTAAGACTGAATATTTTCATAGCCATTTCATTTCCTGGCATTTTTAAGAATACTTCTAGCTTGATTCATTTATAAAAAGATTTAGTCTGCCGTCAGGTGAATTATTTATTCTATGTCTAAATGATAAGCTATGGCGTTATCTAGGATAGATTACAACAGATTGCAAATGACAAGATGCATCTCCATTTTACCTTGTAGTACATAATGTGCGTCTTATTTTCCTGACTGTATTCAAATTCCATTCAAATGTTTTATTTCTGATTATTTTTCAATTTCTTCATTGATATCACACCAATGTGTCATTTGAAGTGGACCACCGTATACTAGGTTCTAAGTTATTCGATTCAGCTAAATATTTAATTGGATAGCAGTCATCAGTTAAGCAGTTAGGGTTCAAAGAAGAGTAGACGTTTGGGGCAAAGGAATTTTTATTATTTCCAACGATCTTGTTCTCTTAGCTACACATTCATAAATATAATAGTAAAAAGTACGAAATATTCCAGAGTAACTGCCGGTTCAAGGTCAAAATGCATTACTTAAAAAAAGTAGGTTAAGTAAAACAAGAGAATTTAGAACAAAAAAACAAAAAAAGTATTGGAAAATGAAGCATAATCAATCTACAGGGGAATTATACAGAGTGGTCAGTACTTTCTGATTGTCATGGCCAAGAAGGAGGTCGTGCATTCGAACGTCTTTCGAACACACAATGATGATTTGAACCTTGATTTTTTAATGTCTCAGCTATGTCAAAATGTCCTTTTAGACTCCTTCTGGAGGGATTAGTTGCACTTGACGCAAAATTTGAAGAATATTTTAGAAAGATGCAACTGACCTCACTTTCCTATGTGTTATGTTACAGTGCCGATATGCATTTTCGTTCTCAGTTTGTCATGTAGGCTGGATAGTGTTCAAGAGAGGTTTTGCAAGCTGATCTTTTGAACGGCGAATCTACTCGGCTTCTTAAGAGCAAGTGAAGTGATAAACAGACACTGATGTGGTCTAATACTCTAGCCTGTACTTTGCGTACCTAAGAGTAAGTTCCTGACAGAAGAATGTGATTCTGAGATTTGCGACAAAAATGTTATATTTATGGGTCTAATTAGTCATTTCCTAAGGATGTTTGGCATCTGATAACCTCTGAATTTGACGTTTAGTGGTAAAATATTTTTGGAGCGAAATGTGTCTGCATCTTATGTTCCCTTTTTATCCTTTAATTCCTATCTATACATTGAAGCTAGTGTGAGGTTTTATCAAGATTTTCCCTGGGTTCATCGGTTCATGATTGATTATATGCATATCTGTTGTTGCTCTAAAGCTGGACGTATTGAATGTGAACTTTTAGGTTGGCTCTGCATCTTCAGTGAAGTTGATAGAGGGTTGAGCATTTCTGAATATCTTAAGTAGATTTACGACTTTATTATTAACATCATAAATAACTAGGATAACATTCGTGTATTTCCTATTAACATGTAGTCCGTTGATCCTTTTTGACAAGGTTGTATAATCCAGGCTAACCATAAAGTAATCGTCTTACAGGGACACTAAGGGTAATTCCATAGCTACACCAACTATCTGCTCGTAGATTTCAAAATAAGTGCAAAAACCTCTCAAGTAAAATTATTTTGGTTGTACAACTCAAAAAGGGGTCAATAAAGGTGATGTTTACTATGTGCACTTGTAGAAAGAAACTATTAAAAACAGAAGGATAAACTAATACAGTGCTGAAAATATTTTTTTCGAACCTTGATCAAGAAGAAAGTGTAAATAGAATGTAGACTTTAGTTTTTAGTTTGAGAGGGGTGTGAATAGCCTAGGGCAGCCTCTCGTTTTCGTCAGTGTTCATGCAGGTAAAAATCATAATCTAGGAGTTATCATCTATTTAGCTAGTCGATTTTGATGACTCGATATGATTTATGGTGACGTTTCACTGGAAATGTCACATTCAAAACTATCGCTATGATAACTTTATATTGTACACGTCTTGAATGTAGTACCAGTAAATAGGTGATGTGTACACTGAATATTCATGCCCTTTAAAATGGTTTCAAAACCGAAAAACCGGCTTTCTAGTGCCTCGGCCACCACTGCTTGTCTGTTAAAACTTACTGGTAATCGACGTTTTTGGTTGCCAATTACTTAAGCTCATTTTATGTGTTTAATTAATAAATGACAGATTGAACTAGAAGTTAAACTTCGTGATCTCAGTGTAGCGACTTTATTATGAGTGGTAAGAAACCACTCAGAACTGAGGAAAGTCAGAAGTAGCCATACAATCTATGAATGATTCTTCAGACTATTTTCTAAAATAAGGTGTGGTGAGTGCAAGTGGAGCATTGATTACTTAGGGGATTTAGTCAGTATTTTCTCCTAGGTAATTTCTATTTCATTTTTTACATTTAGACAATGAGGATTTCACTCATAAACTACCCAGCTAAGAGAATGAAACACAACCAAGATCACGCAGATGAGTTACAAATATTCTCGATCGCTACGAAAGACGGAGTGGTTAGAACTCAGTTAAATGGTTTTTACGACAAAATAGTTTACTTACTTGTCCATATCTTATGTGTGCATCGTTACGGCTTTGTTCTTTGCTTGTTGTCACTCCATTAAAGGAGTCTACTACAACATCACTGAATGCTCGTCGATAAATTGCTCCATTCTTTTTTTAAGAAATTGAAAAACAAAACAATGTTTTACGTTGTCAAACTGGACATCATTATAACCACATAGATAATTCACCTTTACATCAAAATAAGCACTACTTTGGATGCACCGTCTGTCAAGCGAAAAGTATCTCTGTCGACATGCATTTCATGACTTTTGCAAAGAAGTCTACTTTATTTTTTACCATGTTTCAAATTAAGCAAACATTTTTCGTCTTAGACACTATAGGTTTAAAAATTGTAAACTGCATATTCAAAATAGACATTCATCACCGACATCCTTTTTATATAATGACGAAACTATCGACCAGAGTTATAAGAATGGAAAAAGAATACTGAAGAAATCTTTTCAGCCTACCAACATGTCCTAATCATTCATTTTAGGTCGTTAAGTGATAGTGTGATAGGAAATCAGGCAGATATTTTGTGAACAAATCAGCTACCCAGTCATTAAGTCCTAGTTGGTGATTTATAGCGACTGACGACTACAGGGATGCCCACGATTTATTCTTTGTAACACAAGTGGACATTTCGTTTCACTGTACAATAAGGTTGTTTATCACTTCTTGTTTCATCTTTATGTTGATGGTTAGCTTCTTACACACTCATTGCTCGACGTTAGTCAGCAAAATATGGAAAGGTGTTGACTGACATCAAATTTGCCTTGTAAAACTAAAAGATATGGCCATATCTTGACGTGGGATTTCATATATATGATGAAAGACATTTAATGAAGTCAAGGAAAAGCCTGGACTTGATGACGAAAAATTTAGTGTTCTTAAAAATAGGCTAACAGATTCGAAAAATCTAAAGGCTACCCTAGTAACTCTTCAATCGACCAATCAGGTTTTGTTGCCTTACCTTTGAAAGTAACTTTAAATAAAATGAAGGGACTTAACCGATTATCTAAGCAGTTGTTATGATGCCTTTAAAGTCACTTAACAGGTTCAAAGTTCAATTATAGATGAATCTGATATCAATAAAAGAGTGTTCCATCCAAATGTTAGAGATACGGGAAGGATAAGTATTTGATTTTCAACACACTCGCTGACCACTAAGATTTTCACATTGAAATGTGTAAATTAATCCCTTAAATGTAGTGAACAGTGGCCATACTTAGCCATTGTATAAGGAGTAGTGGATGGAAGCAATAAACAATTATCTGAGGTGTCATTCGGTGAGCGCTTATCTCGTAAGCTCTCATATTTATACATGGAAGATAGTGTAAGTATTTATTTATTGTTACGAATCGTTTTATCTTCATCCACTTTGTAGGGTCATTGCATTTCACTGAACCAGCAAGTGTTATACTGATCCCCCATTTATTATATGTTGAACAGTGCTATGGCATTAACTCCATCACAACAAGCAAATCTCTGTCCGACGGTATTATACAGACTGGTTCTAATGGTCATATAAATTCACTTAGATAATTATCATAAAACATAGAGTATTGGATATTAATATAATTGTAAAATACTAACTTACATTTGTCTCATTAGTGTATGTTGTACAAATTGCATTTAACAACATCTCTAATGTACGCTGGCGCTTTTGTGCAAATACAGGTGATCGAAATGCAGCCTTTTCACCATTAATTACTAATTGGGAAAAAGGAAGCGACAATAAGAATGCTAGCTTTTTTTAATGCTATTTATCAATCAAATATTCAAACGGTTAGAAATATTTTAGTGTCTGCTTTGCAGCAAAACTTAAAAGGATATTTGTTAAGAAAGTTTGGAATTGAGTGCTGTTTTGTTACCAGTCATCAACGGGAACCAACTTAAAATTAAAAGTTGCTCTTGTTTTAAGCAAAAATATGGGTTAGTTTCAGATTAAGATGCTGTTGACAACTTTATAAATCAGCTATTACACTTGAAGAGTGTGAAAATAGCTGCCAATATTTCAAATCTGTGAGATCTACTAATAGGGTTCTATTTCTGTGAATTTTGAACAATGATTACTCTTTATTTGTATGCATTGAATATGGTCTCAGAGGATGTAAAAACACATTCGCCTATCTTTTTGGAGGACCTTTTCAAGCTGCTCAGTTAAACAAACGAAGGAAAACATTTCATCCCGGATGGAGGTTCTAATTTGTGACAGAAACAAGGTGAAGAGTCACGGTTTCTTCAAAAGAGAATAACTAACTTCATGCTGTCTAATTCTAGGTGGTGACCGAATTTGATCATTCATTTTGAAATGCGGAAACCAAGCCAAGAGATTCAGCATTGACGTTCACTTTGATGAACAGTACTGAATCTCCAAGTTTGATGGCTCAGCCGCAAAATGATCAACAGAACCTGTTCAGCACTCATAAGTAGCCAGTATTCAGTTTGTTACTCTGAAGTGACCAATCAATTCAAGTCCTACAGAGGTCAGCGGAGGTATGAATAGCTCAGTAGTAGTTAGCTGTCTGCTTGAATTTCCCACTTCAAATAATAAGAATAATATTCATTGAACAATATTTTCTTAAAATCCATGTTGCTTTTAATGCCAGATTTGAGAAATAAAATTGTAGTGTCATTGATGTAACAAAGTGCTTCATTTCTACGATTTCTCGAAAGTTATCATCTGTTGTTATAAATGATACGTTATACTTCTTCCTATCACTAAGGTATCTTCTACGATAACTCCACCTATTACAAGGTGAATAAGATTTTTTTCATTTCGCATTCAAAGTAAAGTATAAGCCACCTTATCTTAAAAAGTTTCGAAAATTATATTTTTTCACTAACCAGTACATGTTAATAAACTACACGGAAAACAAACATTGTGAAATCTTCATTTCTTTCAGAACTGCGTTCAATAAAATCAAGTCTGGTTAAAAGTGGCTAATCACACAGTCAGAAAGCTAAATTCCATTGCTGACACTTTTCAACTAAGGTAGAAGACTTTTAATGATAAGCTGTCAATAGTTATCAACCATCAAACATCATGTTTAACTGAACCCTGTGTACCACTGGAAGCGTAGTACTTGGCGAGTTGCATCAGCCGGAGCAGGCTGGTTGCTGATAAAACCTCACCTCAGACTCAGAAGGCCAGTTCGGCACTCGACAACTTGTTCTGTCTATGGAGCCGGCTAGGTATCCGACCATATATTAGAAGACGAGAATACTGCGCTGCATTTCGTTCTGTTGTGTTGTAAGGTTGAGACATGACCATCGAAAGCAGAAGATATGAAGCAATTGCAGGGTTTTGATCATAGATGTCTTTGCATGACTTCTCGTGCTTGATGGAATCACTGTGTAAGCAATGTGAAGTGTAACAGGCAGGATAGGGAGGTCGCTCGACGAGGTTTTGAACAATAGTTGACTTAGATGCTTTAGACATGCACTACGCTTGCCAAGGCACCATCTACCTCGATGTGCTATTTTAGAGGAAGTTTAATCAAACTAGAAGAGGGTTCTGGATGGCCAGATCAAGACCTGTCAGCAGTCAACAAAGTCTCTTACTTTCGGTCTGAGCCTTGCGGGGGAGGTGTAGACTGTCTTGTTGAGGTCCTCGAGGCGAAGAAAATCAGTGACTGAGGACTCTTTGTGACCTGGGTGAAAATTGATCATAATGATACAGATGTATTCACTCTTTGACATCTTCTAAAGCTTGAATATTCACACTAACCTTTGACTTTAAATTTTTATTCCGTCATACTACTTTACCTTCGTTGATATCACTCCTTCTCTATCCGCATATTGTTTGTGTACTACTGTGAAGTATGAAAACTTGAGCCAATGGACCAATATGCGATGTTCTATGTTAATTTTACCAGTCATTTAGTTACGAAATGTTATCTTATTCATAGACAGACCTAAAGACTTCAAAAGATGTGTATCATCAGGAGGTAAACTAATCTCTTCTGCTACAATGTTTATGCTGTAGACTTGAGAAAGCAAAGTCAGTTTATCATCTGTTATTATTTCACCATACAGTGAAAAGATGGATGTAATTTTTTGCAGTCAAAGATGTTAATCGTATACATAAAGAGATCATTGATTTTATTATTGCAATTATGCGAAAGTAACCAGGTCATGTGAAAAAAGAATGAAGCATAGAATTCAAACTTTTCATATATTCAGAAAATTATAATTTTCTTCATCAGAAATAATGATACATAAATGAGTAGAGGAAAAGATGGGAAGAGAAGATAACAGTGAAAATTCACTGGCCTATATTATATAATTTTAAAAAATATTTCTCTGTAAAGTATCACATTTTTAATTCACTTCACTTGAGATAAACTGATTGAGGCAAAAAAGAGTCGAAATAATTTTTCACTGGAAAATACTTTCATCTTGTTCTTTCTGTTTTTCAGGTGAATATAAGGTGTATTTATTAGGATGAATTTGCAATTAAATTTTTCTAAAGTTAGAGAACTTATTCAATGTATTCAATGTTTCTTTTGCTGAAAGTTAAGGAGTATTTAAGATTTTCTCACTCAGTATTCAAACTTAATTGCAGTAGACTTAAACCCCGGAAAATTTAATGTCTTTTTAATAAACTTATCAGCGTTAAAACTCTTGGTAGTGGTAATTTCCAGATAAACCAAATATTTTTCAGTTGTTCAGTTAAGCAGAAATTATTAAAGTGTAACTACTCATCAAAATAAGTTCACTTTCTTTAGAAACTCAGCTCAGGGACACTTCTAAACTGTATTCAGTGAAGAAAAAAGCCAAGGAGAGCATTAAAATGAAAAAATCAAGAAATAAACATCTACCATGAAGGATACTAGTACACTGCAGCTGACATACATTGGTTGTACACAAATCATCACTTTTAACTTTCATTTAACAAACAGGCTTACATGAAGCCTAGTTTCTCAAACTATAAATTTTCGAAGGTGAAATCAACAATTTATCATTTATTTGGAATAAAAACGCCCAGCGTAAATGGAGATAAGAGTGTACTAATGAAATTTTCAAGGTAGTATTCGTCACCAAGTGGTACAATTTCAAGAACCATTTAAAAAATGGGAGCACTGGACTGCTGTTTCTTTCCAGTGCGGGAATCTCCAGTAGTATGTAACACCACCCACCAGGGACCTAACTCAGAACCTTCAGGTTTCACGGCGAAAGTGTTAACCATTGAGCCCCTGGGTAGGAGTTCAGTGGTCTACAGTTTCCTAGTTCCACCAACTCACGACAGATTGTGACCTCCATCCATTGCCATTGTTGAGTATTTGTCCTCATTTCCGGTTTCATTCACCTCACTGGTTGTTTCCATTCCAGCAGAAAACAGCTGCCCACTTCTGTCGCGTTTCAGTGGTGATGTTAGTTCATGATGAATACCCACTTGAGATTAATAAATCATCAAAAGCTCACAAGTCGAATGAATGAAATTTTGTTAATTAAGGCACCGTGGACTAATTAAGGAGAGACAGGAAAAATTCCTAGAGAAATAAGACCAGTGGAGCGTGAATGAGAGAAACAAGAGTTCAGGCAGCAGTTTGTTGTCTGGTTTATGCTACTAAGTGTAGGAAGTGGTTCGGTGAATTGCATTTTGAACAAGGCGGATGACATCTGACACACTGCGTGAGAATATTCAGTGAATTTTTTTAAATATGAATACTAACTACAATTCCTTGCTAGTTGCTAATTTTTGATGTTGCTTATTGCATTGCATATTGCATAATGTCCCAGACAACTTATTGTCTGTATTGTTATCAAGAGTGATTCGAAAGACCATCTAGTAAATTGATGAGATAATGAATGACGCTTCCTTAATTTGCAGAAAAACTACCTTCCAAGACAAAATACCGAAACCTGATTTGTTATTTCAACAGTTGCTAGGGTGATATTTGAAGTCAGTCATCGTCAAAGGGATGAAAAACAAGAAACTATGTTCGAAATAATGCATCCCTGAATGCTATGCTATGAATTTAAACCTGTCCATTTACTTCAGTTTTATATTAATTTACGAATAATCTGGAACAAGTCTTTGAAGGCATTATGGGGACTTCATGCGACAAAAATAACACGAAATTCGTATCGCAGAAAGTCGTGTACATCTTGTAGTAAGTCACGCCAAGTGAACTCCATACTGAATAGAGAATTATGTCACACGTTTTAAGTGTTCATGGAAGGAGTAAAAGTTGTTGATTTTGATTTGATTGGGTAAACTAAGTAGAACGTAAAGAAAGTTACGCAGCGAAGATATTGGATAGAGGTCGTGGTATATCATCGTAAACTGACAGAAGTAGGAAATGTTGTTCAGTTGATTCCGATCCAGTGGCTCATTAGTAACACGCTTGCTACAGAACCTTAAGGTTCTTGATTTGGTCCAGTGTAGTGCCAGATCATGGGTGCGGACTGCTGAGGAGTTTTATACTAAGACGAAACAACTGTCCAGTGCTTCTAGGTTTCCAATGGTTCCCTAACTGATGTCATCTCATGATGAATATTGACCTGAAGTGACTGTTTTAGTTAAAGATGCACTTCTGTAGAAAACTCATCATTAGTGTTCAGTGATTAAGGTTCCTAAATGCAGTAGCGGGTAGTACGAGTTCAAGCATGAAACTAACTTTCACACGTTAGAATATTTTATGTTTTACGACATGTGCAAACTGGATAGTCAGCGTTAATATTGGATGACTGCAAACAATCTGTGGATAGTCCTGTCTCAGTGTGATTTTGATTTCTATTCTCTGTGTTAAGTCACATGATGATGAAAATTGATTTACGGAAAAACCCTCTGAAACGTCATAAAATGACAGGAAAGACTAAACATCTAAAGCTGACATAAGATATGTCTTATATATTTATACTGAGTGATGACTGAAGTTGAAATAAAAACTTTGACTGCGGCTGAACTCGAACCAGTTACCAACCTCGTAGCTCAGTTGCTAGTGCATCGGGCCAAAAACCCGGTGGCCGCTGGTGGGAAACCAGCCGCAGTCCAACTTTTCATTTTGCCTTCAATCGTTATCTAGTAGAAATACTAGTCTGCCAAACTACGGCTATTTCAGATAGTCAAATGATAAGTATATATGTGTAAATTTCAGTGAGTTTGAAGTGAGTAATGCCAATGTTTCGAGTGGGGGTTAAATCTGAGCTTCATTCATGATGAAGCTGAGATTTATGCAAATATAACTTATTTCGGCACTTGATATTTTGAAACTGTCCAATCAAATCTCAATCGAGATTCAGATTAATTATTTTATAATAAATAAAACTTGTATGATCTTACGTTTCACCAACAGGAATTCACGAAATTCTTGAGGATTCTTAAATTCTGGAGGATTATGAAGTGGTGGTCCAAAAAATGGAACTGATTCTTCAGCGAATATATTAAGTCTAAAAGATCAGAAACGTTACCATAACTACGACAGTAAAAGAAGTTACTTACCTGTAAACTCCTACTTCTGTATCGTAAGTTACAATGGCAAAAATATCTATAGATAGATTCCACATATTATTGGTTAAGGAAGGTATGCACAACTTATGGCAAGCAAAAAGTTAATCATACGATTAAAATACCAATCTAAAGGCAGTTTTTGGATACTGAGCCTACGGAAGCATTGAGAACCTATGAGCTGGTCTCTCCCACTGAAGTTTGGTGGTTTCTAGACTTTAATAAACCCACTCACTAAACTCATTATCAGATGAAAAAATGGGCAAATGTTTTAAAAATGCATTCCATTAAACTATTAGGGTTGAAATCCTGTGGTTAACGGTTTCTGGCTTTCGATAATAATGACAATAATCATTATATTCTGAGCAACGTTTTCCTACAGTTCGGAATTTTCAGTATGATATATTGCAATAACAGCATTATATATATATATATATATATATATATATATATATATATATATATATACCCCTTTGCAATATTTCGAATAGTGTTAATATAACAATTTATGAAAAGAGTATTAATAATGAGGAAAATTTGCTGTTGTTAGTTAAACTATTCGTCAGAGATTATTATTGCGAATTTGATAAGTGGGTTCTGTAATTTCTGGAATAGTCATGTGCTTGAGAGCCCGTTGCCATTCACCATGGTGTTTTTCCGTAATTTAGCTATCAACTTGTAGAACGATAGGCCACAAAGATTTTAAAAATGCGCCACAGTATATAATCCAATTAGATAACATAAGTGAGCGATTAAAACAGTGTAGAAAGGAGAAATTCGATACAACATATTGCGTGTTGGAATGGGGTAACCCAAAGTTCAAAGTACAAGTGTGTTTTCTGTATCTATAAAAAAGCCAAAGGCAAGCTAATTTTTCCTATTCTTAAAGACGACCATGTATCGTTGACATACGCCAAAGCTTCACTCTGAGGACCAGGCTAAAATAAAACATGAAAAGACTGAAAAGTGACAAGTCTGACAAATCCCAGTAGATTATAGAATCTTCGTCAAAATCAGGTAGTATGACTTTGTATAGACTAATTCAATTTTGTCTCTACCAGTTGTCGAAAATGTTTGACCACATATAATGTCAACATCCTGTTGGCGAGGGAAAGTGTAGATGATCTCATCACTACAACAAAAACAGCATTTGCGGGATATAATAGTATCATTTTATTTCCCGGGGTTCTCATCAACTGCACAAATTTCATGTCAACAAATTATAAAAGAATAATCACCATACAAACTCAAAAGTTCTTGTGATATTAGCCAACTCAGTGAGGATACAAAATGAAGAGCTAGATGATCTAGATCAAATATGTACAACTTAGATGAAACAACAGAAAGAGATAAGTAAAGTAACACAAAGGTAGGAGTTCTCAAAAACTGGTCTCCAAAACACTAAGGCTATGCGCTAGGGTGTAATTCTATATAAGATTCATCTAATCTTGCGTCACTGTATGCTATATCGGACAAACCATTCTGCTGTGAAATTCTTCGAACTGGATTTGGGAAGTTATTCAATAGGAGAATAAATAAAAGCGTCGTTTTAAAGATCTACATGATTGTGAAGTTGGTATAGCTATAGCAAGAAACATGATCAATTTTCCTGTTATACGTGGACAAGAGATTAACCATGGTCACCTTTACCTACCTTAATCAGTTAACATCTTCAGATGGAAAATGGTGACTTGGAAGAAAGAAGACTATTTACACTACTTTCGAAAGACGCTCCTTTGGAATTTGAGTTCAAGACGTGAGGTGTTTCATAAACACTTCAATAACTCACTACAAACTGAACAAATGATATAAAACTAACATTTCATCGGATTTACTATTGCCAGAAAATGGGTAAAGGAAGGTACAGTGTACTTTATTCCAACCATACTTGTCAAACTAATATAACTCAATATTTGTGATCAGAAAGATACGTTGTCATTTTATTTCCTTTTGGTAATTAATGATATTTTTCACTTAAAAGGCTAACTTTAAAGTCTAACAAAAGATTTATTTCCTTTTTTCGGGCCGTCCTCATCTTTGAAAGATAATTGGTACTTTTCAAATTGACTCTACTGTTGCCATTGTCATTTTTATCGACTATTATGGTCATTTTGGTAAACATAACTGTTCATATAAACGCTTAAACGCTTCTTAAGATAATTAAAGACTTCGATTAACCAACTGGAGTCCCTTCGTGAGTTCAGAGGGGTTGAGGAAATGGCGGAGACAAGTAGGTGGTGCTGTTGGGGACTCTTCTTAGAGGCCGAATATTGGCGCTGTAGAATGTTGTGAAATAAGTCAAGGGGAGTGATGTGTGAAACGTCCTGGGTGCTCAGCTAATGGCGTTAGTTTAACAGCTCACCAGGCAGAATGCATGCTTTTCAAGGTTCCACAGGTACCAGATGAAGACTTGGTGGTGTTGGCGATAAAACTCATCATAATTATCCACCAGGCACTAGTTTACGTCGATGAAGAGTTAGGAGTACAGCTGTTGGCAGTATCGTTCATAGACAACACGTCACTGATCAAAAGCTGAAGCTTGTAAGCAGGACTCAATCAATGAATACTGACATTTAGCAAACGTTTTCAGATAGCTGTTGGGTACAAAAGTAGCAGAAGCCGTATAAGTTCCGCAGAAAAATCCACTGGAGAAAGAACGGAAGCCAACAAGAGCAGAAAGCAGCCCTGTGTATGAATGTTAGAAGACACAACCCATCTTTCCTTTGCCAAACGGTGGGGTTGTGGCGTAGAAACTGTTCCGCAGTTGCGAAAACGTAGCAATTATAGGAAATAAAATACGTGTCCTTTCCCACTCTTAACTCAATTTGATTGAAGTGATCGACAAAGGGGTTATATATACTGGAATGCGAATGCACGGCCAGGAATTAATATTTTTAATCCATGCAGATTCGGCAGTTTTGCTGACTGGGTAGGTGCAAAACCAGTGTTATAAGGACATATGGAGAATTAGTTCAGACCATAGGCGAACATGCATTCTAAATCGCAGTTGTATTTTTGAAACTAGAGACTATAGAATTCACAACCCATCCGTTGTGACAACTTGCTTACGGCCATCTGTTCCAGGGTTGGATTTCTCGATAGAAGTGGGCACAGCTATTGGTACGAACAATTAAAAGGGGACTATGAAATGTGGATCACTTAAAATACACAAAAGTTATAAAGTAGTGGAAGCTGGAGTTAAGAAAGCACCCGACATCAGTAAGATGTCTACAGATCACGAGAATTTATCTACCAAAGATGGAGATCTATCTGAATATTGTGAGTGGTAGATGAAGTCCTCTCAAAATGTCACAGATGGATGACATTTTCAAATCGTCATTTTTCGCCTCACTTGCAAGAAGAAGCAAAATGACAAGCACAAAAGGTGTTAGCTGATGGTATAATTAAAGAAACTGATAGTACCTGCTGTCTACCGGTGCTTTCAGTCAAGAAGGTGAAATATGGGTTTCATGTGGGCTTTAAAGAGTTGAACAGAATCACCGATTTAAAATCATGTGCAATGCCGATTGTAATCGAGGCACCACACCACTAGCAGGAAGCCACGCCGCTCACAGTATTCAACTTGTGCTCAAGCTACTAGCAACTACCGATAGAAGGTGGTAGAGATGAGGCAGCTTTCATTGTGAGGTGGAACCGTTGTCAATTAAGAAGAATGCCATCCGGTCTTGCAGGAATATTGCTTGTGTTTAGATAACTGATGAAATTAGAGAATGTAGGAGTGAACGGTTAAAAACCTCATTGTGGATAGTCTGTCCGAGAAAAACAGTTTAGAATAATCAGAAGCTGTTTCAAAACAAATTGAGGAGTTTTGACGTTGTAATAACACGGTGAAGTAGCAAATTGCCAAAAGAAGTGTTACCTTGTTGAACCTTAAAAAATGATATATAATGGAATGAAGTCTATCTGAATGTAGATTCAAGCCATCAAGAAAATTAAAATTTCAAAATCCAAAATGAATTTGAGAAGGTTCCTAGGAAGAGCAACCCTTTACAGTCGCTAACTGAAAACTACAGTAAAATAGTAGCTCCACTGTATAAACGGTTGGGAAACCCGAAATGTTTGTGGATCTATGAGAGACAAAAACACGACTGAATTCAGGAGTTCTCGAATGACTAGCAGATGAATTTAAATGGTCATTTCAGTTGATGTATAGCAGAAAACTTAAAAACTACCAGTGCAGATTAAGGCCTGGTCGGAACCAAGTCGATAGAATTAGCTGCCTGTTGGATGTTTCGTCACATGTATTTTTTTCAATTGTGTATAATACCTGCATTCTTTTGCACTTCATTTTACATTTTCATCGAGCGAGTTAGTATCACAGGAACAAACAAATGCATTGACACTTGTTCACCGATAAGTGGAAGTTGATGTGTTCATATAGTCTTTAGAGTTAACGAGAACTACATGGAATACAATCATTCCAATGTGTTGTGTAGTTGTTGTCTTTACTGCAATGATGAGACCTTCGAAAATGACTGGAGGATGAAATGAATTCATGCCGTTTGCACAATCCAAACTATTAAATATTTCAGACCATCCTTCAGAATAATTCAGCTATGAGTCATACCTGCTTCACAATGAAGACCTTTGTAATAATGATTGCATCCATATGCAGTTGTGAACCATGTGTTAATGAACTCTACATGCTCGAAAGATGTTTTGACATTGACAGATTCTCACAAGGCCAGAAATTACTTTTTATATATTGAGATAGAAAATATAATCAGCATCGCAGATTAATGTATAAATACTTCATATATCTGAATGTATTTGCAAATGCATACATTTTTGAAGTCAGAAGAATATGAATAATTCACCTACTAGGTAGAGGCATCCATTACTTTCTTTTACCACCAATGTAGTTGCTTTTGCATGAATTTTGTAACACAACGCTCTTCTATTCCAACTAGTTAACACAGATTACGGAGAAATGAATGTAAATGTTATGAATAAATAAGGTTGAAAGTTTTTTCTTCTCACTACACTTCATCCATAAAAACACCTAACGAGTTATTATTAACTTGAAATAGATTGAAGTCATCAAGTTTGTGATGTTATGCTAACCTAACCTAACTAACCTTGCCCCATACGTGACCATTTAATGATAAAATAAGTAGAGTATCATCTTATTAAGGTTGGTCACAATAATGAATAAGGTTGTATGGCGAGAAAAATTTTTGGATGAATGTAAGAATGAAGATAAAAGAGAAAAATAAAACCAGCTGAATAACTCTGGCTCTAATTAACTTTTTGCCCGTTAAGAATAATTAGTGGGAATTAAAGGGAATTTTTTGACAGAAGATACAAGTGGTGTATTTTGGTGTGTCAAAGTGTTCAAATCGTTCGTCACTAGTTGAAGTGGAAATTGTCAATATTTCGTGGTGAACGTAGTAGAACAAGCAACACGTAATTCAACCTAATATCTGCTAAAAGTTATGAAACAGACTATTTGTGACTGAAATGATTGATTAGAATTCAGTTTATTAGGCTGTCTTTCTATTTTTGTGACAACCGTGCTGACTGCACGTTAGCAGAACAATCCTCACAATTAAAGTCTTCGAAGAAAATGAAGTACTGAGTCATATTTAGTAAGCAAGTAAAGCCTCTCACTATCTTAATTGTTGAACAGTAAAAATTTCTTTGTTAATCCGTCATAAGTAATATGAAATAGTGACATGTATATATGCACCTGTTGGGTTCAATCCGTGAATTAATTCAGATACTATTTCGATATAATTCGATTGTACGTAGTGCATACCAAATTTCTATCTATCTCATCACGCTGTATTACTTGAAATAGGATTAAGTTTAAAGAACCTACCTTAGTATGCTTTAAAAGCCTGGCACAAAGAGATGTGCATTTCTAGCAGATTGAGGTACCATGATAAAAATCTGAAGGTGATTTTCATCAGCGGGCAATGTCAGTCAAAAAAACGTACTGTTGTCATAATGAAAATTTTACGGAATATTTTAGAGCTATTTATTAGAAGGACGCTGACGAACGACTAGAAATCAGTTTACAGTCTGGTCATTATGCTCCTCCTTCTTGGGAAGTAATCAAACATCTAGACTCTCTTGTTTTGAAGCAATTCGGAGGTAATTAGCTGAAAAGTAAAAGAGGCGTCCACAACGATAAATCGAAGAGTGGTCGCATAAGAGTATATTCAGTGTTAAAATAGACGGGATTCAAGATAACCCTATCGCAAAAGATTACAGTCAAAGAGACGATGAAACGTTAGGTCCATGAAGAAGAAACAAACTATATTTATTAAAAGAATCCATCTGGTTTTCAAATGACTTTTGATTTACTTCATAGGTTTCGCTTATTCTCCTTAGTTCACTCTCACTCTTCTGTTAAAATGGGCTTGTACAAACATAACTAAAGTGGTTGAAAGTTTATTTTGTGATCTCAGACTGCCTCGGAAACAGGTATTTTCCTTGACGGGTTGATAAACAACTAAAAGATCAGCTTGTGTTCATGTGTGTACTGATTTTTACTTCCAGAACAAAGTATACAGTAAATGGTTGCGTTACTAATAATAATAATGTTTTTTCCATGAGTAGATATTTAGAAAAAAGTTCCTAGTGAAGTGCTGTCCTGAAATAATTTGTGTTAATAGAATGAGAATATCTTCCATCTATTTGATAGATGGGCGAAAGAATTCCATACTTTCTAGAAGCATGTGCTAAGTTTCGTCTTCAAAGCTATGAACGATATTTACTCTACTTTGAAATATGACTTTCATTGACCAGTGAATAATGTAGAATGATCTGACAGATGCAACTTCGAGAGCTATTAGTCAAACAGGTTTGAGTACGGTAGTTAAACACTCAGTGCAGTAGATAATAGAGGATAAATTGAACTTAATACTGGGGGTTGGCCCTAGGAACAAGGGTATGCTCTTCGTTTTGACTACGACTCAGTCGTTGGAAATGCTTGCATCCCTCTGCTTCCTGTCAAGTTGAGACTCTAATCTAGAAGATATTACGTCAAACGTCTTAAGGACATGGGCAATGAACATAGGTATATGTAGATAACCGGTGTCAAATAAGATAAGAGACGCATACTGGATTACATACTGGCAACCACTAACAAAGGAAACTAAAATAAAGCAGAAATCAATATTGAGGCTTCTGTTCTGGGAGCCGATTAGGTAGAAAAAATTGGATCTCATATGTTCAACAGGATGAAAAACGGTGATTTCCAATTAACGAGCATTAGTTAAGAACAATAAACTATTTCCAGCTATTAAGGAAGAAAAAGGATACGAGTAAAATGTGTCCTCATCATAGATGGAGTCCATGACGGTTGTTCTCCTGGTGGACATCCATCCACAAATATAATATTCACTATATCGTTGCCAACATGTCGTTTTCGTTCAATCTAGCAAGAAGAGAACATATGGAACAATCACAATTTACAAACCAGTTTTTAAACAAACAATAAATTCATTGAGTATTCATGCATTTAATGCGGAAATCGGTTTGTTTTAGAACAGTTTTAACGAGGATTTACATATGCCAAACAGCCATTGAGATATCGGTTTCTTAGATGTCCATCTATGATGAAGACTGGAGTGAAATAAATAATTCATGTGCAAACCACGTAATTGAAAATTAATTTGATATTTATGAGTGGTTTGTTCAACAATGAATTTTCTCAAGATCTAACGAACAGCTTTGATCTATTAAGTAAGGCTAGAATGAAAATGTATGCTCATTGGTGATACTAATTGATGATGATCGATCTGTACTATCAACCAATGGAAATTGAAGAATGTAAACAACTGCATATTAATTTACTACTCAAACGTTTCACTGTTTTGACGAATTGTTACAGGTCATTATGAAGGATTCTTAGAATTTTTGTTTCAGTCCCATGAGGTTGTTAATAGTTCTGTAGTCAGTTTTCACCTATGAATAAAACTACTTTGAGCTCAACTAGTTCTTTACCTACGAATATTATTTCTAATCATATCGTTAATGAATAATATCACTAACGAAAGCTTATTTATCCTTATTTCTTAGGGTTAAGTCAAATCAAATTGCCTGATAATTTTCTGTATTACTGAACTAATACATGATTTTAGGTTTCTGTAAATCACGCGAAATTCCATCATTAGTTTACATAATGACATTTTAAAATATAATGTTCCTGATGAAGTTAATTTTATTTCCTGTATAATATTTTATAATGTACTTGACTGTTCTCTTCTTTATGATAAAAAAATGTACTAAGGTCAAGATTATTATTGTTATTGTCCGGTTGTAACGAGTAAAGTAAATGATTTTGTCTTTAGTTACTAACAATGAATTATGTTTTTATGAACTATTCCCATTTTCGCGTTATTCATAAAAGAATTTCAAATCGTTTTTTACTTGACCTGACCTTTTTGATATAATGATAATCATTTCACTTTCGAGATGAAAATATGCAATATAGAAAATGAGAGAATGGTTTGTTATCTTTTCCTATATTCTCTTTCGATTAGTATTCATCATTTAAATAGACTGAAGTTATTGATGTTTCCTGGTAGTTTTTCAGTGTTAGCCGATACGATAATGAAGACCGAACTAAAAAGGAAATATAAACAGCTGTATGATTTAACCTATTGGCCTTTCATCTGAAACCATATTCTAACCGAATTTTCAGCTCCAACTTCTAGATTGCCTCTTCTACTCTTCACACACTCTTAGCTACCTTCAACCTTTTTTCATGACTAGACGCAAAGAAAACTGACGAGCTTATCGTGTCGTTAGCTGATGTTAGGATGATCAGTTTGTAAATGATTTAGAAATTGCACAGTTCACGTTGATATTTCTCACATCTGAGTAGCTTTACAACTGCCAAACTCTTGTGTCAACAGGGTTTCCGTTGGAAGCCACCCAGTCAAGATCACAATGTATGATCTCTGACACAAAAGTATATTTAAGTAGTGAAATATACTACTACTGAACATTTTAAGTAGCCAGAATTCTTTCAGGCTGATTCATAGATTTTACCAACCAAGCGAAGTCAGCTGAATTTGTCCAGACGCACCGTTGATGAGTTCTTTCCAAAACGAACAAAATGACCGCGCGATGTTTATATCATTCTAATCTGGCTAACTTTTTTAATCTTTCTCTTCTTTAGATTTCCAAGTTCTCACACCGACTAGGTGAATAAGGATTGCCAAACCTATGCATACTCTGCAATTTACTTCTCTTCAGCAAGGTCCGATTAAAGCCTACATGACAGGTAGTCGTTCATAATCCTATTCAGAGGTCTTTCATCGCAGAAGGCGTTTTTAAGTGATTCCAAATCAATGTGATAAGTTGCCAATCTGTCAACTAATATATTTAAAATTATGATAAAAGATAGTGGAACTATGATTGTATTTCTCATGTATTTAATGTAATACAGGGCTAGACTGCATCAACATCTGCTTCCAGAAGCAAGAATAAAAAGGGTTGAAAATGTTCATATCTTCAAATAAAAAAGAATCACGAAGGAATGTTACATAATGTGGAAATAAACAAAATTACTACAAAATAAAAATAGTTACTACACAAGTAAGTTATTTAGAGTGATCTATAATCTATGATGGTCACTGTACATGCTTCTTTAGAATGCTTAATGATGGTTTGAACTTTTGAATCTCTACTGCTGCAGCTATTCCATATGTGTTAGCTTCACAACTTTCGTATGGCTTTGTACAAAATTTTGAAGGACTTATCAAAAGAAGCCAAATATCCTAAGTTTATTTTTATTTTGTAGTAATTTTGTTTATTTCCCCATTACGTGACATTCTTTCGTGATGCAATTCGTGTCCAGAAATTACGTTGAAATGTTCTATCCTTTTTAACTACACATTCACCAATGTAAAGCTTAGGGAATGGAACAGTCAAAAAGAAAAATATTACTTCGCTGCCATCATGTATGCGTTCCATATGTTCCCATCTCAATTTTTCTGTGAAATTGCATCAGTCCTGGTAGATTACTTGGTGGCAACATCATCACACACATACCATCTCCTGTAGTAGTTCAATATTTTAATACTCATTCCCGAACGAATATTTCGCATACTATTTTCGTCTACTGTATTATATGGTTATTCTATGTTAGCGTAGAAGGTAAATCATAGATATATTCCCCGTGTCCCTTATTCGTTATGAAATCACCATATCAGAAGTGTGCATGTACAATGAAAATTTTCTGATGTAGTACTGAACACAGTCACTCGTTCTGTGAATGTATACTAAGTCATGTGGCTGCAAAATGTTACACTGAACAACCCGAATGTATTTTGAGTTCCACCTAGCATAGCCTTCTTATCTAGCAGCTTAGATTACAAGATATGTTTCGGAATAAAGTCGTCTCTCTTCTATACTAGATTATTGTATCGAGGCATCGTTACATATTTCACGTAGACAAATATCATTCATGAGGCCACCAGTGTCGTGCTGGGGTGTTTGAGTTTCTAAAAGGGGGATCAAGGTATATGTGAGTTTTCACCCAGCTTGTAACCTCAGTAGTGGCAAGACTGGAAAATAAGTTTAGTTAACAAAAATTATTTTCAGTGACTAATAGTTACAAAGTTCTGATTAACAACTCAATTCACCTACCTGTTGTCGGTTCTCTGTTGAGTAAGGCAGTAAGGTAGATACGTGAAACATTATTTCATGACCTTCATATATTGTATACACTGAATTGACACCTGTAGTATTGGCTGAAAGTGTACAATGAAATGTTAGAGAAAAAAACAATCATATCGTTTGAAAGCCAATAAGTGACTTTCTCATCGAAAGTTTTTTCATCAGTCTATTCGTCGTCGAAATTGATCGATTTGAAATGGGAACTTAGTTATTTCGAATTCACTACTTAAGAATTTCAAGAACACTTAAACCGTGTCTTGGTCAAAAAAGAATACCATTCAAATTATCATTTGTAGATGGTCTAATGTAGTAGAACAAACAGTGTGGTGAATATCTTGACCATTGCGATATCCATCACCGACATTAGTCTTATATATCCTCTTTAATACCTAAAAGCTCGAGGTTTAATTTACAAAGGTACAGTTAGTAATACATCGCGCTTTAATTAAAAAGAAATTCAGACTTCATACTAAATTTTTCCTCATGAAATGGATTGTAGACATTTTGTAAGAAACAGAGTTTCATTTCAAAAAAGGAACTACTGCAGCTTCCATAAAATGAAATATAACTATTATTATACCATAAAAATTACAAATGTTCATTATTTCATGATACAATGACTATAGGTTTGCAAACGAATTTGTTATTCTTTACTTTCTAAAGGCACTTCATCAAATAGGTAACAAAAAATTTTTCTTCTCATCATTTAATTCTTCATTTTTGTATATTTGTATCCCACACATTATGCTATTTCATATTTAATCGCACTGTATATTTTTGATAAGCATTTTTCGGTAGATTAACTTGCTTGAATAAATGTCTCATTAATAACCTCAGTTCAATTTCTTTTTCGTCAGTATACAATTTACTGTATGAATCAACCATGATAAGAGAGAAAGTGAATGATATTTAGATTCGAAAAACATCGCTCAATAAACAGCTAAAATCCTTTAAGTTGTTTAGTTTGAAGCTATAACTTTATAAAATGGCCTGGAAGTCTTGTGTTTGTACACTTCAGAAAGGGAATAATAGTCCTTAGCAAATTAGTTTGGCTCAGTTCACACAAGTTACTTACAATCAACTGAAAACTGAAAGGCAACAAATGGTGGTTTGATGTTTGGATGCCAAATCAGTACTACTTTAATCATGGTAAAATTGACAAGTCCAAGCTACGTCTTCAAAAATAAAGGTGAGGCATAAGGTTGTGAATGGTCAATGATTGAGCTATATATTTTACTTATGGTTGGTAGCATTATCACGACTAAAGTACTAGATCCCTTCCGTATTATTATTAGTCCCTTGGGTTCCTAATGAAACATACAACTTCAGTAGCAAGTCTCCATTCCACTCTGTTCTCTGAAACCTTTTGAACCTGGTCCCACGACAGCCCACAACCTCTCATTTCCTCCTCGCACGATCTCCTCCATATCACACTCCATATCCAACTCGTCGTTTCCCATGGGGATTCCACTCGAGGGACTGGCCTGACGCGTGATGTCTCCAGTCGGCCTTCTCAGTGCATGCCCAATCCATCTCCATTTCCTCCTGCATATTTGTTGGGTGATAGGTTCTTGGTTAGTTCGTTCCCAGAGCTCCTTGTTGCTTATTTTCATTATTCTGCCAATCCATCTGATCTTCAGTAGCGAGCCAGCGTAAGCAGTTGTTGGTGAATATCTGTAGTTTACTGGAACTCTCTTTCGTAATGTGCCAAGTCTCTGAACCATACAGAAGCACTGACTTACTTGACGTTGGTGTTGAAAATCCGGATCTTGCTCATGCTTTATGCTGAGTGCAGAAGATCTCCACACTAGTTTCAGGTAATGAACGCCTGTCTTGCAGTATTTCCGATTCTGACTTTGACATCCTCGTCTGTGCCGTCTGTAGTTGAAACAGTGCTGCCTAGATAGGTGAAGGAGGTTACTTCCTTTAAATTTCTCCCATTGATGGTGACTGCAGTTTGTTGTTGTTGTAGGAGTTGTTGGTGAGGTATCTTCATCACTTCGTCTTCTCTATATTCACTTGAAGTCGCGTCTTCGCTGTCTCTTCTATCAACTTGTTAGTTTTCGCCTGGAGATCTTCAAGTTTGTGTGACATCAGACACAAGTCATCATTGGCGAAATCCAGATCTTCTAGGTTCTTTTCCGCAGTCCAGCCAGCGTATCCCTCTCTTCTCGCTCCCCACTGTTTGCTGCATGATCCAGTCCAGTCCACCACAATCAGAAATATCATGGGTGATAGTAGGCAACCTTGTTTCACTCCTGTCTTCACTTCAAAAGCATCACCTCGCCTGGTTAACTAGTTCACTAGTTACTGGCCGGTCCTAAGCCCGGGTAAAGAGGGAAGGTTGGGTTGTGACCTTCAGTATTAGAAAGGTTATTTTATCCCACTTATGGACATTATACTGGTCATATGAAACTACTGATTACTAATAAACTGTTATTCGCCCCAGTGATTTTAAATATGATCGTACCTATTTGGTAAATTGGAGTTTTCTTCACTGATTTGACTCATACAAGTTACTGAATATAGTAGTCTTTCTAAATTTCTTTTGATTTGAGTTGCCCAATATCAGTTTTCCTAATTTCTCCATTGGAGTCAAATTCAACTAACCCATTCATTTTAGAATATTATGACCAAAACACTTACTTTTTGTATCCAAACCTCCTTTAAATCGATCCCAAGATTTTAAACCAATCCTATCTCCAAGAAGATCAACAAAACTTTCAAATTGTTCACTTCCTTTTTCTAAGTTAAAAATATGAATGAACAATTTGTTTATATTAGGAAAGCAAACCTCTTGATAATTATGTCACTTAATTTAATTCAGCTGATTTATTTTCCTAGAAAACAAATTTTATCCCAGAGATTTTAAGACTAGGTTGAATAATCATTCTAGGTGCTAACCAATTACTTCAAGTACTAATCTTTAGACAAAATAACATCAAAGTAAAGTTTATTTACACCATCGATAAAATCTTGAATCAAGATAGACACTCAAGTAATTTCCAGACAGAAAAATAGTCGGCTGTGTGACGTATGAGCATATATTTGGGTAGAATTCACCAAACACCGATGTGCTTATAGTCAGAAAGCCCTAAATTGTTATGAAAAGGTGTTACCTATGGGGTCAACCAGTCGGAATTGAAGGGGTGGTGGCTGATGGTGGATAGTCGCGCTTTATTGCACAGCGATAGAAGTAGGGAACTGTGGACCATTGAACTCTGAACCACTGCCTGAATGGTTAATGCGTTCACCTTGACCACCAGGTTAGACAATTTTTTTGTTTAGACATATTACAATATTTTGAAGCTTCAGCCTTTGTTAATCGTCCGATGATTAAGGCTTGTCCTTAAACACCCTACAGTTTTTCACAGTTATAGATTTGAATCGAGGAAATAGAATTGTATGACCATATCCTTTTTCGTGAATTCCATTCAGATGCTAACAACTACACAATTTCACCGTATTGATAAGAAAGCGAACGATGAAAAAAGATGACAAAGATTCTGAATAACAAATACCTGTGAGAATAGGAGAAAGTTGGAAAAAGTGCTGGAAAGACCGACTGTTTGTGAGACAAATTAGTACATAATCTTCAAAGAGGTTAGGAATTGAAAGAAAGCAGAAATCTATTAGAATATCAAAGTTACCATCATGGATTTTTCAACTATATTCGTGAGGGTATTAAATCAAGATTGAACGATGCTCAGAGAGGAAAAGTTGAACTTGAAATACAACCGAAGAGTATTCACTAATTCCTTTCATCAAGAGTCAGTCTTTCTGGAATTCTTCACAACTTCCTCCCCTTCAAACTTATTTGAGTTATTCTGAATCCTTGTCATCTCTTTTCATCGTTCGCTTTCTTGTCAGCTTGATGACAGTATGTGGACTGATTGTTCTTTAAGTTGTTAACAGCTGCGTAGACCCCATGAGAAACAATGTGGTCCTATTATTCTTTTATCGATATAATGTTTGTTTTCTCAAGTTTATATAAGCTTTTTTCTAACGTTATCAACTTGTATATGACTGAATGTGATGTAATGTAAAAAAATCCATTGTTTTCTAAAAACGTTTTTTCTTTTGTTTGAACTTGTGAAGGAAACCGCATATAAAAATGTGTATTTATCAGCTCGTATACGAATAATCAACTGAGAAAAGTTGAGCTAAAAAGAGACTTAGACTAGTTTTTTTTAGTTTCAGACTATATTACTACTGATTTCGTTCAATCCGATATTCATTAAAATTTGACAAATTTAGTTTAATTATGTACTGTCACTGGTTCGTTTTCGTCACTCACAACGTTAAATGACGTAAAAGGTTTATAAACAGAGATGAATATGTGCAGAGTATTTTTATACAGGATACAGATATGATGAGAACAACAAAGTTGGTAGATTTTTTCAGTATTGAAGCTAATTGTTACATTTAACTTCCATATAAATATGATTTGTATCGATATTAGGCGCCAGATAATTTAATTTAGTTCAGACGAACAACAAACAGCTTCTATACTCTTTAATTTAATTTACAAAGTGAATTACCAGTAATAGAGAAATGAAATCTGAAACCAAACAAAGAAATTTCTTAGCTATTCAAGAACACATATTTGGCTGCATTTGCATTAGGACAAGAAATGGTAGATAGGTAACCAGTTACTTTTCACCAGTTCATGCCACATTCATTCGCAGCAGTTTATGATTCAAGCGAAATTCGGACACATTTGACAACGATGAATGGTGGAGCAGTAAGTGGATAAATAAGTCTAGTAATTCCGAATCTTGCAGAGACCAGACTTTTTTATTTAACTTTCATCACTGAACGGAAGATTGTATTTAGTTGAAGACACTCCATGTTTTTATATATTTTCTTTCTGAGTGATTGTAATTCTTCAAGTATTCATTGAAATCAAACAAAGACATTGTTATATAGTGCCTAATAAAAACATCATGACTTTTTGTTGTTGAAAATGAAAGATATTCTTAGTGAACAGATTTTCTGATTTTGATAAATGACGACTGTTTCACTAAATTATGCGGTTTTCATCCTTTAGAAGGATCTGTGTGTTGAAATCGTAGGAATGAATAACTTACGTTTATATTTAATAGGAACTGATTCCCATCTTGTATAGAATCAGTGAACTAACTATTATGCTGTCAATCTTGTTTTGATATTTATTGACAAAATGAGCCTGTAAAGCTTAACAGTCTCATACTCTTTTACAAATTCCAATCTCATTTTGTTCCAATCTATAGTGACATATCTTATGGTATTTATATTCTTGATAGAGTCAGTTTTTACGCAAAATCAGCTCATTTATCACATGAGGTTGTGTTTGAAGATGAAACGAGAGACCTAATCCCTTTTAGGTTGAAATATAGGATCTTTGGGTTAAAACCAATATGACCTTTGTCTTCTTTTCAACTTCAATTATCATACCACATAACAAATATTAGCCTGCAAATCATATCTATATCAGATAGCCTTAATGAGAGTTATTCGCCTACTTACAGTTAAGAGTATTACAAATTTATCAGATATTTCCAATGGTTTTTGTTTCACGTAAATCTAAGCTTTACAGTCTGAATTCCGGCAGCAGTTTAATTTACCATGAATGTGCTCTTGTTAAACTAACTATTCTAAATGAGAAATGCTCAACAGGAACTTACCGTTATTATACATTTCTTGATCAGATGTTTGACCTTCAATACAATAAAGTACGCCAAATTTGAAATTTACAGAACCCTTGAGAAGAAAGTAAACAGATAGTAATACTTTACAATCTGCTTCTAAAAATACAACTTACATACCAGAGCAATATGAACTTGCCTTCTAAGATACAGTTTAGCCTTGGTACAAAGTTAATCTGAAGAGATCGTTTATTTTGAAAATACTTATTACGATCTTTCCTTCCTAATGTTAACATAAAGTTACTCATTTCTATATTCTCCTCACAGTTATCTCTCTGTGTAGAGCTAAAAAGTAGTAGGTAAATTTCATCTAAGGTTTTCAGCACTAGTGAAAATAGCATTCTCTACTCGGATCGCGTCAACTGTGATTGATCAGGATATAATTTCTGCAGCATCCGTGTTTATTTCTAGCACTACTGATCTAGGTCATTATCGTCACTTCTGTAGGTCATCGCAGCACTGTTAAAACAGCTCTAAATTGTAGGATTTTGTAATAATAAAATACATCCATGATTCAAATGTTACGTGGGAGCTACATTTCATAAGTATCTCTAAGGTGGTCATAATCAGCTCAGTGAAACGTCATTTCATTTTAGTACATTCATAGTGCTAAAGCACTATTAGCTTAGTTTTTAAACAGCTAATAGTCAGATTATAAACATCCAGGTCAGAGTTGTTACAAATGTCCTAAAAGAAGTCGAGGGTTGAGTCAGGTTTAATCACCATATCAGTATGCTTTAATATTATTCTGGCGTGATTAGAAAATCAAAAACAAGATTTCTGCTATAGGTTTTGCTATGTGTTCCATAGCTTCTTCAGTAGAATATTCGGATTTTCATTCCATATCAAAATATCTACTGTCGAAATAGTACATATAGGAGTTTCTGTCTTTACTGATGATTTCTAACTAGTCATCGTAAATTCATATCGTCTTTTTCATTTAGTAATCAAAAACACTTCACCAATTAATGTGCATATGTATGTGTGAAAATGTGATGGAAAATATATGTAATACGAAAATTCCCATTTATACAGCTAGGAAAACAAACAGTTTGAGCGAAGAAATATTTCTTCTCAATTATTTCCTCCTCAATCGCTCTACACTAATGTATATCACTTTCGAATGTAAAATTACATACCAATCTAGTGGTGAGAGTTGTTTAATAGCAGGTTATTGATCTCAAAGTATCAAGACAGTGATAAATGATAACTGATAATTAAAGTAAATGGTTTAAACAGAAAGGACTAATACGCCAAAAACATTTAAAAGGTCAAAATGTCAAAGTGAACTTTTAGAAAGGAAAAACAATATTAGTCAATTATTATTCATGAATAGACATGTTTTCGATATTTTCATACAATAAACCACGAACGACATACATTTTCCATAACATTCCTACATATACCATTTGACAGTATCTATTCTGATGCTGAAAAAACTCGAATACTCTAATGAAGAAGCTGTGGCATGTACAGTGATACGTTCAGGAATAATCTTGTTTTTGACTTTCTAATCAATCTGGGATAATATAAAACATACTTATATAATGAGTTAGTAGTCATTACGAAAACTCAGCTGTCTGTTGGAAATCTGTTTAAGGTTCACTGTTTGATAGAATGAAAAACGATTCACTAGTATTCTAGTAGTTTGTTCATCCTCTAAACTAAGACTCCCCCAGGTAAAGCCTTCTGTGTCAACCTGAACACTATATTTAATGCTCCATTATAAACACAACTGGAGTTATAAGTATGCGACATAAAAACAGGAATAAATGTTTATGTTGAAATCGCTATCATGTACAATTAGCTAGATTCTAAAAAACCCTACTATCAAATAATTTTCATTGTTTAAAATCAAAGTGGAAATAATTAAAGTAACTTCAGTTTAGCTGACATTTGGTCCTTTGTTATTACTAATGAAATATCATAATAAGTGGTTTTTACGATAAGTCTGTCCAGATGATATTCATATTCTTCTGTTTTTTTTTCAGAAAACAAAGACATCAGAGCAGTTAACAGCAAGTAGTATGCATAGATAAGATATATTGGCTGTAATACAGTCAAAATATATTGCAGATAAACTGATAATTAATCAGTAAAAAACAGCTGGAGATGTAAATTCAAGACGATTTTGTACATTCGTAATGCATTTATCAAATGTGTTGAGTTTGTTAAACAGGAACCGCATAGATATCTGTACAATCATTCAATGTTAAGGCTTCTAATGACATAAAATTACTAACCTTATAAGAGTACGGAAATGCAATATACAAACTTATCCTTTCTCTATAATGGATAAGATGATAAAAGATGCATTGAAGTGTTACTAAATCCTAACACTACTGAGGGACGTGGCTAACAAACAAATATCGGAGACTGAATATAAGAGGAGAGTTGTTTTATTTTATTTTCTTCATCAATGTTATCATTATTATGAACGATCAATCAGTTACTTATCCTTACTTCTTGTTCTTCAAGTGTAAGAGCATCTTTTTGAACTTCAAAATTTAGAATTTCTCGTGGTCCTTTCTCAACACGATGAATGTCGAAGAAGCTGGAGAATGATCGAAAACAAAAAGAATAAATGATGTTGTACAATAAATTGTCATATACTGACAGTCGATGAGATTTAATTAGTGAAAGTACACCTGCGGGTCTTGCATAACCATCAGTTCACCTAGTATTGTGTATTCTATATTGCAACTCAGATACTACAGTAATTATATTAGTCTGGACATAAATTCATCATATACACCGTTAAACAGTGGAAAAGAACATACATACATACATTCATTCATTCATTCATACATACATACATACATACATACATACATACATACATACATACATACATACATACATACATACATACATACATACATACATATATACATACACACATATATACATACAAACATATGTAAGGTAGACTGAGACAGATTTAGGTGTAACAACAGAAGTGAACAGCTTTTACCGGTCAAATGGTAATACAAAGGGTAGAAATGGACGTTCAAAAGTGAATGGGTTGAGGATAGGTTAATTGAGCTTAGATGATAATGGATTTCAGGTAGGAAAATTATGATAAAATCAATGAATGGTAATAAGTAATACCCGTTATACAAGAAGTGGCTATCGTGTCTCTGTGACATAGTGGATAAAGCCTTGGAGTTTGAAGCAATGGCTACGAGGTTTGAGTCCTTGTGGGAAAAACATCACTCACTGGGATGCAGGTAAATCCAGCTGACGAGTCTCAAAAAGGGAGAAACAAGCGTCCTGGATTCTTCTGCTAGCCGCAACCAAGAAAACTATATTAATGTTGATACAGGGGTGAGAACCGAATCCATTGGGCGTAGATCACGTCATTCGAAACAAGTTAGTTAATAGTACTTATGCAGACAGTAAAAAACCAGATTTCCATCTTAACTATAATTAGAACACAGGTAATTTTGAGGGATCTGTACAGGAGCGCATATGCCAATAGAGACTGATTAGCTGGGTCCAATCAACGACGGTATAATACAAGCAGTTTTAATAAAACAATGCCCGTCGCACAAGAAGTGGCTATGGTGGCTCGGTAGTGTAGTGGATAACGCTATCACGTTTGGAGCGATCGCTTCCCAGTCTGAACCCCAGTGGGAACAACATCACTCACTGGGAGGCAGGTACATACAGCTGGCGAGTCCCAAATCGGACGAAATCCGCATCCTGGATTCCACTGCTAGTCACTATCCATCTTTAGTATACTAAGATGATTACTAATGATAAAAATGGTAGTAGGAATGAGGTTAATTAGGCGAAGGAAAGCAAACTATCAGATGGGTGATAATTAAGAAAGAAAAGCAAGTAGGAAAATTAAATATGACAAGACGATGTTGTAATTCCTACCATGGCAGACTCAAGCTGACTACCATTTCCTTCTGAATGCAGAGGTTTGGTCTGACAACTCGAGTCGCACAGTCTTCTGCAATTCGAAGTTATTTTTTATTTTGCTGTTTACTCATAACCGTAAAGGACTTACAGGTATCAATATCATGTCCATAATCCACTAGGTGTTTCGTTACCAAGCTCCTCAAGGTCTTTTTCGCGGCAAGCTTCAAACATTTGGGTAGACAGACACCTGGCCATACGACTAATGTATTTGCTTACGCAAGTACATTCGAAATGATATATGCATTTAGACGTATCGAGGATCGGAGTCCTGTCTTTCTTTGATTGTTACAATACCCTTTTCTGCCATTCAAAGATGATGATTTGCTAGGGGTAGTTGCAGGAAGACTGCAGAAGTCTATAAGAAAGACTTATTACGCTGCTAAACTCGTCCCACCCAGTACCACCAAAATGGTACTGCAACAACCCAGCTCAGAGAATACAATACAATCAATATCAGTTTACCTATTCCCAACCCATTCAATTCCGAATATCCATTTCCACCCTTTGTATTATCACTTGGCCTGTAAAATCTGTTCACTTCTATGTTGTTACACCTAAATCTATATCTTAGTTTACGTTATATATGTATGTATGTTTGTTCTTTTCCATTGTTTAACGGTATATATGTAATGAAATATGTAGAGTATCCAGCTGACGAGTACTACTGAAATTTATGAATTCATTAAATCCTGCTTTTTTCACATTAGTTGTGTTTTAAATTTGTATCAGGAAACAAATGTTTTCAATAAATTTATCACAAAATGAAATTTGCTTGTTGCTGAGGATGTTCAACTACGAATTGAGCAACCAGCTGAACGCAGTTTCTCCTAGTTAAATATCGTTTTCACTTCTCATCTGGAAATACACACAAACTGAGAGAAACTACATACATATATAAATATATATGCTTCAGGTTTCAGTACAACCAGATGTACGGTGGATTTTTTTACGAGTTAAAAGATTAACATTTAGAAACTGACCACTATACTTCCTGAATACCCACTTCTCTTTTTTTGGATTGCAAACAAACAAGGTGCGTTAAAGTTCAATAGTTTACTTCAGTGTTACAACGAGAGATGAATTCTTCTAAAGTTTGATTCAAGCGAGTACAGATGTAAAATTCTCAACGTACTTCACGACTGAGAAAAACGACACTTGGATAAATAAATTCTACTATTGTGTCTGACCCACTTGATAACTTCAATCACTAGGAGTTAGGTACATCCGGCTGACAAGTCCCAAACAGGACGAAAAGCGTGTGCTAGCCTCTATCATTATCACAGATACTGACGAGTATAAACGATCTACTGACGTTTTGATGGTGTTGTGTTCTGTGAAATGGATGGTTTAATCGATTAAATCATTTAGCCCATCAGTTCAAGATCTTCTAGCATTCCTGTTCTGCTTCATCATATTTGACACGACAACTAGTATGATACAATGTCTTGATACACTACACTTGTTTATAACGTTTTGGTCTGAAAAAAATGCTGATAACTGGTCAAGTGTTTTGTGCTTGTCAAGGGTTGCCACATTGGTTAAACCAAAAGTTAGCCCAAAGCCTACAGTTCCAGCTGTAACCCATTTATTATCTAATCACCATGTCTGAATTCACTACCTAAGATATCATGCTGTCAACCAGGTGTTATGGAGTGATATACTTCCCGGTAAGGCTGAAACGCTTGGTTTTTTATTTGTTGTTTGATATGTTTGATAACGATATCAGTATCTATTCATTTGTTGTGTTCAATATTTCTTAACATTGGTCAGTGAACACTGAATTTAGACTAGCTAGGCTTTTCAAATTACTCACTTGGAAAATTATTTTGATAGTAAATACAATGAGAGTTACAGAAATCAAAAATTCTAAATTTTCAGCTAAAAACCAGACGAATTGTTTTAATTTTCACTACTTTAATTAAGGTATAAGATCAATTCAGAAGTAATTCCATGGAGTTGATACTCATTTGCATTGACAAAAGTATCATTAAGACTTTATTATATCATTGTAAATAACTGATACTGACAAATGGTTCATCGTCTCACCAAATGGATATTCAGTAACGTATATGAAGAAAACTTATCTAAATACCTCTAGTGACTAAACTAATAAAGTTAGATACCACGTTAATTCTTGTGATTTGACAGTCGAAAAATGTTATACCTTTTGTAATGCTGTAACAGGTTCTCATATATTATGACAGTTTACTTGGTTATGGCTAGCAGAAGAATCCTGGATGCGTGTCTCGTCCTATTTATTGGTCGTCAGCTGTATATACCTGCATTCCACAGAGTGGCGTTCTTCCCACTGAGACTCGAACCTCGTAGTCGTCGCTTCAAACACCAAAGCGTTACCCACTAGGCCATCAAGGCACGACAGCCACTTTTTGTACAACAGATATTGGTCATTTCTGTTAGTTGATTTGCTTGTAGTTCTCCGTTGTTTTACTAGATTGAATTGTTCGGTCCATCTGACGAGTCCCAAATAGGACGAAACACGCGTTTCGGATTCCTCTGTTAGCTACAACTAAGTAAATTATCATGACAAATATTTGAGCAATATCGAGGCATCCTCATAGAAGCCCACATACCAGCAGAGGTTGAACAGCTCGATCCAGTATAACAATGGAGAATTACAAACATATCATCAGATAGTTAAGTCTTATATAAGTAATTATTGTTAATCGGTGTATACAGAAAATATAAAATATACATATCTTTGCAACAGTCCAGAAAGATAGGAATCTTTGAGAAAAACTTAACAGCACTGTAATATGGCTGAAAGTGAGAACATCCTAACAAAAACGATCCACTATTGCCTCATTTAAAAAAGGAAGCTCAACAGTACGCATCAAACGATGCAGAAATTTCTGTAGATGAGAAAGCTGATCAAAACATCTTATGAAGTATTATTTGTGAACAATAATAAACTACGCTTAAAGGTTTTGTCAATATACTGTTTATGAGCACTGTAAGATGCTACCGTAATCACCATTTCTTTTTTCTATTCTTTTTCAGCAACCAAGGTTTCCAAAAGTATTGGTGAAAGTTGAGCTCAGTTAATATGGCCAGAAATAATAAGCAACAAGGAACTCTGGCAACGAACCAACCAAGAACCTATCAACCAACAAATATGCAGTAGCAGGAAGTGGAGATGGATTGGGCATACACTGAGAAGGCCGACTGGAGACATCACGCGTCAGGCCAGTCCCTCGAGTGGAACCCAGATGGGAAGCAACGAGTTGGGCATCCGAGGTGAGGGTGACATGGAGGAGATCGTGCGAGGAGGAAATGAGAGGTTGTGGGGTGTCGTGGAGCCAGTTTCAAAAGATTTCAGAGAACAGAGTGGAATGGAGACTTGCTACTGAAGTTGTATGTTCCATTAGGAACCCAAGAGACCAATTATAATAATACAATAATATGTTGTAAATGAGTTTCTGTTGGATCTATTTTACTACATATATTTATTTCTCATAAGTGTCAGGGCTCTTTGTTTATTTCTACAGAGATTTTCTAGTTACAATAGTAACGAAGTGTTGCAGGATAAGGTAGCCTGAGTTTAGGTTACTGAAATGATGTGGAAGATGGAGATTCACTAGGGTACTCAGAATTTTACATGGCACAGTTTTTCAATACCTTGCTGGAGTCTTACTATGGAAACAGCCATCACCATAGTTTTAAAAAGGGTTTTCTACCAAGTGTATCTTAGGTGTTGTGGTAATGATAGGTAGTGGCTAGCAGTGGAATTCAGGACGCAAGTTTCATTCTACTTGAGACTCGTCAACTGGATGTACCTGCTTCTCAGTGAGCGATGTTGCCGTCATTTGGACTCGAACGCAGGGTCAATCACTTCAAACACCAGATCGTTATCCGCTGAGCCGTCGAGTCCCAATAGACGCTTCTTGTACGATGGGTATAGTTTTTATTTTGCACACAAAGTGACTATCGTGACTTGGTGGCCAAACGAATAACTCTCTGGCATTTGAAAAGGTCAATCCCGGGGTTCTAGTCCAACTGATAGAAACATTGCCTACTGGGAGGCTGATATATCCGGCTGACGAGACCTAAATAGGACGAAGCGTGCGTCCATTATTCCACTCCAAACCACCATTCATCATCACTCCAAAATCGAAGCATTCGTACAGAAGCTCATATGCCAATGGCCACAGATCAATTCGGTCCAATCAACGATGGAACAATACAAGCAACAACAAGTTATTGAAATGTCGATATTAACCTATGGAAATACTTTTTATATAACTTGATGTAGCAATAAGTGACTATGCAAACTCTATGTTTGATGAGAAATACGAAAATTTGGTTTCACGCACATGAAGTTAGATTAATGAACAGAAGCAGGCAGAATAATACTTAAAGACAAAAAAGGTTTCAGTCCAAAAAGCAATAACTGTTGTGTTACAGCCTATTTTTCATTTTGCAATTTCATCAAACTGAAATGTTTGATTAAATTTTTGTGAAGTGTAATGAAGAATGTTTGACTTAGTGCTTGTATACTTTCTGTGAGCTTCAGTCTTGTTAAAAACTACTCAAACCAGGATAATTCAACGTTGGGTTTAAAAGTCATCATATTTGTTAGTGAAGATAAAGAGTGACTAGCAGTGGAATCCAGGACAAGAAATAATAGTATCATATTGTTTGTATACTTTTAAAAAACCAGTTTTTGACTTACTTTAACACCTTCTTTGCTGTCAATGCATTTGTAGGATTGTATGATATACATAATTTTTGGCTACCCTGAAAATAGAAAAAAGTAGTTTCATAAGCTAAATTATAATTTGAAAGAAATGAATATTTGAATAGATATCAATTTAACCATTAAATAGGTTGAGAATAAATATTTTTATCATGACGAGATGTAGTACAAATGTGATCAAATTTTATCAGTAGGTCCCTGCTTCAGCTTCAGTAGAGTGGACTTCGAAAAATTCATCTCGAGGCAAGTAAGTAATGAACAGTGAAAGTAACTCCATGGATTATTTGGTCGGAAGGTAGTTTATATCATTAGTCGGAGAGCTAGTGGAAACCTAGAATTGACAGAAATCTGTTCTGTCTTAATTCGGGACTCCGCACCAGTGCCAATTTACAGAAGAAGAAGTTAATGGGTCATTGGATGACAACCAGGGGCTGTTTTAACATGCTCTTCATGAGATCTGTCAGTTCCAAGCACGATTTGTCATAGGAGTGTAGTTGCAGTTTTCTGAGGAGTCTTGTAAAAAGATAGAATAGCTTCTCAATGCTTTAGAGTTTTCACGGGTCCCACAACTGATATCAGTTCTTCACAAAAGCTTCTCTCAAACTAATCAATTTCTGCACACCATCAGCTGAATTTAAATTACCAGCTGGTTTTTCAGCCTAGTCAACCTAAGTGTAGACCATCTGAAGGTCTCTTAAAAAATCAAAAGTTAACAGAAACAGTTTTCAGGAAATAGTGAATGTGAATTTCTAATTATAAAAAATGCTATAGATAAAAGTTTAAGTTGTAGTTGTTTTCGAATTATAAGTTTCACTTACTCGGTTAAAAATTACTTGTAAGGAGGATTAGTTGTTCTGCATATCATATTAAATAAAAAAGTTTGTGAGACATTTTTTAGTTAAGGGTCTGTATAAAGCTTTATTTTTTGCAATTGTATTTTAACTAGGGCTGTTAACTGGATTAGGCTAGTCCTCTATTGATTTTGTCGACTGACAGAGGAGTCTAGAACACGCATTCCTTCCCATTTAAGACTCATCATTTGGAGGTAATTGCACTCTAGCGAGTGTTATTCCAACTGAGGCTTGAATCCAGTACGTTTTGCTTCAAATGCCAGAGCGTTATCTACTTAGCCACTGGGCCACGATATTCACTCCTTGTGCGATGGGTGTCAGTTTTGTAATGATGCTTGTAATTTCCCGTTGCCATAAAGAGCTCTGGTGTTTGAAGCAGAGTACTGTTTTCCAAACTCAGTGTGAACAACATGCACTGGGTGTAGGTATATCCGGCTCGCGAGTCGCAAATAGGACGAAACACACGTCCTAGATTCCTCTGCTCGTTACCAAGATCACTATAACATCACGAATATTCAGCAGTATTGAGGCACCCGCTTAGGATCCTATCTGCCAACATAGGTCGAGCGATTCGGCCCTGTATAGCAAAGGGAAATTACAACTATCGTAACAATAAGCTGGTCTTCCAATAAGACGGATTTCACGGTTTCATTCGAACTAAAAATCTTTTTGAGTGTTAGCAACAATAAATAACATTTCGTATTCTTGTAACCTTCCCAAATTATTAGCTGCATTTGCGAGGGGACGTTAGAATTTAAGAAAAAATATGAAGGAATTTGTCACTGAAAGCTTTTAAGTCCCTTACAAGTGATGACTGACTTCTTGACGGTCATTAGTTGTTCACCGTTAGACATTTTGAAAGCTTCTCTCATATGTCGTGAACGTTGTCACGTGCATTCCATTACATGAACAATCAACGACTGAATTATAATTCTTTTTAGGTTAAATTTGAATGCTTTACCTTGAGTATGCGAAACGTTTCTGACTTCATATATTTCAACTACCTAATATCCTTCAACACTGTTCGTGGTTGACCTTCACTGGAAAAATTCTGAGTAGCAGGATTTCAACCCACAAGCCAAACGTTAACCAACAAATCCCTAAAGGTTTAGATATTTCAATTTAAACATCGCATGAGGTAAAGTATGTGAACTGCTGAGAAGTCTGAAAGGAAACAGGACAATTTTGCGTCCTCATCCGTCATTCACTGATCACGATAAATATCTTCATGAAGTTTTGCTTGACAAATGTTATCTCATTATTTTTGGTTCAGCTTACTTTCACGTATCAAATCACTATGTTCGATGGTAAGTAGTAGTTAGTAGTTAGATATCAGTCAGCCGTTAACTTAGCCACAGCAGAAATATTATTTCAAGTTGATATTCATCATGGACTGACATCAGTTGGAAAAACATTGGAAATTTAAGGGCACCGGACAACTATTTCGTCATAGTACAGGACTTCTCAGTAGTGCTCACCCAGGAACCCTCCCCACCAGGGATAGAATCCAGGACATTCAGGCTCCGCAGTCAGCCCATTAGCATAAAGCCACCGAGTAGAAGTTCAGTGATCCATATCTCCTACTTCTGTTAGATATAGGACGACTACAACCCCCAAACTAGAATAATCTAGTACTCATCGGTGACCAGCTTCAAGCAATGATTCTTGAAGTTCCAACGAGAAGTCGTGACCAGTGGGGCAAGCCGGACAGACATGAGAACAAATAGCAAATGGTGATATTAAGTGATGCTAGCACTATATCGTGAGTTGATAGAAGTATGAGGTATTGACCAATGGTTTCCAATCCAGTAGCTCAATGGAAACGTGTTGGTCACGGAACCTGAAGATTCTGGGTCCGATCCCTGATGAATACATGGGTGCACACCCCTGAGAAGTCCCATGCTGGGACGAAACAGCTATCCGGTTCTCTCAGGTTTCCAATGTTCCTACAACTGATATCAGTCTATGATGAATACAAACCTGAAACCACTAAATTTGTACAAACCTTCAAATAGAGATGTAATTCCTCAGAACGTAATTGTTTTTCAGTCCAGGTTGATTCAAAACAGGAAGACAAGATGGACCTACTTAATATATATCTGGCAGAAAACCAGCGAAGTCATCGTACAGAAAACTAGTTTTACTCCTTATGAACATTGAATCAACAACCATTATATATAGTACGAAGGATACAACATTAATTCCAGAGACATGGGAAGAACAAGAGCTGTCAAAACTATGGGAACTACATTCAGCAATTGAATAATTACCTTAATGTGCTTACGAAAAATAATTTGTGCTACAAACGTACTCCAGTAAACAGTGTATCGAATATCGAATATCCAAGTCTAACTGAGGATTAAATTCTACTACCATTCCAAATTTTACTCCCAAAATTAAACTTCTAAACAGTTGTTGTATATCCCAATGGAATTAGATATGAGAAATAGTGTGGAATAGAAAGAAGATTTATTTCTGTACTCTCCCTTTCTAAAGTTATCAATATTGACTTAGTTTCTGATGACGGTAACTGTGGGAGGGAAAGTTAGTTTGACAGTAGGTGAAGTTTAGCAAACCGGATGATATTTTACCCCTCAATTAATCTTGATCGAAATAAAATTAGCTGATCCCACTTATGCTCCAGCTAAAAAGAGACTATCCACTAAAATGAAAAAAACGTTACAAGCTTTATTTGTCATTTCTTACAAATTGATTAAATGTTTCATTGGTTTGCTGCATTCATATAACTAATGAATTGCCCAGAAAATGGAAGAGTAGATGGTGAAAAACAGTCAAATAGCTTGTCAGGATGTGTCAATATCTCGTGCGCAAAAATCCGATTTTTTGTTGTTTTATTTGATAACCTAATCATTGTGCAGAAGATAATGTAAAGGGGATTTGCTTAGATTGTCTTGTTTGTTACATACACTTCAAAATATTCTGGCACTGTAAATCAAGTAACTTATCATTGCAGTTGTAAGTGTTAACTTGAGTCTTTCGGTTGAATTTTCAGCATTGTCACTCAGTCAGGCAGTACAAAACTGAGATGAGCTTTATTTTAGTGCTAGATAGTTAAATTCATTAGGTAGAAGTCCATACTCCACCTGGATATCCTTCTTGTTTATGGTCCCTGTCAAAATTGTGTCTGCGAACCGGAGGAAACCTATGCTTTCAAAACCACTTGTACACGACTCACTGTGTTTCAAAGACACAGGTTACATCACTTTAGAAGTGCATTGGTTGCCGTTGGGAAATTCGCCTTCATTACAGAAAGTCACAGAGAATCAACTACAGCTCAAAACAATTACTAGTTATCCGCAACATAATTTCAAATTTCATAAGGAACACTAGTTTCCTTAAAGTGACTGATGTGTTCAACATCACCGAACCTTAGTTATAGAATTCTCTACAAATCAGATCCAGACATTTAGGACTTAAGCATCTGTACATATAATATACCACTACGTATTCTTCCAACTTCAGATTTCTGCTCTATTTGTAATAGTAGTGAGTGAAATCATTTTACTCGTTTGTTAGTTTAATTTGTCCCAAGAAGCGAACCACTGGTGTAACAGCATGGGGTAATCATCTGATTGACCGTCAACAGCAAATAACGCTGTATTTCATGCAAAAATATTTGAGAAGTAATGCCTCCTGGATCTGTGGATTGATAAAAATATGAGATTTGCCTATTCAATAAAAATGACACAATAATTTTGTAGGCTGAACAAATGAATTCTTCGAAAAATCATGCGTCGAGAAAGTTTTTGACACAGAAAACAGGTTTTCACGAATTGATTTTTTGAAATATCTATCAACAAAAACGTTTGCCAGTGAACTTTGAGACGATACAGATTGAAAAAAGCCATTTGCACATAAGTCAAGGTGCATTTTTTTAATAATACTCACGTATTCAATGATAAACTACTCATTGCAAGAAAAACAGTTTCGAGAAAGAGTCAATTTCTTTTCCGCAAAAAAATCATCACCGATATAACTAAAAGTTAAGTTTCCACTTCTTTCGCTTCATCTTTAAATGAATATTTTAAAACGTATGCAGCCGGTAGGATACATAGGTTTTATGAGCACAAACTCTCAAGCACCTCTCGAGTAAAATATACTTTTATAGACTCCCTACGTTTTGGTTGCTCACCGAGTACAACGAATTTTCAGTCTTTTTCTCCTCTGTAGATATCTGTAAACTTGTGATTATCTTTCTTTTTTCGTCTGTATCTTCTTGTACAACTCAAAGTTGATTCTTTGACCCCACACATGTCATATAAAAATCATTTCATATCCGTTTTACCCTTTTACATCCATGCTTATACAGTAGAACTTTACTTTTTTTCCTTTGTTTATTTTCAGAAGTTATTCATGTGATTCTGTATTGAATCGTCTTTAAAGCTGTGTTTATTTTCTCCCCTGTTTTTGTTGATATCATTATCCCAGGATTATCTGCCTCCTCAATCGGTATTTACATGACCATTGGTTATGTTATGACAGCATGTGATATAAGTTTCGATTTGTTTATGAGCTCGCTACATAGTGGGTACGAGATGAAAATCAGATAGAATCAGACCATAATAAACAATTTTGAGAAGGCTTAATCATTCTAGATCTTAAGATATTTCTAGGACTTGAGGATATTTAGAAAACTGAACAGATGAAAACCCTGAATTTCTGTATCAGTTACCTGCTTTTTGAACTATAGCAATACCCACGGTAACTTACAGCGTGAAATGTATTCACCAAATGAACCTTGGAATCAACGAGCAGCTTCACTAAGTTGCGCAGAAAAACTATGTATATGGCCTGGGACCAAGTTTTCTCTGAACTTCAACTACTTTTGCAGACTCTAATGATAGGTAACTTTGCAGTAAATATTCAACGCATATTCAAAACAACCATCTGACGGAGGTTAACAGTTGAAATTATTTTAGGTCGGTGAAAGCAAAACTTCCTGCATTAGTACGTAAAGCAAATGCTGCTTACTGTAATAATGCTAATTATTGTAAATAACCTTTGGTTATTATCACTGATGGTCTGTAGTTTGTCGAAATTAGCCCTCAACATTTGAAATAGAACTCATTTACACACTAGCTTAGAAGAATATTATCTGCCATGTCTCTGAAACTTTTATAACTGGATAGATATCGTCGCCTATAAAATCTGCTAGATAATTGAATTTATAAACAAAAATATTTTTAAAATAATAAGAGTAATTACCGTTTTTCTCCATAAAATCGCGCGATACTGACTAATTCCATAGGTTTGTATATCATCTTTGGTAACAGCAAGGAGGAATGGATCACGTTCACTAAGGTACCCACAATACAGCTGATGATCTGTAAATAATAAAAAGGTTTAGATTATGACAGACAAGATAAAGGGAAAAGTAATACTTTTTGCTAGTAATATACGCTGTTTATCCACAATCGAATTAAAGAAAATAATTCTGCTTCATATCAGTCATCCTGATGATCATTTTGTGGAGTTATTGAGTAAATAACGTCAGTAAATAGTTTATGTTTCCTGTCACTACATCTTGTTAAAAAATTCCATATCTATTGTGTTTCTCATTTACGTATACAGCCGATGCAAGAACGACTCACTGATTTCGCTTCCTGCGATAAAAATAGGGGATCGATGAGGGAAAGTATTAAATTAGCTATTCGCATTTCGATAGGGTAAAAGTAATAAAAACATACTAAGCATTTCTATAATAGATAAAGGTAAAACCTGAATACAGGGATAGTGTACAACTCCACTTAAGACCGTATATTTAATGAAGCACACAGTGTTACAGTAATATTTACTAGGTAAAGCTCAGTGCAGAGTGTTTTACTCATTTACAAACAATATTAGTAAGTTCACAACCTATCTAGCAAGCTAGGTGAAACCATCTGCGGGCAAGTCAAAGTGGTCTAATTTGATACCTAAAAGTAATAACCCCAGTAGAATGTATGTTACCAATGAGATTCTTATTAGACCTATACTTGATTTTGAACATAAACCAACATTTGAACTGTTCAAATATTTAGCTACAATACTGTGTCTGATAGAATTCGCTCGAAGACTGGGGAAACCCATTTGCTTGGTTTGAAACAAAAGCTAAATAATATACAGTTTGAGAAATGATTAGTTTTGATTAGATGAGGCTGGTTAGAAATATTTCAAATATGACACGAGTTAGTCATACGTGAACTCATTACTAATTATGATTCAATTATAAAACTGGCTTTTGCTTTAAAAAGATCATACTGAGACTATAGTTATGGTCATGCCTAACTTTAAAGACGAAATATGTAGAAAAACAGAAAGAGTATAGGTGAGATCTCCAATATCCTGGATCGCAGCAGACATATCTATGAACATTGAGAACAAACTACAGTAGTAGAATTCCAATCCTTACTGAAGGTATAGTGACGATATATTAACTGTGTTGACACCAGAATATATTCAAAGTTTTCTCGCACACATAAAATTGATAGTAGATGCAATCCAATTCACTTATGAATTAGAAAATGGCGAAGGAGACTTACATCCCTTAGGTTGGAAATCGAAGAGAAGAGAATATGTAGTTTAGATTTCGGTGTTTATAGGAAGCACTCACATTCGAATAGATTCTTGGGTTTCCCATCTCAACCTATATCTGTCAGGGTAGATATCACCGCTTCAAAGATACTCTTCATAGTTCACTAAAAAGCTTCTGAGGACTTACGACAGTAACACCAATGATGTTAGTGGCAGTTGCAACAAGCTTGAGAGGGAATTTAAATTACCAAAAACTATCAGAAAGAAACATTGTAGGCTAAAAGGTCCAGTAGATCCAGTTAAATGAAGTAGTTGAAACTACCAAAAACTATGCAGTGATTCTGAGGTGGAAAAGCCGATTGAGTTCGGTTAGGATAGTGAAAAACCAATATTTAGTGAGATAAAGAACGGAAGATCCTAATAACAAGTGACGTCGAAAAACTCGGTTATCTCTTTACATTCACTAACTCATAATCATATTAAAGAGTGGGATGCGCCTACAGTTGCAAAATCTGATAGAACTAAGGTGAGACGAAGAAGGACAAATAAATCTTTGTTCATTGATTCGACGAATGTAACAGGAATGATTTATCACATATTACAGATATTTGGAAAATTTTACTATTGTCAAAATAAAAGAATACAGAGCTGTTGGAGTGTAAGCATGAATGTTACAAGTTTTGCGGTTACTTTGATATAATTATGAGCAATACGTTTTACTCATAACCCCATCCAGTAAATAATACTTTATCACTGTGTATCGCGTCAAACAAACAATCTCAGATGCCACTGAAAATATCTAGGAAAGTCTGCGCTTAAAAAATATGAGATGGTTGTACATGTACTACGAGTATTGCGGAAAATCCAAATATCTGAAGAATAAATTTGAGCACAAAATAGTTGAGGTGGGATAAACCATAAGATATCTAGCTGGTTTAAAATTTCTAAACGGATGAAAGCTGAATAACACTGTGCGACAAAACGTACATTGTAAACATTATGTTTTTCACTAGTTTCAATACAAAAGGAGCTCACCTTAAACCCACATTTTAGATTTTTGGACTTGGTAGGAGCTGATTGTATTCCCTTAACAGTTTATCTTGGATAGAATTAGCTATCATCTACTCATATTATACACTGCAACAATTTCCACACACAAAACTATTTAGTGTTGACTCGACGACGGGATCGATAACAATCACTTAATATTCGAAAATACGTCTTATAAAGTTTGAAATTCTCAGCATATATCACCTTTAATGTACTCCTTGTGAAAACTTTTTAGGCAAAATAATTATGCCGCAGGTATGCTGATAATCACAATGTTAGAGGCAGTGGTCTGTGATGACCAGCCACTGTTAGGTTATCGTCTGGTCTCAAAGAGGAAGTGCAGAGAAATATGTACGTAAGTTTGGTGTTGGTTTTTTATCTAGCCAGTACGAACATTCGCAATTCGAGTTGACTATTTTAGGAGTAATAATGCAATGTAATGTTGTATGTGTAAAAGCCCATTGTCATCTACCGCAACATTTTCTGTGCATTTTATTGTTAACCCTCGAAGTGGCAAGCTCAAATTTTTTGATTATTATGCATGAACTTTGATTATTTTACGTCCTGTGAGCTGCATGACTGAATCGTGAAGTTTTCATCGTCAGAAAGTTGTTTGAACTTTTTGCGAATCATTTCAAACTTCTTGTCGTTGATTAGCAGAGGATTTTCAACTAGGCTATTGACTCACGACAGCAAACTTTTATCCAACTCATACCAGTTGCCACCTGCTTGTACCTGTACCTTCCCATTTATTGATTACCTCGTCCCTGTTAGCAAATAAAACTCCTATGATATTGCTTACGTGAAGAAGATAGATGCTGATTTATGTCTAAGAAGTTAAGCGTTTTATTAATTAAACTACGCAAGCTAACCTACTTGAAGTGAACCGGAAGTATGGTTCTACAGGAAACATGAAGAATAATGTATTCAATGTTTTGTATTTTTCATATTCAACTCAAGAAGTTGATAGCAGTGTCCACTATAACAAGAGCATTAGTAGTACCATACTATTACATTCATCCAACTAATATCCATGCCAGTGCATTGCTGTCAGGAGTCTTCTGGCCTAGTGGCCCCACTGCAAAACTGATCGATAGAATCCGATCAGTATAAAGTAACTTACCCTTAAATGACCAATCAATAAATATAATGCAGTCCTACAGGAGGTCAGTCGTGAACTGAATGGCTCAGTGACAATATGTCTGACTATCGAACTGGGTGACGTGGGTTCAGATTTCAGGCGGGATGTCAGTTCCATCTAAGTTACAGATACACCTGGCTGTAAAGGGTTATAAAGCACAGGGCCTAGTCTCAGGGCTTCCTGCCGATTGCATTCATCAAACTAACGTCAATAAATTGTATAGGAAAACCAATAAGCAAGTGGTCTGATGTCCAGTTTTGCGTTAAGTGAGGTTTATCAGTAGAAATAACAAGAATGTTGTCTTTAATTTGCTTTTCATGTCTGTTGGAACTTAACAGCTTGCAACATTTTGAGATTTTACCCCATGTCACTGAAGGTTAGGCTGACAGCATGTGGCTCTAGACTGAAAAGAGAGAGAAACAGTTAGTCTGAACTTCACTCTTCAGTAGTTCGAGTTACGAAGTAACTCGATTACTGTCTGACAGCTTATTCTTTAAAATAATCTACAGTTAGAAATTAAGTGATCTGAATGCACTAATAACACAGTTAAATTTTTTTATGTAGATTCAAATGTGACATGTCAAGACTAATTTATTTTTCTCATTGCGAGATTTCGGCTGAGATAGCAGTACATAACTGGATCTTTAGTAACGGCCGTATTGCGTAATATATCTTAATTACCGGACATTAATTCTCTCCCAGAACCATTACTTTACACCACTAACAGGCATTGAAATATTTCGCTAGTATCAGAGCTGTTGTAGGTTTACAAAGAGTGAACAAGCGTTTTACATAAATTTCGAAATTATATCAGAGTCTAATGCTGACACTTTTGTCCAGGAAGATGAAACTGTCTAAGTGTTTGACTTATTCCTAATGTTTAATGTACAAATCTACAGAGCTGGATGCTGGAGCTAAATTCTAATCTTCATCAATGAAAGATTCATCTCGAATTTTTAACAATATACCGAACTATAATCACACATTATTAGTAATTTTCTAAGCGCCAATCAGAGTTTATTCGACAACGTTTCAAAGAGATCACTAAAATTTTTCTCACAATATGAGGATTTTCCTTTCGATTTCATATATATTAGAGGTTTGTTGGCTAATAATTCGGTTTGACGTGAGCTGCATGCGTTTGGGCTATCATTGGGAGTAGCTGGCTTTGAATAATTTAGAGAACTTAAGTTCAACCCAAGTACTCAGATTGTTGGGTTCATTGCCAGAATATGGCGGCTCCCAATTTATCTATTCAACTCAAGATTAGTTTTCTTCTCTAAGATATAATTGTAAACAGATCATCCATCGAAGTCCTCAAAGTTGATTGAAGTTTATGGATCAGATTTGAGATGTGATCAGAGTGTGCAGTGGACCTTGCGTTTAGCAGTTTCTGAGCCTAAAAGACGTACATCATGCACGTAGTCCTAGGAAAGTTCACCATATCCATCCAGAAAATCTATTGATAAGAGTTTCGAACTTGTGCTTATGTAAACCTTACTGAACATCTACCGGTTAATTAATTGAGGCACTATACTTCTCAAACAAATATATGAACAAAACTCCAATTAAAATTCAAGCTTTTAATCTGATGCAACCAAATAACCACTTACAGGTTTT